TCCAGTGGGTTCTGGCAGTCTCTATTTGCACAGCGGTCTGAACGGGGTGCCGGACCTTTCCATTTCTTCAAACACTGCCAGCAGAATTTATAACCCCGCCTTCTCCTGGCTGTGCACACTGGGCATTGGACACAGAGGTCATGGAGGTCACTTCTTACCACACGAGAACTGCAACCAGGACACTGTTAATGAAGAAATCAAATGTCGTTGTTTTAAAATTCTGAATAAGATAATATATACTTTATTAATCTAATTTGTTTTGTTTTTCTTCCATGACAGCAGCAGATAGATAAGATATTGCCCATGAATAAAATAAAAATAATAATACAAATAAAATATATGAAAAAATTAATTAAATAGAATTTTCTTTATTAAATAAAAGAAAATACAAAAATAAAAACAAACACAATTGTTATAGTACAAACAATAAAGATAAACATATTAGCAGTAGATGATTAACAAAATACTAAAAACAGTGAATATACACATTAATCAATAATGAAGGATATATATCGATAGCATAATATTAAATACACAATATAAATATACACATATAAAGAATTGAAGGCAGTGTACATTATGCTTGATAGTGAACAAATATTTAGAACAAGTCTGTAAATGCCGTCAATGTTATACTTACTGATTTGACGTCCAGGTAATCCTTGGCAGCGTTACTGAACACTGTCTTCTCAAAGTATTCAAGTTCTTCTTCAGTCAGGAGGGCCATTTTGCACACCTCCTCGAAGGGCCACTCGACATCGCAGTCGGTTTGGCCACACACAAACTTGCACTCACCCTAAGATATATACAAAAATGTAATTAAATTAAAGGGAACATATAATGAAAAACTCACTTTTTCAGCACTTGTTTGTATACACCTCCCCCATTTTAGTATCTCCACCCACTACCTGAGGAAAAGTACCTAATTTCCTCTGGAGCCGATCAGAGCAGACTGGGCCCTTAAAGAGACAGGCCCCCAAAACGTTCACACGGACGGGGAATACAGGTGTCTTCAGACAGACAGTTTGATAACAAACAACGTGTTTTTTTAACATTAATTAAAGCATGTATACATGTTCTGTTACAAAACCGAAATACAACCTGACAATAAGCATGTTGAGTTACCTTTAAAGTATAAAAAATTCAAGTATAAAACATTATTTTTAGCCTATTAATCGCTGATATTAAATCAATCTTTTAAAAACTATACCTACTATTACAATTAAATATCTTAAATAAGATTACTGTTTACAACATGCACTGCCGCTATGCAATTTTGTGACAAAAAGTGTAGGATAGTCGCTAAAGCATGTATGAATGGGGGTGTAAACAGCTTACACTGTCCAGCAAATAGCGACACCAGCTGGTGAGAGACATCGGAGTGACAGCATGGCCGCAGGACATCTTCGCTCTGAGAGACTTGTAGTTCTCACACAAAACTGTGAGTCAACACAAGCAGATAAAAACAGTGTTAAGGGGCGTTTAAAATAACACAAATATCAGGTAAATGTGAGAATACTTACAATCTAAATCATCATCTCCCTCCACAAATGTAAGAGTGGCGTCTTGAGGGTCGTAACATTTCTCTTCTACTACCGTCCAGCTGCTTTCTCCAGAGCTCAACTCATCTTCACAGCCTACGAATCTTTCATTAAATCCTAAAACATCTTCATGAGTCCATAAGTCATAAGTCCTCTGCCTTTCATTTCTTCTCTCTCTGCGTGGAGCTGAGAGTTTGCCTCCCATGTTGAATGCTTTATCAAATAATCATGACTGGCTGACCTGCTTTAAATTCCATGAAGTCACGTGACGTAGAGTAACAGGTGAGGCGGAGTGTTTTTTTAAATTCTTATAATAGGATCATTTGCAATTGCTGTTACCCACTTCATGCAATTTCCTCGCAGTGAAAAGACTCAAGAGCCAACATGAAAGTCCAGCTAAGGGTGAATGGCCCCCGAGGAGACGAGAAGATCCTGGATCTGTGCGAGGATGAAGAAGATTTGAAGAGACTCACCGTGCTACAGCTGAAGAAGAGAATTGTGCGGGACATGAAGATAGGTATGTTTGACGTCATTCTTTATTTAGGATATAGGGTGTTTAAGTTAATAGGACAAATATTAATATGCTTACATGTAGAGCCAGAGGCAGATGGCATTCTTGTTAATTCAAGTAGAAGGGAGAAGTATACTCAGATCTTGTACTTAAGTGAAAGTAGAAGTAGAGTGTAGGAATACACATGCAGTCCTGCATTCAAAATGTTACTCAAGTAAAAGTACAACAAATATACTAAAAGTACCAAAAGTAAAAGTACTCATTATGCAGATGGAGTGTTAAGTGTTGATTATATTTCACATCATTAATCAAAATCTGCAAACTAACTAAATATAATTTAATAAATGTGGTGGAGTAAAAGTAGCAAGAAATGTAAATACTCAAGTACAAGTACCTTAATATTGTACTTAGTACAGTAGAGTAAATGTACAGTTACTTTCCACCACTGATTGTTTATAATGTAGAGTGTTACTTATATAAGCGTAATATTTATCAAAAGATAAAAAAAAATAATGCTCCTCCTGTTATAGTAAATGATAATCTTTACAAAATGGAAAATAGAAGTCGCAATACAAGCAAAATACAACAAGCATGTGGAAGAAAAATACAACTAATTACATTTAATTTATTATTTTATCTCTGCAACCATGAGCATGAGAACTCAACACAGTTGTAACCTATACAAAATATATGTGTTTGTGTGGAATTAGAGTTCAAGCCAGGCCTAAAGATGATAACAAAAGGTTTCAATGCAGTTTGAACTAGTCAGATGATTAAGTTTATTTAAATAAAACATTGGGAAATACTGTGTAGTGTCTTTATGAGGAAAAAAACATTTGCTTATCTTTCTGAACATAACAGATGATGGGAAATCTCCCTCTGGGGATTCCCAATAGAGGCGTGGAAAAGTCTGCATCTAAGGTCAACAAATACATAAAACAATGGTCTCTTTATTTATTTTAGGTGATGATATCCGGATGGTGTTCAGAACGGATATTCTAGAGGAATCCTCCCTGCTGTTATCTTATGGGATCAAACACATGAGTACCATCCACACCCTGCTGATGCTGCCCGGAGGCATGATGGGAAGAAGACCATAGACTGGATATATGATGAAGACGCACAGAGACTGCCAAAACCTGACCATTAATACTGCCTATTATGATCTAAAAATACACAGAAATATATGTATTTAACTGTAAAATAAAATCTGTCTTGGTTGGTAATGGTTTATTACAATATGTAAGATATGCTCCAATGTAAAGTCTGATCATGTAATCACTTTTTGTCTTTCTTTTATATTTCTCTGAAAGTCTCTCCAAAGTGAAGACGAGGTGGTTTTCCCCGTTAACTCCAGACAATAGCACGATGAGTCAATCTGTTGCTATTTTTATTCTAATCTTTCTTGAGAAAACTCCCCATTGTATTCTTTTAGACATCAGTCAGTGTGCCAAGGAGATGCTTTCATTATGATGTGTCAATCAAAGATGATTAAAACCAGGAAAGGCCACACCCAGTTATTCTATAATTAGCAGCAAAAAATGTCCTTCTGAGAAAGCAATTGATTGAATCATTTCTCAGAAGGAATGGGGGAGAACATGAATGTCAGAAACCAACTAATAGCCTGGTTAATATCAAAATAACTAGTCAACAAAAACATATTGTCCTGCTCATAACGCACAAAGCCCCCCCCCTACCTCACAGACCTGCTGCACCACCACACCCCTTCCCGCTGCCTCCGCTCATCAGAAGCCAACCTCCTATCCATCCTCACCCGCATCAAGCACCGGACCTGGGGGGACAGAGCCTTCTCCGTCGCTGCCCCCTCCCTCTGGAACTCACTCCCACAACCCATCAGAGACTGCACTGACCTCACCACCTTCAAAAAACTCACCTCTTCAATCTGGCTTTTAATGTGTGATTGTTTTTGTATTGCTTGATTTGAATGTGACTTTAACTATATTTATTTGTTGTTCTTTTCTTTTCACTATCTCTGTAAAGCGACTTTGAGCACCTGTAAAACCGCTAACAAAATACATCTATTATTATGATTATTATATTGCATATTCTTACTTTTTAGTTCTGTTTTATTTTCTATCAATAAAGTAAACTTATCTTATCTAAAGTATTATTTTGACCTTAATTCAAGTCTAATGATCCCCAGAAATGTACGTTTCCTGGGACTATAATTTGTGACTTAATTATAAACGTATTGTATTTAAACTTGAGCTGTCATAACGTTAAGTAATTAATCATCCTTATAAATTAGTTGGCAAAGCTAATAATAAGGCGTCTTAAGTTGCTGGTTAAGACTTCCAGAAGATGCCACTCCTCAGTCATTGTGTGAGGATCAGCTGTCAGTGAGTAACCACACTTGTTCCTATTATCAGCTGAAAGGCATATACTTTTATCTTGGTAAATCCCGACAGCGATTTAATTTGAATCTGTACTAAAGTTATGTATAGTGTTTTCTTATTTTCTGTCATGGGTCAGTCAGGGATTCAAATGGTAACATTATAGGAAGTGTCATTGAAGTGTATTACAGTATCATCGATGTGTGTTTGTTGTTGACGTCGCAGAAACGTTGGCATTAAACAGATGCACTTTGTTCAGAATATAAACTCACGGTAGTACATACTGTATTAGCAAATCACAACAAAGAAACAAGAAATAAATAAAACTGTGGTTATTTTTAGTGACAAAACACTTTAAAATCATTAGAGAGGGGACTTTCTGTAAACGGCTAACAGTAGCGTAACGATGACTTCTGCGAGTAGGCTACTTTTTTAATACATTTGAGTCTGTGCTGGATCGGGATATTTCTACGTTTTTGCTAGTTAATTACAAGGAAAGTATGGATTCATGAAGTGAAAACATCCCAATTAAATGTAAATCTAATTAAATTGATTTGCAATCTTTTTTATGTCCATTGAATCTTAATGGAAAATATCAATGTTTGCTTCAAGTGAATATCCTCATGTATTCTGTGGTGTAGATGTAGTTTAGGAAGTGTTCAATGGAGGGACAGCGCCACCTATTGGACAACACTATAATAAGACCCCCTATGGCTGAGTAATGCAGTATCGACAAGTGATAATGTTAGTATCCACATGCTTAGAGTCGTCCACACCCTCAGTTGTAGTTACAAGCAAAAAATGGAAGGAAAATGGAAGTTGGTTAATGGAGCCAAGAGATGTGTTAAAAATAAATAAATGAGAAACTGAAATGGGGTTATAGGGTTTTAAATTCAATGTACTGATCGGTACCAGAAGCAAAGACATAAAACCACTTCAACTGGAGCCACAGAAGAATAACAATGTATAACCTTTGATAACCAGTTTGGAATGAGGGAAGTTTAGTTTTTACCGGATTGAACCATCATTATTCCCATAACTGGTCTTATTGTTTTTAACTTCCTGGAGAAGAATAAACGCCAGGGGAATTCTTCTTGACACCAAAGTGTGCCAAGTTAATGATGTCATTAGGTCAATACAAAACACTTCACACAGGTATTACTGGTACTATTAATGAGATGACAGACTTCAGTTGGCATATTCAATATTGCACCATTAGCGGCTACAAAACACCAGATGTATCTCCTCATGTACTAAACTGAATCCAAGTATTTCGATCAGTGGGCGGTACTGCAGCATCAGAATGTAGTTCGACTACATTTTAGAACACGAACATGATTCGAAAAACTACTCGGAAACAAGCACCTAATCGTACTGCATTGGATGATGGGAACTTCCAAGCAGCACAACAAATAACAATTCTATTTTCAGAGGAAAGATTGAAGAGAAAAGATGAGCAGCTCCAGAAAAAGATCCCATGAGGAGGGGAAAGTACCAGCAAAGAACAAGAAACCAAAAGAAGATGCAGGTGAAGTACAAATGATCCAATGATACTGCAAATCCTACAAATTGAGCCCTTTAATTGACGTTAGCTGAATAAAGTCTTTTGTAACATGTTTTGATCTATAGCACTGATTTTCGTTCAGCGTCCTATGGGTCTATACGTTTTGCACATATTTAACCTATTGTTCTCCTTTTGTTCTAGTGATTCAGCTACATTATGGTCTGTATAATCAGGGAGCCACGTGTTACCTCAACAGTGTCCTTCAAGTTCTCTTCATGACACCAGAACTCCATGACAGGTTGGAAACAGCTGCTTTCATCTGGAGAAAATATAGAAAAGACAACTGTGTGAAGTAGCTACAGTAAATGTGTTTAAGGTCCCATGTCATGCTTTTCCGGTTATTACCCGTCCCCTTGTGTGTTATGAAGGTTTTTCTGCATGTAAACGGTCTGCAGAGTCACAAACCCTCAAAGTACACCCTGTAGCGAGTAAAACTCTAACACAGAAAATACCTGTCTATGCTGCCCCAGAACGCCTCGTTGGAGATTTTTCTTTTTCCATTTTTTTCTTCCTGAGTATAGTGACATAACGGCTCCTCACACACACTCACTCAGCCTTATCTTTTCGCAGCCTGGCTGTGAGTGTGTGTGTGCTCAGGCTGAGTTACGCGGTGTCTCGCAGACCCCACGCAGCGACCAGGAAACGACACCAGTAATCCAGCTCACACTGTCCGCTCCTCGAGCCTCAAAGGGCGGAGCAGCGAGCCCCGCAACGTCCCGCCAACACGGCACCCAGACCCCACGCAGCATTCTCATCTGTTTGTCATTACTGGTGTCATTTTCTGGTTGCTAACGCCATAGTAACACATAATCACTGATGTTCCGCTGTAACGGTGGTGATCTCATCAGAACAGAGTGGGCGAGCTGACCAATCAGAGCAGTGGGATCATAGGGAGGGGGAGGGGCAGGAGCTCCAACAAGCCGTTTAGGACAGAGAGTGAATACACATACAGAGATGCTGTATGAGAAAACCAATGTGATTTTGGAACATTGAACAATGTAAATCTATTCTAGTAGACCTCAAGAATGGAATTATGATCAGTAGAAATGGCCATGACATGGGACCTTTAAGTTTTACATCTGAGAGTCTGTAGTGGTGTTTGGTGAGGAGTTGTAAACCTTGCAAGAAGAGAAATCGAAAGTACTTCAAAACTCAAGCAAGACTTCACAACTAAAGTCTGCCATATATTTGATAAATGGACAAATATACATGCTTGCAAATGTACATTTAAATATTGTTATGGGACTGCTCTCACCTCAGACACCAAGTATTACCATCAAAGGCTCAAGCTGCATCAACTTATACTCTTTATCAGTGATTATGTCAAGTTAAAATAGATAACTTTTCACCCATAAAATCCCCATTTTCTACAGGTTGCATTCACAATCACCGATTACGGATCAAGAGCTGGGAGAAGTGTTTAAGAAAATTAAAGTAGAAAAATGTGGAACAGAAAACATCACAGGGAGTTTGGGGATTAAAAATGGTAAGTTTGTCAGCAACCAATAATAAAAAGGAAGAAAGTGACATGGCTGTAATTTCACTGAAATGCTTTACTGTTATCTAATGTACATTTGATTTTCAGTTCATCAACAACGTGATGCTGCCGAATGCCTGGAGTTGATTTTACATAAAGTCAGTCCAAACGCCTCTGAGGTGAGCGCTTACAAATCTATTGAGTTGACCAGTCAACAAATCAGAAAGGCGTTACTATATTAATAATATAGTAATAATAATAATATAGTAATAATAATAGGGACATTTGTATCTCAAGGTTTTCCAAGGACAGCTGACATACATGACACAATGTTCCAAAGGCCACATCATCAACGAAGAGACAAATCCATTCTGGACTCTTCCACTGTCGCTAAGAAATACCCATGATGCAACATACAACGTGGTAGGCAGCATTTTTTATTTTCTTTATTTACTGTAAATAGCCTTTAAAAATAAGTGATCATTCATATGGAGTTAAGTACTTTAAGTTAAGAAGTACACATGTTTTTGTCTGAATCTAATAAGTGAGCCAACAGCTTATAACTGACCTGTAAAGCAGAAGTACACATTACAACCAATAAAACCACTGCCTGTGAAAGAATAAATGAAAAAGGGCAGTTTTAATCAAGATGTAGAATTGGTAATCCAATTTGGAGTTGAAAACAACGGTTTTGTTTTTACAGGAGAGAGGCTTTGAAAGGACTTTTGAGACAAAATCATACAGCGGAGACAACATGGTGTACTGCAACGAGTGTGAAAAGAAAACAGAGGCGACAAGTGTGAGTTGAGTCCAAAGCCGAATGTCGCCTGAACACATTCAGAGTCAAATGAACATTTGCCTATTTGTTTTGTCTGTTTTACAAAAGCTGCAGTGTTTAATATCTTCCTTGTGTTGTTCAGGGATGTGACATGGATACATTTCCCCAGATTTTGGTCCTACTCCTGAAGAGATTTGAATTTGACTTCAACACCATGTCAGATATCAAATCAGACTGCTGTGTGGACGTGCCATATACATTACAGAAAAAGGCAAGGGGGAGAAACTTTAAAAGATGTTCATTAATACACTTTTGCTTTTAAATGTTGTTATGCACCCGTCTCTGCTCTTCATAATAGGACAAGAAGTACTCTCTGTATGGGATGGTGAATCACTATGGCAGTCTGAGGGGTGGACATTACACCGCCACCCTCCTGTCCAATGAGGACAATACCTGGTATGAGTTCAACGACGACGCCGTCAACAAGGTGAGGATTCCTTTAACACATCCATTAGCATGGCACACATTCAAAATCCTCTAATGGCTATTTGTTAAATGTTGCAGGTTGAAGAGCAACCATTTGCAAAAACCGGGACTTATAGGTATGATCCATTAATTATACTTTTTTGGAGCATATTAAGGACTACATTTTCTGAGAAGATCTTATGATATATTCTTACATCTAGTCATGTTAACTGTATGTTCGCAACTCTTTGTTGTTCTATGCAAACAATCACTTCAAAATGGTTGTTCAACAGTTCCAGCAGTGCATATCTGCTCGTGTACAGAGGTAAGATCAGCATAGTACATCAAGAAAGCATTAAAGCGTGGGATTTTAACAGATTATTGATTAACGTTGATATTTCCCTCCACTTTACACCCTCAGAAAGTCTCAAAGACGAGGGGAAAGACCAAAGAGGAAGGATCCATGATGACAAAGAAAACAGGCATGTGAGCCAAGATCAAGACAGACAAATACAAATCAACTGGACAGACACAAACAATGTGGAAATCGTCATGGAAGATGATCTCCCCAATCCAAAAACACAGGAAGTAGAGGAAGGTGAAACAACATTTCTGATCCTTCTTTTGAATTGCATTTTTTTGAAGAGTTTGTTGTAGTAAAATATCTATTTTACCTTCCCACCAGATCGCTTCTTTGGCATCAAGAGGAATCATATTTATATTGCTCTCGGCGCTATTTCTATTGCATCCATTGTGATTGTGATTTCTGTCGTACTTGCAACAACTCTAAAAACCTAGTAGGGATGTCAGCTTTGAAATGTCAACCAGCTCCAAGCTATCAAGGTGATGATGAAGAGGCGATGATTAAACTTTCAAAACATTAGTTGGTAAATTGATGGTTAAGGAACACGATTAGGTATCTCTAAATGTGAAACAATATATCATAACGTTGTATTTACTGTTTGTTATGTCCTGTTTTCTCAGTATGCTATTTTGGTGTCAGATATTTTAAGAAACTAGCTGATAAACTGAATGAATCAGGCCCACAACAAATAATGTTCATGACTTTGTCTTATGTATATGTAGTATAGATCCATGGACTATCTAAATATTATACATCAGCATGGATTTTGGAATTGTCTGCAATTATTTTTTAAGTATAAATGGATGGAAGTTGGAAAATGGCCAAATGCGTGGTGTACCACAGGGGTCTGTTCTTAGACCATTTATTTTCCGTTTACTTTGATAAGGTGCAATAGGATTATTATTATTATACTACCTTATCTCTTTAACTTTGCTTTTTACAAACTTATATCTCACGTATAAAAGTCAAAAGTGTATCTGTTGCACAAATTATTTATTTGTAGCTATTTTTATTTAGAGTCCAAATATATGATACGTGTTTGTTATGTACAATGTGTGTCTCAGCCCAGTTATTGCCAACAACATTTTTGTCTACAGCACCCAATCTGGTATATCATATTACATCGTAACTCCTTCACAAACCTTTAGTAGATTGGAAGACAATGATTTTAATCCAGTGTCTTTAACTATTTCTACCTATTGTGTTTTGGGGTTTATTCTTTTGTGACATATACAAATACCAAATAAAGCTAAACAAACTCACCCACTGACATACTGGTTTGGCTTACTGTTCTGCATGCATTTCTATAAGGTTTGTTACCCGAGTCACCTAGCAGTTCGTACAAGCTCACAATTGAATAAAGATAAGGCATCAAAAGCTGGTATTTAAACTATTCAGAAGTGCGGTAAGCGCCCGTTTAACTGCTGGCAGAGACTAGCTGCCTGTCAGCCAAGGATACAGGTTTCACCCAAACAAAGAAAACTGTGTTATTTAACCCCACCATACTGCATTTGTTGTAGTAGTCATGAGCTTGGTAGTTTGTTAGTAATTGCAGATTACTTTAGACCCCAACAATAAAATGCTCCAAACTGCATTAGCATATTAAGGACATTTATTTAAGCGTAAAACAAAGGATAGAGGACATATGCAAGCACAAAAGCTTAGTTTTTTACATTACAATCTTCATAGTTTTTGGTTTTAAATGATGGTCATTGTTAAGAGTCTTTTTTTCTCCCCTGCGTCTTCATCCTATTATGCCTCCGGGCAGCATAAGCAGCGTATGGATGGTGGACATGTGTCGGATCCCGTAGGATAAGAGCAGGGCAGACTCCTCCAGCTGCTCGGTTCTGTACACCATCCGGATGTCTGCATCTGAAAAGGAATTAAAATTTTAAAAAACAGGGCTTGCTTACAACAGTTCTTAAACTAAACGCATGCATCTGCAATTTTATGAGCCTATATATATATATATATATATATGCATTAATACAAACATCTTCATATAATAAAAAGGAGAAACTTACTTATCTCTAGTTCTCGAGTAATCTTCTCCCTCAGCTGCTTTACAGTGATCTTCTTTAAATCCTCTTCATTTTCGCACACATCGATGACCTTTTCCTCTCCTCTGGGTCCACTTACTCGGAGTTGAATTGTCATTTTCCCGAATGTACCTGATGTGCCAGTGAGGAGTATGTGTGGTTGTTTTGGTTCGGTGATGCAAACGCAATGAAACTCAAAGATTGAGGTCACAGGTGTTTATATTTTTTTTTAAAGGGCGTGTTCACGGTGCGACTGAATATCATGACTCATTAGGTGAGAATGATCATCTGTGTAGCCATTGTTGTTTTGTAAGAGGACGAGTAGAGTCGAGTCGGGATGGGGAACGGGTTGACAACTGAGCAAAAGAACAGGGAGTCGTTTGCACAACACAAGAGTCTGACCGGTACACAGAGGAAAACGTTTGGGAATCGAAAACTAAGAAGGAGTCCGACTGATGTGACGTGGAAAAGTCATTTTCAAAGCACTGGTGTGACAACTGAGCACGATACAAATGTAAGTCATTCTGCATTGTAAAAAATATGCTGTGGAATTGAGGGGGTGGCAGGGTTGCAAATCAATGCTAATGTTAGCTTAAACCTCAGGAATTAATGCTAGCTGGAGAATGTAAAGCAAGGCAAGGACAAACTTGTGAATTTAACTAAAGAATGATTTATTCTGATGATACGAGTAACAGGTTGCGTTGGTTAGAGGGTTCGTTCAAGAGTGAAAAGATAAGGAAAATATATTAAGTAAAAAAAAGGACTTACCTTTTGTCTACCTATGGCAGTAGCACATGGCTTGATGTCATTTCCTCTGTGTCATGTGACCTACAGCTTTTTCACTTCCTCTCCTCGTGCTTAATAGGTTTTGGTAGCAGGGTTTTGACCAATACAAAAGACGTATCAACATAAAAGTAGCAAAAAAGGTAAATAAAAGGCCTATTTTAAATGTAATATTTGACATGTAAGTTAATCACCAAGAAGGTCGGAAAAAATAAAAACGCCATTTTAGAGGGTGCTAGATATTTTAAAAACACTTTTTCCACAACTTTATTTACATTTTGTCTAAGTGCAAGTAGTGCTTATGGTGGGACAGAAAATGTCCTCCAATTCTTGAATGCCCCTTTACATAAACCTGTTTAATTTACTCTACTATAATACAAACCTGTGTACGGTAAACTATTTGAAAAACAACAGATACGCTGTAAACCTTGACATTTTCTACCGTAATTTCAACATTTGTTTTACAGTTTGGGCAAACTAACAACTTGGCAACTGGACAGAAGGCGATTGATTCTGAACAACCAAGCAATTCAGCAACTGAGCAAAGGAGTGATTCTGGACAACAGAGCAACAATGCAACAGCTGAGCAGGAGAAGTGTTATGACCCAAAGGACACCACATTTATTTTCGTCGATGGAGAAGACGACCACGATTGTAAGTAGCCAAAGAACCTGACATTTAATTTCTAATATATCTAACTTCTCAGTAACATTTGTTTTTTGTGTTTCTCGTAGTTGAGTGCAATGACTAAAAATCTCTCAGAGCGAAGATGTCCTGCGGTCATACCGTCACCCCTACGTCTCTCACCAACTGGTGTAAACGGCTGTTGGGTCAGGTAGTGTGTTAGTTAATCTTTTATATTGACATTGATAATAAAATATGGCAAAAAAACAATCTCTTAATGTGTCTTTCTTTTCAAACCCCAAGGGTAAAATCAGATTTGTGTGTGGCCAACACGGCTGTGATGTTGAGTGGCCGTATGACGAGGTGTGGAAAATGGCTCTTCTGACCCCCGAAGAAATGGAAAACTTTGAAAGGAAAATGTTCAGTAGAGCTGCTAAAGAATACTTGGACGTCAAATCAGTAAGTATCTAAAGCAGGGGTGTCCAAACTACGGCCCGGGGGCCAAATGCGGCCCTCAGCAGATTCTAAAAGTATAATGACTTAATAAACTTTGTCTTATATTGACCTTCTTAAATATATATGTTAAAATATATTACACAGTATTCATGTGTTAATAAGCCACATGTTCAAATAAATTCAGTCAATTAAAGTTGAAAACATGTTCTAACATTATAAGTCGATAATAAAAAAAGCCCAATAACAAATTCACATAAGAACCTTGAAATCTACCCTTCATATTTCCTCTTATTATAATCAATCAAAAAAGTTTGGACCCCCCTGATCTAAACTAATGATACTCAAATGTTCTTGGAAAACGAATTTGCTCCTTAATATGTTTCATCCAACTTCCCTTCACAGTGTCCCGGCTGCAAGTGCTCTGCCGTGCGGAGTGACGTAAACAACCTGAGGGTCTGCTGCGTGATGTGCACGGCTAAAACAAACGTGGCCTTTTCATTCTGCTGGCAGTGTCTGGAGGAATGGAAAGGTCCATCTCCCTATCCATACCGGTGTGCAAATGAAGGCTGCATCAGTAAGGCACAGGAAATACTGAACACCTGCCATGATATCACCTTTAAGGACGTGAAGGGGGTCTCTGGCTGCCCCTCCGTCCGGGCCTGTCCCACCTGTGGTTTGCTGGTGGAGCACAACAAAAACAGATGTAAATACATCGGCTGTCTGCGGTGTAAGGTGAAGTTCTGTTTTGTTTGTCTGAAGCGCTATGAAGAGTGCCTGGACGAGGACAGATTGTCCTTCTATTTTTGTTGTGCGAGTGGTGTTGCCCCCAGACAGACCACCATAACCGTGTGGCAGAGGAAATAAAACGATGCTGTTGATTTAACATTGTGGTTTCAGAAACTAAAGTAAAGTTGTGTTTGGATTTCTTGTGTACACCCAAATGAAGTATCAGGATTAAAAGCTTTATTTGTAAAGTGCTTCATGTATCTGAGATTTGTTTTTGACTTAGTATTTGGAAGGGATGCAAACTCATCAGGTATGAAAAAGGTGACAAGTGATGGTTTTTAGTTTGTTTGGTCATATCATTTTATTATGCTATTATTTTAGCATTATTTATGGGATAGGAAACCAGCTGGTTAACATTGACCTTCTCATGACTTTGCTGTATTCTATACATACAGAAATAATATAAAATGTACTTTTTGTTGGAATCCATTATTTCTCTTTCTCATAAAAATAAAGGATTTATCCTGAGGAAAAACAAGCCAATCAAACACTGATTTTTCATAGTTTTTGGAGTCGGTGTTAGCTGCAGATCAGTGTGATGCTAGAGATCAGTGTGATGCTACAGATCAGTGTGATGCTCCGAGGCAGCGTGGATCCGGACCCTGCAGGAGCAATACTTCTTGTAACACACCACGGCTGCAGAGAGGACACACACAGCCACCGTGAGGCCGAGCGCTGAGGCTGCAGTCAGCTCAGCGGGGGGTCTGAGGGGGGGCCAGCTCCAGTCCTGCGCTGACGGGACAGCCTCATACGGATCACTGAGCAAAGAGCAGTAAAGTGAGGTGAGTTTGAGCAGAGGTGGGACGTAACGGAGTTTGAGTTACAGGTTACATTTTAAAGGGGTCTCTTGTAAAATCGCACTTGCCTTGTGGCAGAAGCAGGAAATGTAGTGACATCATAAGAGGGAGGAGTGATGTCATCGTATCGACATAACCTCCCGTCAGGACAGTGGACTGAACCCAGATATCCGTTTATCTGAACGTTAAAAACAGCAAAGACACAATGGATTCTGTGATTAGAGCTCTTATGGGAACTGGGCACCTGCAAGGTTGTCAGAATAGCATTGTCATATTAACAGTGAAAAATGTGTAATGTCAGCGCACACATGATTTTCATTCATATACACTCATACCATCTATTAGGAGTGTGGCAATACATTGATATTGATGATAACCGAGTCATTTAAAAAGTGATTATTGGATATGATAACATTGTGTAAGTAATGCTGAACCTCTTCAAATATTTCATTTAATTTCCGGTTATCACTTTTTTCTTCATGCCCCAAAACGTTTGCCGAAAAAAGACAAAAGAAAATGAAATATAAAAAATCTATCTGCAATGTACATTTCTCAGATATTACCTTCAGAAAACAATGCAGTTGTTCCTCAATATACATAGGAAACGTATTAACAGTGAACAGGGATGTTTAATTTCAAATACCTCACACAAAGTGGTTAGTGTGATATGAAAAACTCCATTGTAATTTAAACTGTAAGTACACACAGGGTTGTGTCCTGTTACCTTAACGGTGTCCCCTGCTGGACAGTCCTCCCATTCAGAGCCAGACACCTGGACTTGGTATCTGTTGGGTCCTCTACACCTGTGTCTGTAACACCGACCCTCCTCAGAGCTGCCGGACAAAGGAACCTCACTCTGGTTCTGAAATAAAAAATGGTTGGTTAATGTTCAGTCGGGTGACAGGCATCACATACATGCTTTACACACACACACCTGTCTGGTCAGGTTTGAGAAGAAGCAGCGGCTGTGAAAACCAAACATCTCCCCGCTCCAGTCCTCTTCTCCACCGTTTTCCTCTTTCCAACATTCACTCTGGAAGAAATATTATGACAGAGGGTGAACATGAGTTGCTGCAACATGATACAATGCCACAGATTGTATTTAGGCTCAAACATAGAAAGGACCCCAATATGTCTGCTTTACAGAACGACAAAAAGGTGAAAGTATGTGAAGAAAATGCTTCATTTTGGACATTTTGATCAAGTAGATGACTTCATACAATGCAAAAAGAGTAAATAAATTGTGTATTTTACTATATAATCTGAAGTGGATTGTTAATGAATATGATTCTCTAGAATTTCCTCCAATAAAAGATGCAACTTACTGCATTCTTGAGGGGTTTGTACACTCGACAGCCCTCCAGGTATTGATCAGTCTGACACTCCCCCTTGTGGAGGTGGAGATAATGACACCCAGATCCACTGACAAAGAGGAAACAATGCAAACATTAGTGCTGCAAATGTAGGATTAAATATAAATTGTTGTGTAGAAAATACATATATATTATTAAAAATCTACCTGCCAGTGCAGAAAAAGGACGAGGACTTGTTCTGACAGGTTGACAGGGAACCAAACATGGATCCTTCGCCTGTAAGAAACACATTCATCAACTTGCAACCGTGGCTGTTCTGGCTCTACTTTCCTGTATGATCATTATTGTGCATTTGATTACGGTATATCTCCATCTTTCCTCACCCTCTCCCCACACCAGACTCTGTGCCCGGCTCATGTCCACGGTGTACCAGCCTGTATCCTGTAGAGCAGCCAGAGTGACCGGGTCGATCCGGACCGCGGGGGGGTCCTCCAGCACCGCCGCCATGATGGAGCCCTGCAGGACCCGGGCCTCCCAGTGAGAGGACGCCTTCCCCAGAGGCACATCCTGAAGGAAGAAGGAATGAGGAAAGCATAAAATAAATCTGAAGGAAAAAAAAAGGTAGATTAAGAGCGGTGCGGTACCAGGTTCTCGAGCGGCCCCCCCAGCTCAGGGTCAACGGACCCCAGGAGCCTCTGCAGGGCGGAGATGACGGAGGGGGTGTAGATCCTCATCTGACCCGAACCATCAGAGTGAGTCACTTTGCCTCGAGGAGAACAGACAGCACTCCCTGCAGCACGGTACAAAGAAAAAACACACATTGGAAGAACCATTTTTAATCAAATGCATGTGATGTTTATTTTAATGTGAACTAGACTTGCTTATTTTGGCAATATTTAAATGCAGTGTGCATTATGTGTTTTTACATTTTTTTGTCCTATTTTATGGTCCTGTATTTGTGTTTTTGTTCTTCAATTAACCTGATTTTATTTGATTGTTGAGTTGAAAAGTCATTATATAGTCAAGTGACTTTTCAAATAGTTTATCATTATTATTATTATTCAAGCATTTTTTACTTTATTCTTCTTTTTATGTAGCTTAAATAAAAATAAAAGATTGTTTTCTAGCCTGTACTTTAATTTCTTCATATCAAAGTATTAGTATATTAAAAGTTAAGTTAAGTTTAAAAAAAAAGTCCTTAGAGACGGTTGTGTGTTGTAAACATTTAGAGATTAGTGTTGTTTTTTTTACCACACAATAAACTCACAAATATTAAATTCAGCTCTACCAGAATAATTCCACACCTTTTTTAAAAGTTGTTAACTTGCATAACAAGTGAAATAACTCAACAAAGAAGGCAATACAACAATAGTATATCATCATTTACTACCACAACATTTATACAAAAGGAATACAGTGATATAGAACTATCTGAATGTCTTTATAAACCTTGAGATTTGGAGGAACAGTCGGTCCAGGTGTGGAAGAGATCTTTAGAAAAACCAAGTGCATGGAGCAGCTCGTGGATCACAGTCTGGAAAACAGACAAGCACGCACAATTCAACACATCATCATGAAATATAGAATAGGTATTAGTTATATATTTGTTTAATGGTACCTGTACCGTAGCCTGGTGGCTGTATGTGGCTCCGGTCAGTCGGTCTCTGCAGAGGACCACCACCCCGGCCACAGGACGTCCATCAGCGTCCGTCTGGCAGTGGACAGCGTAGGCCAGCACACTAGGCTGGAAGGGGGTTAAAGGACGTAAAACAAAGATTATCACTTGAAATGGCAGCAATACAACTGTGCTATTTTTATGAGATGGGATCACTATTATCCTCTCACTATGCAAGACATCTTTACATAAAATGTGAACAAATAAGGGGAATACTTGTGGTAATAGTGGAACCAGTCAGCTGGTATCTTTTTATGTTTGTTTCACTATATTTTACTTACTTTAAAATGTCCCAAGTGTACACTTTGAACATTATCTTTTATATTTATGTTTTAAAATCAAAGCTCTACCTCTGCTCTACACCTGTCTGTGGCCTGTAGGAGGAGGTACAGCAGGAAGTCGGTGTCGGGGAGTCCAGCTCCTTCAGGACGGAGCACAGTCCTGAGAGGTGACTCAGCCTCTGGGGAAATATCACATCCAGACAGGTGATCATCTGGGATCTGGTGATATCAAGCATGGCAAACACGAATTGAGATATTTGGTACTGGTTCTTTATGTGCACAGGTACATGATGTATACGTTTACCACTGAATACGGGACCAAAATCCTTCAGACTGATACTTACAGTCACATCAAGACAGGTCTCAGATCTGTAGTTTTTGTTGGCTCGACCACACCTGAAGGAAGAAAACTAACTTTTAAAATCAACTTTCATAACATCTCCCCTTCATTTATGAGCACCTAGTGAAAGAGGAAAGATGGGTGATCTAACAAAAACATAATATGCTTCATACATTTATTTATTTTATAATAATTTGGTGCTGATATTTGACATGGTTTCATTTGATTCTGATGATTTTCCAGTTGCAGCATAAATATTTTTCCGTAATTTGAGAAATTGATGCAGCAATTTGTAAAAGAAAAACATTTCAGAAAGAATATATATTGTCATGAAACGTTTGAACAAAGATAATCTTAAATATAAGGCATATCCACATTCCTTTACTGTATAGCCACCTGTTGTAGTTGGCAGTACTTGAATTCCTCCAGAGGAACTTGCAGTATTTATTGACGTCTCTGCTGAGCAGCAAAGGACCTGCTCCTCTGATCACTATGGAAACAGATCATGATAGATGTTAGCTACTCTGTCTCTGTGTGTGTGTGTGTGTGTGTATGTGTATGTGTTTTCTGTTAGTCACCTGACAGTAAGGAGGACACCTTCCTCACAGCCTCCTCCACCGCTGCCTCCATCCTCTCTTTCTCAGCATCTGATAGGTTGTGGCTCTCTGCTGGAATCCAGGTTCTGATTCTGATTGGCTGTGGGGAGGCAGGAGTGGGCGGGGCCATGTTTCTCAGGCTTCTCCTGTGTGTCACTGAGGCCCTGCGTCCTGGAGGATTGGTGTTTAGCGGGTGCACATTGGGTGGGCTGATGGGGTCAGTGGGTGCAGCTCGGACCACCCTGGCCTGGGCCTGAACTTCGTCAAAGATGCACTTCTGCAGGACTCCAGGGAGCTCCACCAACACCACCGTCACCACCAACACCCAGAGCCTCTGGGACGGAGGGGAAACCATAATTATAGCTGCGACCTATTTCAGGGTCACAGCGAGGATGAGGAGGAGTTGTTAGACATTTTGGACATGGAGCTTTATTAAACTGAAGGACATTCATTTATTTAGTGCTCCAAACTATTCAGAAGCAAATTCTCTGGAAGAACTGTATTTCTGGTAATGTGGAGACTGCTTTCAACAGCATTTAGACCTTCACGTTAGCAAATAAAACTCATCAAATATTAGCATTAGGGAGGAACCCAGACTTTTTACCTCGGAAATTTTAAATCCTCAACCCCAAACTAATTATATCCTGTAAATGATGTCAAACCAATGAATGCAAATATAACTTTTCCCAAACTCAACAGAAAATATGGGACTAAATACAGAATGTGAAGATCGCGCAACTTTCATTCGTACCTCTTACATTCTTACAAGGACATAGGCTGTTACGCTATAACATATCTAATAGCCTAGTTTAACATATTTTTAAATGTTAAATATTAGGTTTTTGTTACTTTTTTCAGTCAGATCAGAAAAACGACATGGGGAACTTTTACAGCCAATAAAGCGCTTTAAAATTGTAAGTAATTTGCTGGACTCACAAAGTAAGAAGCCTGTTATCTGGCAATATAAGAATATTTCAATAATACACACCAAAGTAAAACAATTTCCATCATCATTAACATGTCCAACTCAATAGGTTTTGGTTCGGGTATTAGAATTTTAAATGGCTCCACAATATGGGGAAAAGGCCATGTGTTTGCTGAAGAAGCTGTTAAGTATAGAGCCGATTTCATCTGCAACCTTTCATCACCAAAGAATTCAAACCTTAATTACCTTGCCATGATCGAGTAGTCTACTTCCTTCTTCATGTTATCGGCATGCTCCTTTAACCCTGCGCACCGAGTGATGATCTGAGCTTCTGAAGAACCACTGAAAGCTTTCTCTGTGAATCTCAACAGGACTTTTGAATACAAAGCACAATGCAACAACTGCCACCGAGGTGTGAGGTGCGTCTAACACCTCACTCTCCACACACACACACACACACATAAAAACAGACAATACCCAACACCTAAAAGTGCAAATTGTTTAATCTCAGCCACATTGTTACTTATATATACAGTGAAGTTGACCCTAATAAACCATAAAATCACTTTCTCTCTCATTTACCTTATTACATTGCAAATTTAAAACATCCGGTTGCTCCACATCGACCCCAGTACATTCATCAAAGCAGAACAGAACTTAAAAAAGGAAATAAAAACACCGTAAAATGTACAATAATACAAATGGCGCACCACAAATCTGCCGTGTCAAAATGTAACAGAATGTGATGGTTTTCCCCTCGAGGGATGGAGGTTGAGGTTTTTGTGAATTTAGGGCCCCTTTCTTCCTTAGGGCTCCTTTTCCCGTGCACACACACACTTCCTAAAATCAGGCACCGAAGAGATTGTCTTTTTTTGACACATTTTGCTATCGACTACATACATTCACTTGGGATAGATACACAGGTGTGTGTAGACTCCAAACGCTCACTAAAATAGGGGTCCCAAACAGTTATTGCCAGCTTGCATGCAATTTTTTTCTTTCACATTATAATGAAGCCACTGATGTGTCGATGCGTGCTGTGGTGCGAGATAACGTGTGCCTCCGTGTGTTTTGGTGTGCAGTGTGTATTTCAGGAATCAAACTCGTCAAAAAGGCACTTAAATAGGGGAATCTGTTTTTAGAATTGTCTTTGATATATATAACATGAGACTGGATGCAAGTGGCCGAAGTATGGAGACAATCCATGTCTATGAACATACTCCACTGTCAATGACTAAAACGCAAATGCATTCACACAGTTGCAGTCATACAAACATAGTTATTTCCCGTCTTCTAAAATAGGTTACTTCTGTAACCCCGGTTCTCAGAGTAGCACGAGTGAGATGTCTCACTTTGGGATACGCAGCGAGGCGCATCCCAAAGTGAGACATCCAAGTTAATGCTGTGAATGAGAATTAACCAACCATTCAATCTGACGGTAAAACATTGTTTCTTGATAGGGAAGATTTTTTTCTGTGCAAAGGTTCATCTTCAATGTGCAGCCTAGAATTAAGTACACATCCAATCCACTCAGACATACGTCAGCCATGCTTTTCGTCAATCGTTCCCCAAGGAGGTCAAATAAAACGGTCTAATACTTGATTCCATAAGTCATCAAATCCATCTCAAAGCAATTTCAATCAAAAGGCACCAGACTTGAACAGTGCGGCTGAGTCTCACCACTCCTGTGCTTCAGTTCAAACTAATGTGGAAAGACTGGGTTTCAGTTAGTGAGTGAAAGGAGATAAGAGGAGGGGTGGAGGAGTCTTTCAGGTGAGCATGGGCACGTCGTCCTCTGAAGTGGTGTCCTCCGTCAGCGGGATGAGAAGAACCTCGTCATCTGAGGAGGAGGAGGAGGAGGAGAAGGAAGGAGAGGCGGAGAGGGGCATGGAGTTGGCGAAGGAGGAGGGGGAGGCTCTGAAGAGGGAGATGCTGAGCCCCAGTGTGTGGAAGATGGAGGCCAGAGAGGGGCTGCTGGGGGGGGCGTAGACCGGGGGGGCGAGGGGGGTGGGAGCCGGGGGGGCGTACGGAGGTGGTGGGGGCGATGGCATCATCATCAGAGGAGGCGATGCTTCTTGCGTATGCTGCTCCGACTGAGCCATTAATCCCAGTTTCTGCGGCACCGGCTGGTTGACCGCCTCCACGGCCGACGAGGAGCTGGGGGGGGGGGAGAGAGCGGCTTCCTGTGAGGAGGGAGGGGCGTCCGACTGCTGCTGGGCGGAGCTGGTCGTCTGACTCGGCCTGGACGGGGGTCGGGGGATTAAGCCCCACCTCCTCATGCGACGGACGGCCCTGCGGATGAATCGGGGCCGGCGCCGGCGGTGGGGGGAGCTCGCTGCGTCCTGACGGAGCAGCTGGAGGATCCCCCTCAGAGAGAGAGACGACGCCTGACAGGGGACGAAAAGAGACCATTAGTTATAAAAGAAATCTTTCTTTACATCCTAAAATGGTAATTACTTTGAAATACCAGACCAAGTAATACAGAAAACTTGGATCACAAGAAGTTCAAAGTATGTAGCAGTGTTTTCCGCCATTATTTACCAGACGTTGAACGTGAAAATCTGTTTAAGTCTGACAAATAGACATTACATTACATTACATGTTAGACGCTTTTATCCAAAGCGACTAAATCCAATTTGAAGTGTATTCAAAATAGGCTTCAAAGACGAGTCAGCACTCCACAAGCGTACAGAAACATGTTTTCTTTGCATTTTGCCCAAGTCTATTGGTGGGACAAGTTGGATTTGAAATATCTAAAACTTATATATATACATACAAATGCCTTGATAATGACCTTTCTATCAAAGCTCAATAGTCAACAAAGACGTCCAAATCTTCCTGACCGGCACCAATTCCTTCTAACCGAAGCGCCGGTATGTAGCTTGGCCGAATCCCATCAAACAGAGCAGGCTTTGTTTTAAACACCTAATCCCTCCGTCTCCATGACCTCAGCTGTCCTCGGCAACCAATAATAAAAGCACCTCAGTGTGAATCTACGTAGGAACAGCACTATCTTTACACTCTTCCTACATCAGCGCCTTCAGGTGATTCATACGGCTGTTAAAGTAGAGCATGTGCAGATAAAACACGACCACGTCTATATGACAGCGTGCTCCGTTCGGCTGAAGGTGAAGGATGAGCTCCACCGCAGTCTGGCCTTTTTTTCTCCATGAGTAAATATCATGTCTTTGTTCTATTTTAAGCAAATAGGGTGATTTGTCATGGTCCTTAACAAGACTAGGGGAAGTGTTTACGTCATCTTTAAATCGCACTGTGGTAAGATGTCATGGTACTTTAAGGTGCCACTAAAAAAGGGACTGTTGGTGTCCTTTAAAACAAAAAGACAAATGGTTTCAGTATCAGGAAATCATTTCTGAAAAATATCTTAATAAAACTAGGCAACCATATAAAAGAAAACTACGCCTTAAATTGTTGCGCTTGACAGGTTTCACATCAGAAGCTCCAAAAGTACCAGGTGAAATGACAATGAGTTATTATTCATCAGGTAGCAGTACAAACAAAATGGGGACTGTTCTAGTTGTTGCGGTGCTTTTCTCTCTCTCACCTCGTTGGGGTTTTCTGTGGGGAAGTCCTCCACCGGGGGAATGATGCCCTGAGCGATCAGCTGACCGTAGGAGGGCGGAGCCTGCTGCTGGATCAGCTCCGCCTCCTGACGGCTGATTGGTGCAAACAAGCTGGCAGAGACAAACAGACGCATTAAGACACAGCCACATTTAAAAAAACAAAATTGATATGAAGAACTTAAAAAGTGCACATATAGATTACAGTAAAACTCTTTTTTATCCTTCCATCTACATGATTGTTTTTACTTCATAAATATGCTGCACATGGTTGAGAAGTTTAGCTTTTAGACAACATATCATTTAAACACTTCAGCATACAATGTGGAAAGTCTTGTGACTCACTTTCTCAGATTATTAGCATAACGCTATCACTCTGAGTCACAAGAGATCCCTATATGCTGCATACATTTGACGAAAGCATATATGAAATGCTCAAAGGGCTTTGTTGTGATATGCACAGCTACAGTGTAGATATGCAATCAAAACTTAAGTCACGGGCTGAGTGTCTGCTTTGGTGTTAGAGCTTATTTACCTGTACTCCCTGGTCCTGAGCGAGTACAGTTTACAGGTGCAGCCCATGGCGATGACCAGCAGCAACCCACACACCAGGCTGCCAACCGTTGCCGCGGTGATGACCTTGCGGGGCAGGATGACGGTGCAGTTGAGCTCGTCCGTCCCGTCCTTACAGTCCACCTGGCCGTCACAGCGCCAGCTCTCAAACACACACCTGCAAGCGGGACAAAGGGCCGTTTGAGAGTGTGTGTGTGTGTGTGTGTGTGTCCGGGAATAACCCAGGTAAGAGATGCAGTTACACATTAAACTAATGTGCAAATTCCAAAGCTAGGCATTATAATACAATCACATCGATCTTAAAACAGCCTTAGGGCACAAAAGATTGCAGTAATGCGTTTTTATGCTGAATCTATAATATAATATAACTAAAAGACATAAAGTTAATCCCTAATGTTTCTAGTTCACAAGCAAGAAGGTACGGTTACATTTGTTTTTGCATTATCTAGTATGATTTATTCCCTCGTTTTTATAATGGCCATGTATTTATTACCTTTCTCTAACAAGACAAGTGTGTTCTGGTTTTGTGTACAACTACTTCCTTATTGCTACAGGTTCTTTTTAGGTCAGCTGTGTGAGACATTTCCAGCAAGAGATAATAAATGATATCTTATCTCAATATTGAAACACAAGGCACATTGTCAGTTCTTAATTTTGGAGACTGTCTATGTTTTAAAGAGTGGTAAATTCAACCCAACTGTTAAATACACCCTCAAAATACAAAGTGGAATCCCATACTTCAGAAGAATCTGTTAGATAGGGACATTTGTGCACACACCCTCTGACTCACACACACACACACACACACAGTAACCAAGACACACCCCTCACTGATACTTAGCTCACCTCACCACAGGAAGACACATAGCATTTGAGATCACTTGACAGAAACCAAACAGAAGTAGCTGAATGGCTTCCAGATAGACCTCGAGGAGAGACTGTACATAGACCTCAAACATTAGCTTTAAGTCCTAGAGCTTTGAAAGTGTAAACAGGTTCAGTTCCATAACTAGTGAGCAAATCATCTAAAGCTGGAGGTGTCAACTGTTTTTCCCAAGGTCAAGAAATTAATAAAATAATTACTAGAGTTGCAATTGAGTAGTAGACAAACAGATTTGTCAATTGATAGAAAAATCTTTTGTCACAGACACATTTTTCATGCATAAATGGCAGAAATTCAGTTTCTAACCTCTCAAATATAGAGATTTTTTACTTTTCTCATTTTTATATTATAGTCAAGTGAACATCTTTGGGTTTTTGACTGACCAAACTACCTATTAGAAAGACCTTGGATTTTGATATCCATTCATCTCGGAAATAAATCAACAGATTAATGCAATAAAAACGAGACAGCTGTTCCCTCGGAGCCAAGGAGATAAGCAGGTTTTCACCACACACACACACACACACACACCAGAGTTCCCGTTAGCCGGTAATTACCGGACTTTGACCGGTAAAATATGCTGAAGACCGGCAAATCTAAATCTCTCCGGTCAAAATGTCTGGTCAAAATCATTTTCCCTTAGCACAATACCGCTTCAGTTGCGCCACTTATGTGACAGACAAGAAGAGTATGTGACAGACAAGAGAGTATGTGACAGACAAGAAGAGTATGTGACAGACAAGAAGAGTATGTGACAGACAAGAGAGTATGTGACAGACAAGAAGAGTATGTGACAGACAAGAAGAGTATGTGACAGACAAGAAGAGTATGTGACAGACAAGAATAGTCAATTCTAATGTCTAACACTTAATGTGGAGAAAGAGATGTCCTGTATGGTTTGATTGTGCGTTGATCTGTTGGTAATGCCTCGGGGTTCCGGTGGGCATGTAAACAAATGCATAATGCTGCGCTATACTTTGCGGCCTCACCCGGTTGCATAGCGACTTATTGTTTAGGTGTCTTTTAATAAGCAGGTAGTCATATCATTAGCTAGAACCAGCTAGATCTGATCGATATGGACATAAACGCGAGTGAAGTCTAATCTGACGGGAGAGAGAGATCAGCTGCTGCTGACGAGTCGACACGCAGCTCTGCATGATCACCTGCAGCGGTGAGCGGAGCAACACACACTTCAGGTTAGAATATCACACGTAGCTATTTTAATTACCTCTCAAACTACCTAAACTAGTTATAGATGTTTTTAGTTTTACTGTCGGGTCACTCATTACTGGATCCGCGAGCTGCATGATACTGACGGGCTGTCAGGAGAGGGCGAGAGCGCTCTGTTTATTATTCCCGTGTTATTAAAGGTTACTGTAAACTTTTGAATGATGTAGTTAATCTACTATAATTAGTTTGTTTAATATCGAATCATATCAATTTGTTTTAAGCTCAATAAATAACAAAAAACACCTTTGACCGGCACTTTTCTCAAGATTTAAACTTTAACGAACATGTTGACCGGCAAAAAAAATTCTAACGGAAACTCTGACACACACACACACACCAACCTGTCGCTGTCACAGTGGAAGGTCCCGGGCTGGCACGCGGTGCAGTCCCTCTCGTCGCTGCCGTCAGCGCAGTACAGCTGGTAGTTGCATCTCTCCGTCACCGGGTAGCACACCGGTATCCCGGCGAGGCGACTGGACGCCACTGACCTCTGACCTGCCATTCCGCACGCAAACTGGTTGGGGCTGCAGCCTCGGCAACCCTCCTCGTCCTTCCCCGTCTCGGCACAGTCCCACTTCACGTCGCAGCGCTGCTCCTGGGTGAAGCACCCTCCTGCCGCCCCCCCGCACCGACCCTCCCAGGGTGGGCAGTACGTCTCGACGTGGAACGTGGCGTTGAAGCCGTTCCCCTCCGACTCGGGAAGAGTCTCGTACGTCATCGACAGCAGGCCGGTGTGGGACTCCACTTGGACCAATTTGTAATTCGAGGCGCTGGTGATCTGTCAAAGCGCAGGAGGTTAATGTCATGTTGCCCAAAGCCCGTTTTAAATAGTGTTTTTATGTAGACTCCAATAGTGGTGCAGTGATGACGTCCTTTTTTTTAAGTCAACCCAGAAGTAAGCTTCACATCACACAAAAAGCAACAGGATTTTGGAATATTGCAGAAAATATGACCTAATGTACATTAATGATACTTCTATGTTTTGTAGAGAAGAAATTCAGCACGGTTATATGGCTGCTTGTCACTGGCGCTAAGCTAAAGGTGGCTAGTTTCTCGGCATTATAATATTAAGAAGTCTAAATAAGACACTTTTTATTTCCCGCCTAGTGTGGTATTACTGACTTATTTTATGTCGTAGACCAAGCATCTCTTAAGCTTACTTCAGGCTTCTAATCAAGAATACATTTAGTTGACTCTAAAGCAAGGGAACCAGAAGTGGTAAATGCTAACTCATTTCTGGGGTTAAGGACTCATTCCTGCTCCAGTGTATAAAATGTTGGTACATCTCCTAGTTTAAGGAACTCACAATCTTAATAATGTCTCCTTTGCCTTTCTCTCTGTTGTAGATGGAGAGTCTGTCCCCGAGTCCGAGCACCAGCTGCTGCAGGTCCAGTCTCAGGGGCCTCGAGTCCTGAGGGTCCAGAGTCCAGACGCAGAGCAGCGGGGGGCCCCGGAGGGCAGGTGGGGAAAAGGTCCCGTAGAAGGTCTGGAGGAGCCCTCCGCAGGGCCATTCGGGAGTGGGCGTCACCGCGGGCTGCCTGTGGGTGTGAGCCGCCAGTCGATCCACTCTGGCCTCCTCCTCCTCCCTCTCCTTCAGCAGCTCCCACAGGTCAGACCCATTATCTACCAGGAAAGGCTTGTCAGAGTCCCGGTCCTGGTTTCTCTCCGTGTGAGTCTCTTCTGCCTGTGTGAGGCCATGCTTTGTTGGCTCAAGGGTTTCCTCTTCTGCCTCACAGCCCTGCTCATCGTCGCCCTGGCCCGCACCTAGACACTCCGCCTGGCCGTTACAGCGCCAAGAGGAAGGGATGCAGCGGCCCCCCAGGCACTCGAAAGAAGTTACTGGGCATTCATCATAGTCTGTGGGTGTAGAAAGATACAAAGAGAGGAACTAAGATTGCATTACATTAAGTAGAACTGGAATTTGCAGCCAAATGCAAAGCTGCTGTTCTGATATATATTACTAAGAGATAAAGTTTTCCCTTGAACTGTTAAAAACTGCTATCGTACCTCTGGCGTAGTTCAAACGGAAAGACGACACAGGGTACCGTTGCGGAAGGAAGTGGTGCATCACTGTAATGTTTCCCCCCGGGAACTCCATTGGTTGCGGCAGCTTGGAGCCGCAGAGTACAATCGCCTCACCGCCAGCTGATGATTTTATCGACACCCATTCCTTCCTACACCGTGTTTCAAACTGGGAAAAGCTGAGAAGAGACACACAACCTCAGTTTCATAAAAATGCAAAGAGTAGATGCAGTGAGTCTTTAATATCTTAACCCCAGACATGATTCGCTAAGTTAAGACATTCAACACTTTCCACATGGCCTCTGATTCACAGCTAATAATGTCTCTGGTATTTCAAACTCCCTCTGGGCCTCTTTACCTGAGAACAATGGGTTCTTCTTCCGAGCCCTTGATGATCCAGCAGTCATACAGAGAGCCATAGTGGAACGACCAGCTGCGGTACGTAGAACTGCTGATCTCACCCTCTTTGCTGTCCAACACTTGGAGGGAACCCCCACATTTGGCTGAAGGACATTAAGAGAAAGGAGAAAAGCTTAGGATGACAAAAAACGATCCTCTCTTAAAGCTTTAAAAAGAGGCGCCATTATACTTTCTGGGTTTTCATTTTGAACATTAAAGTAGAGGCACAACATACAAATAGAAAAAGCAAGAAAAAGGGCAGAATAGGGTATTTATGGTGTATGGTGTAAACTGGTGACGTGTTGGAGACTATCTTTTAATTCAACCAATATAGCATAAAGTTATCAGACAGTGTTGTCCGGCAGTGGCTCAGTCAGTAGGGGCTTGGACTGGGAGCTGTAAGGTCACCGGTTCAAGTCCCCGACCAGACCTAAAATATGGAGTGTGGACTGCTACTTGGAGAGGTCCCAGTTCACCTCCTGCCCTGCCATTGAGCAAGGCACCAGACACCCCCCTTCCCCCCTCACTCCCCGGGCGCTGTGCAATAGCTGCCCACTGCTCTTAGTACTAGATTCCTGGTACTAGGATGGGTTAAATGCAGAGAACAAATGTCACTGTGTGCTCTGCATGTGTGACCATTAAATTCTAATTAAAAAAAAAAGGCGACAGTTGAAAACAGGTGTTTGGAAAAGTAGTGTGGCACTGAAAGGAAGTCAAAGTATTGTAAAATATAATCTATTGTTTGCAGAGAAGTGTCTAACTAGAATGTGACATTGAAAAACCCTTCATCCACAGTATAAACATGAGATTAAAAAGCTGACGAGATAGTTTCCTTACGGGCGCAGAAGGTGGGCCCGAATCGGCTGCATGCTGAGGGAAAGAAGCAAAAACAGAACCAGTCAGGCAAGTGCTTTGATCAGCATTTGAATGGCATTAGTGTCATGACCTTTGCTTGATAAACATTTAAAGTACTTTGACAGTAAAACATTATTAAGTGTGTATTCACTTACCTGTTAGGGTGAAAACTAAGAGCGCACAGAAGCTGTAAGTGAAGGTCATTGTGGTAAAGCTTCTCCTCTAAAATTATATAAAAGACTTAAAAGGTTTTTTTTTAAAACATCAAAGAAGAGCCATTTTGGGAGTTTTGTTCAGGAAGACTTCACCTGTGAAGGGAAAGGAAAGACGATGATTGAGAGGTGTGGTAGATTTGGTTGTCAGCCATAAAACAGTTAACCCTTTAGAGCTCATAATGTAATCTCTCTTTTCCTCATAGCAACAAACAACCCAGCTAAGGCATGACAACTGTTAATTTAATAGCTATGAAAAGGGCTGACATACTCATGACAATACATTTAGGATGTGATTCAGTTTTACCAAGACAAATACTTATCAAACATGAGTAATAGCATTTACACTCAATTATTTGGGTTCTGAACCCATTTTTAGACAAAACAAGCGAACATTTAAACTGTGGAAACATGTCAAAATGATTGTCGACATTTAAAGATAACAGATTAGAAAACACATTAAATAACTGTTATTTCATTCATAAAACATCAGTGAGAGAATTATACAATTTTAAATGAACCACTTCAGTGTTCCCTAGTGAAACACATACACACACACTGCCAATTCATTTTATTAACTTCCTAGTTTTGTGGGACTTCCTCGTTTGGTGAGACGAAACATTTTACAGGCATATTTATCAGATTAATAAGCGTAAAGTGGATTGTTTGAAACAGATATAAACTCCAAGGCCCACAAAAAGTGATCATTTGTATATACAGTATTATGTAAAATCAACCCATTACTAAAACAATACATGGATATGGTTAATGGGGCCTCTGAAAGTTATTTTTATGCTGAACACTGTGTTTACTCTCTCTCTCTCTCACACACACACACTTCCTTCCCATAATCCTCCCAACAATAACGCCTAGCATTTCCGAGACGAAATCCTCGCCACACAAATAGTTTCCAAGTAACGTTATTTCCATGATTCAGAGTAAAGTGAAACTATTAGGGACACGTGATGAGCTTGATTATTAACTACGTTGGTTCCCTGACAGGTTAAGATAATTTCCTAAAATACGATTAAGACATAGTTTAGCTTTGAAGGAGAAGGAGGCGTCCTCAGTCACAAGAGATTTAAAAGCTAGCTTCCTGCCGAGCTAACTGCTAAAGCTAAAATCCTCACTTTCTGTCTTCGTTTAAAGGCCTTTTCTAGGCGTCGACACCACAAGAAAATGTTTCCTAGTCCGACACAAAGAGTTTAAACACCCAAGGAATTCACAACATGTAGGTCAGAAGCAGCAAAAACCCGATAAAATGCTATAAAAAAAAGAAGAGGAACCGTGTACGTTACCATGTCAGTCGGCCTTCTTGTTGACAAGTTCTGAGCTACTTCCGTATGTTTTAGCTCGTGACGTGATGGGCGTGGCCTAAATGTTTTTATTTACATTCATAACAAATTACGTTTTTCTTCACATAAATGGTTTTACACTGAATGTAAGTATTTAAAATACTGTACGGTTATATTTTTTAACATTCATACAGGGTGGATAATGTCTAAAAGGAGATTAAATGTGACTTTCTCAACACAAGGTGTCAGTGTCGGTTTGTACAAATATACAACATCAGAATGAATTCACAAAAGATGTGTTAGGGACCTCCAAATTTAAGATTGAACACTTTTTTCCATATCAGCATGATTGATTGGAAGTTGTCTTATTGAGCACCCTCAACCAAATACAGAGAAAGTCTTAAAACGTTTAATTTAATTATACATATGCTAAAGTGTACTGTAAGAAAATAAACATGCATGTTTTAAGACATATGTATTTATGTATGTATACTGTATGTAAGTATGAGTGTTTGTCTTGGTCTGATGTGGTTTTCCACCAAAACAATGTTCAAATACTTTATTTTAAATTCCAAAGATTGCATACTCCTCCTTCTTTTAATGAAAAATCCAGACATAATTGTACAAATATTTTCCATTCCCACTGGAGGTTTGAAGTTTCCACATCACACTTGTTTAAGTTGCATATTTTACCACGTCTGGCTTCCAGATTCGTTGTCAAGTTACAAAATCTTCTTGTAATTACACGTCTTGCACTCAGATTTAAGATGAGCACAGAGAAACTTTCCTCCTTCAACAGAATAATGTGAAAACCAAGTTGTGGTGTGAAACTCTGCACAAATATCTGTCTGCATTGTGAAGCTCAGACATCCACGTTGTAACAATAAGCAATGTTTTTAATAAAGGGAAAGCAACAATATTGTAATTTAAAAACACAGAAAAAGTCATGCATTGACATTTAAAAGTACAGTTTGGTGGTCTTTAGTGTTGTGTTATCATATGGTTTGTATACTGAAGCATGCAAGGTTAGCCTTTATATTGTGGCTTTATCAAGCTTCATACTTTAATAACATGGTGATATTGTTTATGAAACGTACCATCCTTAAAGTCAATAAATGGCACAGACATTTAAGTCAATAACCTAAAATAATACGTTTGTACTTTATTCAAATGTTCAAGTGAAACATTCTGAATGCTGGACTTTTCAAATGGTGATATTAATAACATAACCCAGTATATTTCAGTTTCATTAATCGCGACATTTATTAACCTGGTCAGCCATGAAAAATGGCTTCTGGAGGAGGACCCAGAGGACCCAGAGGAAAATCCATCTCTCTCTCTCTCTCTTACTCTCTCGGACCACGTCCACAGGAGGCAGACAATCCTACCAGAGGACAGGCAGCCCAAATATGAAGATTGAGTGACCTCCAGCTGAGCATTTGTCCCAGCCACCTGATGATTTTAGCATATTTTTCTGTGTTTTCTCCTGCGCTCTGGCTGTGAAGGACTCGCCTTTGCGCACAAAAGCAGCCCGGTGCGCACAAAGTGTCCATGCGGAGACGATAAAAAAAACTTTTCTGCCACGTTTTTAAAGCAGAAAGGAATAGGATCGACTTTTTTTGCTGTCAGGGCGGCTGGACTTGTGTAGAAAGTACATTTTCAGAAGTTTTTGTCCCGGGGCAGTTTGCAGACAGAATAATGCTGCCCCAGCTCCTCACCGTGGCCTGTGGTCTCAGCTGCTTTGGTTTCACCTCCGTCACTGCAAACCTATTAAAAGCAGAGGTAAGTCTTATGGAAAATCATAAATCGTTAACTTTTAACAATGCAATTTGTTTTATACATCAAGTTGAGCAAATGTAAAACGTGTCATTAAATATATGATGTGTAAACAACTTGTTCCATCATCCTAGCTTTTAAATGTTGTTTTTTCAATTAAAGTTCTTAATATTCCTGGATGAAATATGTTTAGCAGCATAACGGGTTGTTATTATTATTGTATGTGTTTAACCTCTTATTGTTTGGCTACAGGGATTTATAGTTTCACTGATATCTGTACTTTGTTCTAATGTTTAGATTTATCTAATTTTGCAACAGCATGGGAGGAACTGTTTACAGCTCCATGTTTATTCTTCCGCCTTCAAACTCTCCTGTTTATCTTTCCTCACTAAGAGCTGCCTAAAAGACTCCATCTGTAATAAGAGATGAAACTTCACCAAGAGGGAAAAATGTCCTGAGTCTAAACTCTTGTGGCTTGTGAAGGAGGAGGGGGCAGTGCTCAGTTTGGAAACCTCAGCTGAGCTGCTTTGTTCTGAGAAAAAAAGGGGGTAGTGATGGTATACGGGGGAGGGGGGCTAATGGTTTCATCTGTCTGTGTAGACGGCACAGGACTGCATTCACAACAAGCCGGACACGAGTCTGGGTCTGACTGCAGGCCTCAGGCAGATTAACCTTCAACTCAACAACATATTGTGTCTCCAGGTCGCGTGCAGCTCAGTAAATGATTGTGTACGAGTGGCCATGGGCCTTGGCCCTTTTTACATTAACTCTGATGGTAGTACCAGAGGTCAAACCGGTGTTTGATGTGAGCTTTTAGTCACATTGAGTCAGGAACTGCACAGGATGCACTAATAGGCAGCTGTCAGAGGAAATTCACAGAGCAAAAAGTCCAATAGTTTATTTGCAAGAGCTGCAGTTCTGTGTGGACAGGATGCACGAAGGAGGACCTTAGTCACTTACCACAAGCTGCTGTGAGTCAAGCCAGACATGGTGGATAACTCAGACAGTTTATAAGACGCCACAGGCGGCTAGCCTCTGACACCGTGATGAATGCCTGTAAACAAAAAACACGACTGTTTACAGCACTTTATAACACCTCTAATGTAGCAGTTCAACAACCCACAGTGCAGGATTCAATGTGAGGCACATCTGATGAAGAGTGAATGTTCAGGTAATTTGCTATCAAGCTGTCAGACAGTACTGATGCAGAAAGAGGATAAGAATTAATGATGGGTTCAGGATTACATCACTCGAGAGACGCACGTGAACCCTGTGATCAAAAGATAGACGTGTCTGTGTGCGGAGAGAGCAGAGATGGGAGAAAGATGTGACAAAACAACAACTGCGTGACATAATTGTTTAATTAAAGTCGATGAAGTCGGTTGAGAAAGAAGAAGTCAGACCGAGGAACTGAGTTTCACAGGAATGTTGTGGTCAATCAGGGTTGCTTAACATCTTAACACACTGACTTCACTCTGACAAATCAAAGCCATGTAATCCATGCTGAGTAAGATGAGAAGCTCCACAAATAGAGAAATGAGACTTCCACTATTCTCTGAAATGTACTCTAGGTGAAGTGGAGTGCCTTTTTGCGGCCTCTAGCATCTGTTTTCATTCACCTCTTTTGCCTTGTCTAACCTTTCTTTACTTAAACAAAAAGCTTAGTGGGACCTTGTGAGGAAAGGAAGTGGGCAGCAATGAAAACAACAGGGTCTAAAACAGGATCTCTCCATATCTGGGTAAAAGAAATTCTGGAGATTTCCCGTTGCCATCTGGAGACACATGTCTGCTGATCACAGCAGAGGGTTACAGATCCGAGCAAAAACACATCTGGGCTCAATCGTCCTTATCTCAGCAAGTGGCTGTTGATGTATAGCATCAAAAGAAAATCTGACAGGCAGCGGTTGTCACTTAAGAAACGTCAGCTGGATCGACCTTAATGAGAAACTGATGGACTTCAAGGCAGAAGGGGAGTCTATCTTAACCCTACACTAAAAAGAAATGGCCCACCTTGCACATAGAGGACATCAAAGAGAAAAACGTTTCCACCATGATGTTGGAGGCGTGTGGCGCAGTGGGTTGTGCGTAGGTGTTAGGATCAGGGGGTCACAGGTTCAAACCCCACTGCAGTCAGCATGTCGTTGTGTCCCTGGGCAAGACACTTCACCCCAAATTGCTCCTGTGGGGATTGTCCGCAGTATTGAGTATGTAAGTCGCTTTGGATAAAAGCGTCTAACAAGTATCATGTAATGTAATGTTGGAAGTGCAGGATTTTAAGATGAATGCATTTTAACATAGATTTTCAGGTGCTCAGCTGGTTGGATTTGACTTAAGCTGTCGGCCAGATGTGCTTAACCAAATGTGGCTGTATCACCAGCTACCTTGTAGAGGTACACATATCTCTTGGGAAACACTCCAGGCAGTGGTGGAAAGTAATTAAGTGCATTTACTTACATGCTTTTTGACAGTATTTTCCCGTTATGCTACTTTATACTTCTACTAGATCACATTTCATAAGGAAATATTGTAGTTATAGCTTATAGTTATACACACAATAACTGTTGTTGGACCCTGTAGCATGATAACACAAATTCTTCTCAAGATTTACTTACTAGCTTTTTTGGTATTTGCTCAGTTGTCTTAGAGATAGCTTGTTTTAATCAAATGATCTTAGATCCAGCTGTAAAAAGGAGTGCAACTGCAGTAACAAGTACAATATTTCCCTTTGAGTAGAAGTAGAAAGAAGAATGAAATGGAAAAACTCGGGCAAAGTAAAAGAACCTCACATTTTAATTGCAGAACTTGATTCCACTATACTGGGTCCTATGGTGCCATAAACCAATTTACCACTTCATTAGCATCACTGCAGCCACAGAAAACATCAGATAAATAAAGTTTCACTAAAGCAGAGTCAGGGATTTCATCCGACCTGGTTGACCCGGTAGAAACTGAACGCAGAACAATATTGCATGTCGCTCATGTCAGTGCTAACTGGGTCAGAGCCGCCAAGAAATAAAGGCAACGTGAGATTCAGCCACTCAGGAGCAGGATTCTCAGTTTTTTCCGTTGGCACCGGGCAAGAGGAACAACTGACTCAGTCCCTCAAAATTTAATTCAGCCGTACTCATAACCTCTCTCCCTCTCCCTACTTTCCTTTTAACGCTATTCCTTCTAATGTCTTTACCTCTCCTTCCCTAATAAAGCTCTGGACTTTAGATCATCTTCTTCTGTCCTTCATTCCTGCAGAGATTTGAAAGACAGAATATATTTATAGCTTTGTGAAGCACCTTGAGATGACGTTGTTTTTAAAGTGTGCTATATAAATCAAATGTATTATTATTATTATTTATTATATAGCAAAGCAAAACGCTCATAGAGGTAACTTGAAACAAAGTGTTCTTATACTAGCCACATATACACAGAAAGGCCTCATATGGTATTGTTAAACAGACATCTTACTGAAGTACTGAGTGCTTAATTCATGGCTTCTTTTAGTATACATTGCATACATTTAGACAAAGCCCCACATGATAGATGTAATGACACCTTCACTTCCTCAGAAAATGTCCTCATTCTGTTGTTTTTTTACCACAGGAGTTATTCATATACAGGGGATTTTTTTCATATTGTTTATTCCTCCTTGTGGTTGGGTTTTTTGTACAGAGCAGTGTGACAATAAGTGGCACCCACATGTCCTGTGATGGGTGACGGGGCATTGAGAAATACATGCAGCAAAGTCACATTTTGTAGTTGTCCGTATTCTTTGGGTTGACTTTTTTTCTGCTGTGAATTATAAAGTTGCTTGATGTGTCCAATATTCCGAAATATTTCACATTAGCAAGAAACCTAAAGGGGACAATTTCTCAGTCAGTTTTATGTTGTAGTTACTCGAAAAACTTAAGATGCTCTGTGATGAATCACTTGGCCGATAAAAAGCATATTCATTTTTTGTTTAATAGAATTTAAGACAAGGAAACACAGCGTATCTTCACGTTTAAAGAGTGGCAATTGCGTTTGCCATTTTTGCTTAAAAAATGATTATAGATTTTTCTAAATGTGAAAAATCTCCAGCTCTACATGATATAATAGGGTCACAGTAGGGTCAAAGAATCCATGCATACATCCCACAACTCCACCAAAATAATCTGTTCTTCCACCAGTTTCACATCACTCTGGTCGTGTTGCAGTGTCTGTGCATTATACATTTAGACCTTGCGTCACTGCGCACACACACTGCACACTCAGGAGTGTGTTTACCAAACCCGCAGCCAGCCCTTTGACCACACATGGCCGTGTAGCGAGCTACCTAGCCACCCCAAGGCCAACAATACCAGCCATGTACAAGTCTCAATAAATAGAAGCTTTGATGGTGGTTGCTGGGAGTTCCAGGGAGGAGGGGTGCATGCTGGGATACCTGGCGTCTCGACCGGAGGTGGTGGGTAGAGTAGTTCGGGACTAGAGAGGTAGAGAAGTGGAGGTCTTGACGGTGTGGGGGAGTGTTTTTATAGAAGCAGACGCGTCTCCACGGTGGAGCCACAGGACACACTGGCAGCAGTCAGTGGAGAGGCACAGAATGTAAATTTGGTTGGTGTTACAGGCAGATTGACATATAAAGTCAGGGGGTAAATTAGATTAACTGGATGCTTAAAAAAAGTTGATAAAATTGTGAGATGCAGAAATGGGGGGAAAAAGGGGGTTGCCTCTCTCCAGGTAGTCATAAGTGACCCTTGTTCCTCTGGCCTCTTTGCCCAGCACATGTAACAGTAGCTGTGTGTGCCCAGGCAGTACAGCCAGGTTAGCCCATGCAGTTGCTACATTTCATCCTTCCCCCCTCTTGCTTTTCCCTTCACTTGTCTAAAGGAAGGTGAAAGAAGAGAGATATCTGTGGTTTAGAGATGACGCTAACGAAGGAATTCAGGGAAATTCCTCCGACTTAATCTGTGGTGGAGATCAAGATGTGAGCTTAACTCTGTGTGTGGAGATACATAAGTGGAAACAAACTGTTCAAGACGCACTTAAGCTTCTAAAACTCCATAAAAGCGGGCCAGGAGATGAGAAAATCAATACCATCTTTTAGTAGTGGTTAAATATGGAGCAAAAGCCCACAGACAGTTAGCTTAGCTTAGTTTAGCACAAAGAGTGGACACAAGGGAGAACAGCTTGCCTTTTTCTAATAATTAAGAAATAACAGTCATACTCTTATGAATGAAAAGTAAAAGGTATAACCATCCATAAAAACCTTTAACATTTCAGCAGCAAAATACTTACCTGGTCTGGTTTGACTAGTAGCTTAGGTTAGCTAATGTTAGCAAATGTACAACACAGTCTCACGGCATTTCGTGTTATAGTCACGAAATGAATCTATTGATTCGTGTTCACCAACACGATTTTCCCATTTTTTTCGTGTCACACAGAACGATTTTAAAAGCAATGTAAATAATAACAAATTTGAAGGAAAAAGAGATAAAAAAAAAATACAGATTTCAGTATTCTGACACAGAACGATTTTAGAAGCAATGTATTTGCAATATATTATATTGGTAGTATGTTTCGTGCCTGCACCAAATAATAACAAATTAGAAGGAAAATAAGATGACAAAGAATACAGATTTCAGTATTCTGAGGCTCTGAGCCCCATTTCTTTTCCTCGCGGACGGTAAAAAAACTCAGACATTATACAATTTAAAATAAAAGGGTTAGGCTTAGGGTAAGATATTGAGTAAGACAATGTTTTTATGAACCACACAGACCACCACACACATTCAATGTCTGTTTTTACTTTTGCTCTAGCCTTAATGCTAAGATAAACTTCTCCCAGTTTCATATTTAACAGAAATAAGTGAATGAACGACATTAATTGTCTTAGCTAATACTCAGCAATTCCTTTATTCCTTTGAGTCTTAGACCACCAGCAGCAGGCAGTGGAAAGAAAAGGCGTTTTTTCACGTGTAAAGATAAATAGTTGTGGTTTTGGTTGACATGAAGACAGAAAGAGAAAGAGTAGGAGGAGGACAGACAGAGACAGTGCAGGGAGATCTTAAACTCAAGCTTTGAAGAACCTAAATGTTGCAGAAATTGCTGCTTTTTCCAGCGTTTGAGAGCGGCAGTTGTTTTTGGCAGCGATCGTCTAGACAGACTTGTGGGTCATGGTGACTAAAATGACATCAGTGTTTTCAGATTGAGTGTTTTATTTGGCTTTCAGTTCCTCTCTCGTCCTTTCTTATGACCCCACAACAAAGTTTCCCCTAACTAGCTCAGCATAAATCATGGGTGCAAGCGAGGTTGGGTTTTAAGAGTTCATAAAAGGGATCATGTCAAAGTCACATGAAGAAACAACAATACATTTAACATGCCGAATTACCTCAGTGTGTGTTGGCTGCTGTGGGGGAGAGTGTGTAGCTTAACAAGTCACACACAAACCCGCACAAACACACACTGTGTCTCCCTTATTCAGATGCAATCTGTGTGATGCATGTGAGCTCAGGGACGCAGGTCCAAACTAGCTCTGAAAGGTGACTGGAAGTAGAAAAACACCAACAGGTTCACACAAGTGGACCAAACCCTTATTTTCTGTTGGCTATGGTATTTTCTTGTGGTTTTTCCCGATGTTTCTGGCATGTCTGACAAAGAGCAGACAAAGAAACTTAGAGGCAAATATGTATGGGGTTACAAAACTACTAATTACTGCTTAGTAGAAAGTAAAAGCCTCAAAATAATTGTATTTTAGCACACACATGATATTTTCCATTAGTTTTTGGGTTGTCTTTAACATTTTGGATTTTATGGAAGAGCCCAATAGCAGCCAAGATTTTTAAGGTTTGCTGTTGATAACTTGAGGCAGCATCCCTCCTTTTCTACATCAACAAAGTGTGATATCTGCCTGATTATCAAATATGTATTTTTCAGTTGAGAATGCAGAATGTTTTCAGAAGAATATCATAAGATCCTATAATAAGTCATAAAGATATGTGCTCTGGTAGACTTAATTGTATGTTCTCTCCCCCTCTCTTGTAGGGCTGGCTGCAGCAGTATGGATACCTGCCTCCTGGGGATGTCAAAGCCCAGGCCCTCCGCTCACCAAAGTCCATCGTAACAGCGATATCAGCCATGCAGAGGTTTTACGGATTGACTGTCACTGGATCCGTAGACTCCAACACGTTAGAGTGAGTCATGATTGAAAGCAACGTTATATAACTTATTGGTGTCCAATTCTTGAGGTTTTAAAGCCGTCAGATCATTTGATGATTTGGGATTGAAGGGGGATTTAGACTGTCGAAGAAAACAAGGTCACCTTTTTGCAAATGAAGTGTCCTTCAGTGGGTATTTAGTTATGATTGGGAATTTTATTTTTTGCTTCTGCCAGGGCGATGAGCCGGCCGCGGTGTGGCGTCTCAGACAAGTTCGGCCCGGAGCTGAAAACCAGTCTGAGGAGGAAGAGATACGCTGTGCAGGGTCAGAAGTGGGAGAAGTCTGAGGTCACCTTCAGGTAACCTGCTCAAGATCTTGACTTATTATTTATTTTGAGCTCATATTAAATTAAACACAATTCAAACCAGAAATACTAAGTATAACTTTAACAATCCACACAGAATAAAAAAAACACAGTAAATGTCTGGATTTAAACTTTCTTTATGATTTAAGTGTAATTTCTCAATAATAGTGAAGTAATCTCATTTTTTGCATTATGTATTCAATATAGAGACCCTTGTTTCTAAACCATTTGATATCTTTTATTGTGAAACCTGTTTTAAAAAAAAAAATTCTTAACTTTCTTACTTGTATAATGTTGAGTCGACTCCATCAATCCCAACCCGTTAACTTTCTCTCCATCTTCTCACAGCATAGAGAACTACACCCCTAAGATCGGAGAACACGCCACGTATGAAGCCATCCGAAGAGCCTTCAAAGTCTGGGAGAGTGCGATCCCGCTCACCTTCAGAGAGATCCCCTTCAGCCACATCAGAGGCAAGGTGGACAAGTACGCAGACATCATGCTCTCCTTCTCAGAGGGTTTCCATGGCGACAGCACGCCTTTCGATGGCGAAGGCGGCTTCCTGGCTCACGCTTACTTCCCCGGGAACAGCATGGGGGGAGACACGCACTTTGACCTCGCTGAGCCCTGGACCACCGGGGACACAGACCAGGGGGGTAAGAGAGAGAGATTCAAGTTCAATAAACACAATAAAACAGATAATAGTGCAAGTAAATAAAATAAAATAGAATATAATAGAAATAGTGCAGAATAGTCTATATACAAGTAATTGGAATATTGATATATATAAGTTGCAAACAGATGGATGTTATGGATGTTGTTTCAGAAGTTCAGGTGTTTAACAGTCTTATGGCCTGTGGGATGAAACTGTCCCTGAGTCCGATGGTTTTAGTCCGGATGCTGCGGAAGAGCACACAGTGAATTATATATCATTGTAGATATGTAAAACTTAATGGCATTGTTCTCTCTCTGAAGGTAATGATGTTTTCCTGGTGGCCGTCCATGAGCTGGGTCACGCTCTGGGTCTGGAGCACTCCAACGACCCCGCTGCCATCATGGCCCCCTTCTACCAGTGGTTTGAAACGGAAAACTTCCAGCTCCCAGATGACGACCGCAGAGGCGTCCAGGCAATCTACGGTGGGTTGTTCTCCTAAAGGAAGTGGGAATTTATTAGATATATATGCAAAGATGTTCCTCTTATACCATCCACAACCTTTTAGCTACCACTGTTCCTCTCATGCTTTGAGCTAAATGCTAACACACTAAAAATGACATGCTAATGTTTGCCAGGTATAATGTTTTTCTAACTTAATTTAAGATGTTGGCTTGCTAGAACTTAACACAAAAAGCAGCTGTGGCTTATGTCAAGAGCTTTGCAGGTATCTAGCTATAAATCTATTGGACACCCATTTCTGAAATGTTAAGGAAAAAAACACGCTGTAAACTTAGCCCAGATGCTAAAAAAAAAAATGTGGGATACTATTCCGAGAAAGAAGACATATCATAATGATTTACATCACATGACTTACATCAGGATTATTATTTTTCTTCACATTGGCAGAAATGAGCTTCCATAAAAATCAAAGGATTAAACATATTAAGATTAAGATTAAGTCAAAACCCCAAAATTGAACCTCAAGGTTGCACCAAAGGAACAGTATTGGGATTACCTGAAGGATTCTGGGAACATTGAATGTCATGGCGATCCATTTAGTATTGGAGATATTTAAGTCAGGACCATAGTGGTTCAGTATAGTGTTGGTACATAAATGCATTAATATATGTTATTCATCATTTCCCACAGGAAGCAAATCTGGTGGTCCCCCTCCTCCCCCTCCGCCTCCTCGGCCCACAAAGTCGTACGTGCCCGATAAGGGCCCAGATGTGTGTGAGGGACACTTTGACACCATCGCTATCCTCAGAGGGGAGAAGTTTGTATTTAAGGTACAGAAGACAATTTTTTTTCGTAGCAATACAATTATTTTAAAGACCACATTCTATCATTTGTTTCCCATTGACTTGTGCAAGTGTCCTACCTACTACTTTCTACTTTTTCTAATCTATGTGTGTGTGTTTGCAGGACAAGTGGTTCTGGCGTGTGCGCAACAACAAGGTGTTGGCAGGTTATCCGATGGCCATCAGTCACTTCTGGAAGGGCCTGCCTTCAAACATCCACGCCGCCTATGAGAGGGATGATGGGAAATTTATCTTCTTCAAGGGTAGGTCCCATCATATTGAAACCAGATTTGAGACGATACCGCAGTTGCTCCAGTGATTCAATTCATGTGTTAACTATTATGACCGTTTCTTATGATCTTCCCTTTCTGCTTTCTGTCTCCCCTTCTTCTCATCTTGCTGTTTTTCTTTCTCCAGGCGACAGGTACTGGGTTTTCAGTGAGTCCACCATGGATAAGGATTCCCCCAAGAGCCTGAAAGATATGGGCACTGGTCTACCTAAAGATAAAATCGATGCTGCTCTGTACTACACACCCACAGGCCAGACGTACTTCTTCAGAGGCAATAAGTGAGTCTGACTAGGAGTACTTTCCGTCATCCTCTGTGGGAGCATTCCTGCAGTACTCGTGCAAAGATGTAATCTCTTTCCCTTTTGTACACACAAATGCTGCTTGTGCTTTTTGTACCGTTCAAGTTACCTGTTCTCACTTGAATCAAACTTATCTGTGAATTTGTAAGGAAGATAGCGTCCCTCATGGCAGTTCTCTGACTCACTTTTCCTGTCTTTTGTTCAGTTGCATAATACTACTGCATACGTTAAAAAATAAATAGCATGTTTTCTCATGCTCTTCAGAATCCACCTAGAAGTTACCATTTCTGTGTAGTCCAACCCTAACCCTGTTGTTCCCCTAGTGCCTTTGTTCTTTTAGGAGATGATTTCTAATACTGTAGATATTTAATAGTTTTTTGTCATTTGCAGGTACTACCGTTTCAACGAGAAGACTCGCACCGTGGACAGCGGTTATCCAAAGCCCGTCAGCATGTGGAGCGGTGCGCCGGAAAACATTAAAGCTGCCATCATGAGCGAAGACGGATGTAAGTTTTCCCTTATTTGTGTCTATAATCGAACATAGTTAGAGGTGCAACAATGAGTAAAATACACACATAGAATTGTTGATGAATGGGAATATAATTGGTAGCTTCTTAGACAATCGATTAATCATGAGCAAGGAAAAACGGTGAACAATCTCTCGGTTCCAGCTTCTTAAATTTGAGGATTTGCTACAATGTTTGTCTATGAGATAGTTAACTGAAAATCATAACAATTAACCACATGAATTGGCAGAGGAATTGATCATGAAAATTTGGTGATGAATCGTTGACGTACATGTAGCTGTTTTAGCCGAACTGAAATACTTTTATTTGCTGTGTATTCAATAAAACCACCCTCCAAAAACTAATCATATCTCTTGGTCCATCCTCAGCTTACACTTACTTCTACAAAGCCAACAAGTACTGGAAGTTCAACAACCAGTACATGAAGGTGGAGTCCGGCTACCCCAAGTCTGTGCTCAGAGACTGGATGGGCTGCGAGAGCGAGGACCCCAAGAGAGGTCGGGAAGGGGATGTGATCATCATCGAGGACGTGTCGCAGGGCGGCGCCGGGCCGGCAGCCGTGGTGATCCCGCTGCTCCTCCTGGTGCTGGTCGTGGTCACTCTGGGAGTGCTTCTGGTCTTCAGGAAGTACGGCACGCCTCGACGCCTCCTCTACTGCCAGAGATCTCTGCTGGACAAGGTGTAGAGGAAGTGAAAAGACAGACTGCCACAAAGGGACAGAAAGAGAGGGGGAGAGAACTGGAGAAAAGACGGGATAGGAGAGGGGCCATGTGTTAAGTTTTGGGTGGTTTGTATGTGCCACAAAAGAGAGGGAAAAAAGGCCCTAGAAACTGAAATCAGGAAAATGCGTATTTGTATGTTAACTATTTACTGTTCAGAGATCATTACCCACAGTCTCACATAGAGACACAGAGACTCATCAAAGACTTCCCTCCATCCTCTCCTCTCTCACATCACAGGTATAAAAAAAAAAAAAACATCCCTCCTTCCTTCCTCTCCTTTAACTGGACGACTCCAGCTGAACTGCTGTCTGACTCATTTACTCAGAAATTCATCATCTCTGTCACAAGTTTGTGCTCAAAAACATACATTTGTGGTTGGGGGGTTTTTGGGGAAGCTTTACTCAGAAATTCATTCATTACAACGTCACATTTCCAATGTTTTTGCTAAGTTTGGATATTTGGCTGAGCAGTATTTCCTGTATTTCTTAGGTTTCTTTTCTACCACTAATTAGGGCTGGGTATCAAACCTCAGATTTCTGCCTAAACATTTGTTTTACTGCACGTAGTATTAAAAGTTCCAGATTTAAAGACTATTATTTCCTTTACCGTCGCTTGGGTTAAGAAAACAAAATTTAAGAAAATAAGCTAATTTTTCTCACACCTAAGGTACTGACGTTTTCAAAAACAACACCTTTTAAAAAGATACTCAGCCCTACTACTAAAGGAATAATCTCCCATTTAAACGCAAAAAGTTGACCACGTTTCAGGTTGGATGTAGCTCAGTATATAGCATGTACTTTATGCACAGTGTTAGTGTTGATTGATGCAGATTTTGAACATGCACAGATAGGATTTACGATTTGTTTATCCGGGATAATGTCCGCGAAAGTCCGACTTAACATGCTGGAGGCGATTTCCCCTTGAGGTGCAGATTGAAAAGATTGATGGTACAACTAAAAACCTTTATTACGTGCTTTAATCTCAACTTGATTCAGTGCAAGCAGTCAGACGGGGAGAAATATTTTCTAATAAAACGTGATGTTTTAACTCACGAATGACAGTTTTTCTAACATTCCAGTACATTTGTTTTAGGTACACTTCCCAACAATATGGTGCAATTTTTTTAATTATTATCGTTGTTATGGGAAATTGTTGTTATTATAAGTATGGTTATTGTTATTATTGTTCTCCTGGTAAAGTTATGATGATTTTTTCTTGTCTTTTATACATTGTCATTTGGAGTCCTGCTGGACAGAGGCGTAACGTGACAATGGTGGAAATCTTTCCCAGTTTACACTCAGCATGTGATGAATTAAAATCCAATCGGGGGGGAATGTGACTTCAAGGTGTTTCCTTTTACTCCGAAACACCTGAAATTACAGAGATGTTGGCACACAATAACAAGCAATGCTATTTATGTACTTTGACAGTGCTCAATGTTTTTTTTTCTTTTTTTACACAAATCAAAATTGAAGGTGATTTAATTTAGTTCATAACAATGATAATGGTAATGATATTTATAATGATAATCATATCAATAAAGTTGAATGAGATTTTTTTTTTCCTGCCTGTTTTCACTTTTGGATTTCATCAGATAAAGGGAAATTAAAAACAATTCTACAATCTGGTAAAACATTTCTTCCATGCTTTCATATTCTGTTTACACTCTTAAACACAAGCAGGCCATTTAAAGGTGGGGTAGGTAATTTTGGAGGAACCAGCTCGAGTGCGCTAGAATTTGAAAATACACAGCCGGAAAAAATCTGCCACTTCCTTACAGAGCCCCTCCTCCAACACACACGAACGCGCACATGACCAATGAGGGCACGAGATAAGTTTGTGCACAGATGGAAGGCTGACAGGCAGGTAGGCCATCCAGTTATTTTAGCCGGGCCGGCTAAAATGACTGGTCGTACTTTTTACAGTACTACGGCTTCCACAGATGACATTTTTTATGGATTTTTTGTCAAAGCACTTAAGATATGTATTGCTATCGGGATGTTAAGAGCATTCCATGGAATATAACAAAAAGTGTATCTCGAGCCGGTTTCTCAAACTTACCTACCCCACCTTTAAGTAGCAGGCCTATTATGCTTTTCTGGGTCTTCCCTTTCCTGTTGTGTGTTATATATATATAGCTTTGTGTGCATGTAAATGGTCTGCAAAGGCTAAAATCCCTGTGTTTCCTCCAGAGGGAGTTTCTCTCACCGCCAAAAAAATACATATATGAACCTGAAAACCAAAAAAAGGTTATCAAACTGTTCAGGAAGAACTCAGTAAGTGAGCAAAGTCACCTTCAATGATGTCGTGAATGCCTCTTAAAGCCTCAGAAACAAACCCAGGAAATACAAAATGGCCAAGCTGAAAACATGTTTGTTTACTTCCATCTTGAAAAGTTGACATTTTGAAGAAGTGTTTTGCTTTTAGCAGCGTCGTTATGTCTTCTCTGGATTCAGGCCCTTCGGAAAACACTCCACTTGTGTCACTCTTCCGTGCTACATGCTAAAAACATGAACTGGACTATGTTGTAATCTTCAATATGTACTACTTGGCAGAAAACCCAGAAACACATTACCAATTTGCGCTTAGAAGGAAATTTGCAAGCTCATCACTACCATTTATCACCAAAATGTTTCTTAGTTTGAGATTAAAGTGTTTGGATGACATGGTTTGTTTGGGATAATTACATTCAGTTTCAGTCTGAGCTGTTGCCAAATTAGCATCTGCTATGGTTGCCATTTTTTTCAGTTGGGAGTATTCCTCTCCTGAACTGCTCCACTGACAACATTGTCAAAACACGATGGAACTGATTATTGAGTACTTCTGCACCATCTAATCATCACCTCATTTCCATTTGATGATGTATATTAACGGAAATGATCCATCAATTTAAACAGCTGACCTTCTGTATGATATTCCTCAGTAAACAAGCAGTGATGTGTTGTACAAAAAACTAAAATGTCAGTCTAAATACAGCCACGACAGCGCTGTGTTTTGGACGTGGAGCCAGCAGTCATGTGTCGAGGAACGAGTCGGAAAAAGTGATGGAACGGTCACATTTTTTCAGAAAAACGCGTTCCAACTGAACATCTGGTATTCTTGAAACATCTGAACGTCCAGGCCAAGCCCAGCTGCGTGTGTGTGTGTGTGTGTTTGTGTGTGTGTAAGTTCAACACACAAAAACCTCTTTAAGTTAATTGTAAAAACGTGAGAGGAAAAAGCATGTGAAAGACAAAGAGAGAAAAGGAAGAAAGAAGTGAGAAAGGCAATTAAACAGAAATGATTTGGGGTGGGGGGTTTCCTTTTGCAAGCTGCCTCCCTCTCTCTTATTCCCTCACCCGCTGCAAAAGTGCTCTCTTTATGAGGCTTCAGTCTCGAACCACAAGTATCTCTCGTCTGTTTTTCTCTTTCTTTCCTCCCCCATTCGACCCCACTATCCTCATGCCTTTCCGTTTTAACTCTTCACATACTGTCAGAGTAGCGGTAAACAACAGCATCCTGGATGAACCTCAAGATAACGGCAAACAACAACAATAAGAGAAATAACATTTCTGAAAATAGGTCAGGCGGTAGGCATCTGTGGTTTTATCTAACCACAGTATATTCATGTGAATAACACTTTCCGGAACATATGGCCTTTGCCTTTTGGCACTTTAACCATTTAAACTCCTGCTTTGTGTTACATGATTGTTAAAAGTGTGCCTTATGAACACAGGTTTAATTTACTTTGTATTAAAGGGGCCCTTGTAAAAGGTCTTCAAAGGCTTAAATCCCAAGGTTCATTGCAGAGGGAGTTTCTCTCTCACACACTGCCTGAAACGCCTCTATTGGACTCCTTTGACATCAAATCAAATCAAATCAAGTTTTATTTATATAGCACATTTTTAAAACGTTTTTGGTCGAGCCAAAGTGCTGTACATATAATAATTACCTTACAGTAAGGACACTTTACAGCAAATACAACAGCACAGTTTGTGCAGAATATCAGTATGAGAAAACGACACCCTCTGTCCTTAGACCCTCACATCGTACAAGGAAACACTTCCGGAGAAAAAACCCACAGTTTAAAGGGAAAAATGGGAGAAACCTCAGGGAGAGCAACAGAGGAGGGATCCCTCTCCCAGGACGGACAGACGTGCAATAGATGCCGTGTGTAAGAGATAATACATTTTACAGCGTAGGTAGACCGAATGTTTGGAAATGCATGTGTCTATAATAAGAAGATGAATCCACGAAGATGTCAAAAACATCAGGGAAGCAGCATGACGAGACCCAGGCAGGACCGCAGAGACAGGCCCAGCCACGACCCGAAGTCCACGACTTAATCCAGAACTCAGACATCACTATGTAACACTCGCACTTCTATTGGCTAACGCTCCAACACATTGTACGTGATAGGGCTAAGGGGCGGGATATCTCTAAGTGGTTGACCAATCACAACAGAGCCGGCCAGCTAACCAATCAGAGCAGACTGGGCTCTGGTTTCAGACAGAGGGTGAAAAGAGGTGCTGCAGCACAGTATGAGAAAAATAAAGAGCTTTTTGAACATTAAAGCATGGAGACATGTCCCAGGAGAGACACTACATACTGATATACACCTGAACATCAGCAGGAGAGGACTCTTTAAAGTAGAGACACTACATACTGATATACACCTGAACATCAGCAGGAGAGGACTCTTTAAAGTAGAGACACTACATACTGATATACACCTGAACATCAGCAGGAGAGGACTCTTTAAAGTAGAGACACTACATACTGATATACACCTGAACATCAGCAGGAGAGGACTCTTTAAAGTAGAGACACTACATACTGATATACACCTGAACATCAGCAGGAGAGGACTCTTTAAAGTAGAGACACTACATACTGATATACACCTGAACATCAGCAGGAGAGGACTCTTTAAAGTAGAGACACTACATACTGATATACACCTGAACATCAGCAGGAGAGGACTCTTTAAAGTAGAGACACTACATACTGATATACACCTGGACATCAGCAGGAGAGGACTCTTTAAGCTCTTAACCAGGAGGTTAAAGAGCACTTTAGAAGCGTTAAACGTTGATGTCATAGTGTACTGACACGCCCTGAAGTACACTTCTACATCACTGCGGCAAGAAGTGTTGACTTCTTGAATCTACTGTACTAACCTGACCGACCCCGCCTTTTTATTATTTTTTTTATACTCACATCTGTTCATCCACTTTCCTCCTTCGTCTGGCCGAACTGTCCCTCTCTTTCTGGTGTTTCCATTTGTCTGCGTTGATCTCTCTCACGCACGATAACCGTTACGACCAATCCGTCTTCAAACTTTCCCTGCTTCCCTGGATGGAGGCGTAGATGCTGCTGAAATACACTAGAATAACATTATTACCAAATAGAGAGAATAAACATGAGTATTTTTAGAAACCACAACTGTTTTAAGGATTGTTTACAACAGAGCTGGAAAGTTCAATTTCTCTAAAGTGTCTTTGACAAAAACATTGAATTCATTTCGAGCTGCTTCTGCAGACCCTAGTCTCTGACCTCCAAAAGAATGATGATTGTTTGTTGGTGTTGGATAAAGTTTCACAAAACTGAGCCAGTAATGCTTTACTTCACAGTTTCCTGGAACTGTTCTGAGATGGTAATTCATTTGAAGAGTTTTTAGAGAAATGACCCAGAAAGAGCTACTCACATTATGAGTAATGTATTTATAAGTCTACCCTCCATATTTGCTGAAGCTGAAAGGTGACTAAACCTTCTCTACGTCAGTGGTGTGGTGGTCTATTACTGTTAAGATGAAACCTGAATTTAATTTGGTGCAGCTGTTTCTTGCTTTCCTGTTCTGTTAATCATCTCACAAATGTAAGATGTATTTGATGAAACTGAACAGACTTGACTGTTAGACTGGGAACGGATGCTTTGGGGATTAATAAATTAGAAGTGTAGCAATTTAATGTCTCAATGCTCACTATAACAATAACAACATTGTATTCTGTATTTATTTCCAGGAAGGAAAGTATTAGTAAACTGTAAGGTTTAACAATGCCACAAAAATTCCTCTGTGTCTCATAAAGATTGTTGCTTAATCATTGCGTTCGACAATATGCAGGATCAGTGATATTGAGGGGAAATGAATCAAACTCCTCATTAAGTTAGACACACATCTGGATGTCTGTTTGGAGGTGCTATCAGTTTGCCTGCCAAGCATCTGCTCTCCGTCGTGTCTTACAGGTCGGGGACATGAACGCAGAGGAGACGTTTGGCAGCCATGTGAACCTCTAGTCCTCTTTCTCTGTCTGTCAGCCATTTTAATGCTGAACTCCACAGTGTTGCCGGGCGGGAGCCACCGTCCAGCTCAGCACTCCTGCTCCGTGCCAGGCAGGAAGCGGCGGGACTGCTGCCTGCAACTCAACCTGAGACCTTGTTTGGGTGACCTACATTATGGCACTGTTTACTTTTATACTGTAAGTCTGTATTTTTATTTTGTTTTGCCTGACCTCCAGTGCGGAAAAGTCACTAAGTAGGTACATTTACTCAAGGTTTGTACTTAAGTTCAATTTTGGGGTAATGGTTCTTTACTTGGGTAATTCCGTCTCACTCTATTACACTGCATTATACTAGATAGGCATGTTGCACTTTCAAAGGTGGGGTATGTCATTTTGGAGAAACCAGCTCGAGTGCGCTAGAATTTGAAAGTACACAACCGGAAAAAATCTGCCTCTTCCTTCAGACTTCCTTACAGAGCCCCTCCTCCAACACACACGAACGCGCACATGACCAATGAGGGCACGAGATAAGCTTGTGCACAGATGGATTGGCTGACAGGCAGGTAGGCCATCCAGTTACTTTAGCCGGGCCGGCTAAAATGATTGGTCGTGCTTTTTACAGTATTACGGCTTCCACAGATGACATTTTTTTATGTATTTATTGTCAAAGCATTTAATATATTCATTGCTATCGGGATGTTAAGAGCATTCCATGGAATATAACAAAAAGTGTTTCTGAAATAAATTACATACCCCACCTTTAACTGCATGTATTTGTCAGCTTAAGTGACTAGGGGCGTTTTACATTGACATTTTATACATATGAAATTATCTAAATTATACGAGAAAACAAATTGTCACCAACCTTTGGTTTTGTAAGACCCTTAAGAAAAGTAGTATTTACTTAACATCAGTTTGAGGCCCAAAGAGGACATTAAACTTCTTAGATTGTAGTTTTTGTACCTTTTTTTAATCATTTTAAGGGGCTTAACCCTCAGTGTAGTCACCCTGGACAAACTGTATGTAAAGTAGTTCAAAATAACTCTAACAAAGTACAAAACCATCAACAAAATATAAAAGAAAGCGCTATGCTATGTAAGATGCTATCCTATAGCACTTTCACTTTTCTGCATGGTGAGTATGTTTGATTTTTTAAGTACATAGTGCTAAGAATACTTTCACTGGTTAAGTAAAGTTTGTGAGTAAGTCCCCTATTTCATCCACAGCATACTTCAAATGTGGTCTTTATCTCCTACAGAACAAACTCCCTCTAAAGAAGAATCATTTTAACAAACATAAAACAGGGTTAAAAATAATCTGTCTTAATGCCAATTAATATTCATTTGTTTGCATTAAAAACAAAGAAGAAGCCATGTCTGTCCAACCAGCAACAAACAGAGATACCTGTCCTGCAGCCAGTTCTCATTCAGTCATGCACAGTTCATAACGCTCAGGCTGCTGCAGGGTGCCTCTCTCTGCAGAAACCCTCGGGTCAGGAAGCGGTCTCTGGGACCAGAGCTGCTGAATCAGACCCCCCCACCCCCCTGCCAGGAAACCCTCCCTGTTTCTGGTCTGCGGGTGAAACTTCCAGCTAATCTCTATTAGCGCACCAACACATCTCATCCTCTGACGTCACCTACACCCCCTAAAGCCCCCACCCTCCCTCCCTCCATCCATCCAGCGCTGACTTCAAAAGGTGGGAGAAGTACTCAGATCTTGTACTTCAGTCAAAGTAGAAGTACAAGAGTGTAGGAATACTCTGTTACAAGTAAAAGTCCTGCATTCAAAATGTTAATCAAGTAAAAGTAGAAAAGTAGTAGCATCAAAATATACTCAAAGTACCAATTGTGCAGATTTCAGAATAATATATATGATATGTTTTATAATGATTGATCATTAAAGTGTTCTCAAAGCTGGTAAAGGTGCAGCTAGTTTGAATGACTTTGTATACTGCAGGGTAGCTTGTGAATTTACTCCAGGTGGAACTAAAGTCTGATTTAAGTGTTGATTATATTTCACATCATCAAACAAAATATGCAAAGTAACTAAAGGTATTAACATGTAGAGGAATAAAACACTATTAACCTCTGAATTGAAGTGGAGTAGAAGATCAAAGTAGAAAAAAATGGTCTCTCAACATTGTACTTAAGTACAGTACTTGAGTAAATGTACTTAATTACTTCACACCACTGCTGACTTCTGCACAATAAGCAACATCTGGTTCTCATTTCCCAAAAACCAAAACAACACGAGGAGCAGAAGAAGGGGGGAGAAGGGAGGAGTCGGAGGGGAGGTTGTCGAGGAGAAAAGACATTCACAGAAAAAGCAGGATGTAAAAATATCAAGAATGAGGAGTCCCATTTCTCACTGTGGGTGCAGATGGAGGTCTTTGATGGTGCAGGTGTGAGGATGTGCGTGTCAATGGAAAATGTCGCCATGTTAACCACTTTTTTTTAAATTTCTTTAACACCCACTGTGGCCTGGTCAATGTCCACCAACACTTCTCCAACACAACAAACAGTCAGCGCCTTTGGTCAACTGTATGAAAAAGTTAAGACAAAAAGAGGAGGGGGGGGGGGGGGAGAGAAAAACTCCCATCTCCACAGAAAAGAATCTGCAAGTCAGCGGCTAGCAGCCCTAATTACAGTGGGGCTTTGCTGAAGTCTGCAACAAGACAAAGAGGGAGAGGGAAAGAGGCAGATGGAGGGAGAGAGAGAAGCCAGGAAGCAGAAAGCATGAGCGAGGGCAAGAGTGGAGCTTACCTCATTTTGTAAATAGTCTGTTTATAAGTCACACTAAATGAGTGCTTACTTTACAAAGGCACAGCTGCTCAGAGTCACTGCAAAATGTCACCAGTGTGGTTTTAAAAAAAGGAGTCCCCTACCCAAATACACTTTAAAGACAAATCAATTCAATTGTTCCCAGCTGATGTATGCTTCCTGCTTTACAGTGTGTCCTACAGCTTGATTAAGCATTCGCCAAGGCTCAAAAGTGACTTTATACCAGAGAATATTGCTTTTTTAAAGGGATACAACGTTCTGCCAACTTGGCTGATCATCTTTCCAGACACCAGGCTGCAGAACGGCACATGCAAAATGCACTTCTCACCCCTGTGTGTTGGTAGAGATGCCCCCGGTAAAAAATAAGATGCTATTAAGGCGAATATGGTCAAGATGTTGCCTCGAAACTAAAACAGTCGATTATTCTGGTGATTTTCTTTTTATGGGTTCTCCACATACACTTGAAGTCACTTCACATGGTGGTATTACTCACACATTGGTCATGTATTTAGAGTTATAACACTGAGTTACTACAGCAAGCCAAGGTGTGAACCCCTCTCTGTTTAAATCATATACGGAAAGGTCTTAAATCAGAGTGACTTTATGTCTCCCCCCCCTGCTCCTCCCTTCCTCCACCAGCCCAATAAAACTCCTCTGATCCAAACACCAGACAAAATGGCGCGTGAGCCTGGGAAGTGAATCGAGAAAGGAGAAATGCTGCATTCTAGTGGAAGCTGAGGGACATGAACTCAGAGTATAAAGTATAAATCAGAACATTTATTGTAGAAATCCATGAAAAACACAAATTGTACAGCATGAGGAAGTCCTTGAGTATTCAATAGACTAACATTATTCAGAATAAGGACGTGGCAAGCTGATAATATGTGTTTAACTATTCGATTTGTTCTTTATTAACATCATCCCTTTAGGTTTCAGTAATAGAGACTTTTTGTGCTCCACCATTCTTTGGGCTTCTTCCCGTTTATCATTCCACGACTCCATCCCTTTGTCCACCTCTGAGCTCAGCATCACGATACGTCGCTGTGAGAAACAAACACCAAGGTTAGAGGCAAAAGGCATGTAGGTGACACAGAAAGATAAATAGATAAATAGGATATTACATTACATGATACTTGTTAGACGCTTTTATCCAAAGCGACTTACATACTCAATACTGTGGACAATCCCCACAGGAGCAATTTGGGGTGAAGTGTCTTGCCCATGGACACAACGACATGCTGACTGCAGTGGGGTTTGAACCTTTACAACTACAACACACAACCCACTGCGCCACACAGATATATGCTACAGAAAAGACAAATGTGTTGATACTCACTGCTAAATCTTCCCTCTCCTGCTTTCTTCTCAGCTGTCCCTTCAGTAGAGGTGCTGGTCTGCCGTCTGTCCAGATAAACAAACAAGAAAACACAATGCAAAATGTTCTAGACGTAGATCACAAAATGGTTGCATTTCTATAATTAACTAATGCACGCATCATTGGCTTAAAGGGGCCCTGATATGCTTTTTCCTTTCCTGTAATGTGTTTTTGAACATTCAAAGCATGTCAACATGTCACAGTAGAGGCATAAAATAAAAATATGAAAATGAGCATTAAAAAGGGCCCCTTTAAAGGGGACCTATCATGCAACATGCACTTTTGTACGTCTTGTATACATGAATATGTGTCCCCGGTGTTCCAGGGAACTCACCAAGTGTCAGAAAACACAACCCTCTCTATTTTCCTCCATACCCAAATCTCTAAAAAAGGGGCTGCAACGGATCTGATAAAAACTGATCCAGATTTGAACACTGTCCTGACGTCAGGACGGTGGCGCTACGGCTATTGGGCCAACTCCACCAATCAGGAAGAGACAGCCACGGCCATTGCCGTTCAAAAGCGCTGGAGACGCTGTAGTACATATGCCAGGCCAGTAGATGGTGCTGTTCTACCCTTATCTGCCCTTACAAACACAGAGCTAAAAAATGTCAAATTGAGCAAGATGAGGCATGGCTAAAATGCATGATCTGTTTGGTATTTTGAGAAAAAAAAAGTATGCCTTATATAGGTATGGTCCTACACTATATTATTCAAATATAGCATGATAGGTCCACTTTAAATATCCCAAATTGAATAAGAACAAATGCCAAGTCAATTGAATTATTCCACACAAAAACAAAAAGGGTGAATCACTGTTAATTGCCTCCTTATGTGAGCTCTGTTGCAAAAAAACAACATCAAAAAGAAAAAATGTAACTATACCTGCGAACGACCAATCAGGCAGATCTGTCATAGGGCCGTATTCTGAGCCACTTCTAGCAATTCCATTTCTGCAAGCAAAGAAACATTAGATTAGAAATCATTCAACACATTAAGAGAAATTAAAACGTAAAATGAGGACAAAAATGTGAACGACTAATACAAAACACAGAAAAAAAGGAAACACAATAATATAATGTAGTATTTTGACATAACTGTGAAAGGAAGCCATGACAGCGAGCTATCAGAAATAAATAGCTGCAACGTGTAACCAGCTCATCTAAATGAATCACAGTCATTTGAATATAATCAATTACACTTGTACTGTTCCTACTATAACAAACCAACATGTCTGCTGTGAACAAGGTATGTTCTGATGCAGATTTAGTGTACAACAACATCACGTAAAGTACAAATGTTAAATAGGACTATGCATGCCCATATCTCGTGTAGAAATGGCTAGTTGAGCGATTACTATATCATTATATAGTCAACCCCTGCTTAAACACATGAGTAAAGGAAACACAGCATCAGTGTCAACAGTACACTTACTCTTTCCTCCATTTCTCTCCACCCTGGACTCCACATGTTGTGCTGAACTGCCTGCTGGAGAGCCTCAGCACTGAAGAACAAGTGCAGAAAGAAAAAAGCCTCTAAAGTCACCTCTGGATTCTCATAAACGCCATTAACATCGTGTGGAATAAATGCTGCTAACTTAAAGAGTTTGCATTACAGAACTGTTAGCATCACCGTTAGCATCGATGCTCGTTACTGCATTTACAGCGATGTATCAAACAAACAAGCTGTATTACAGGTATAGACGGGTACAAGAAGATATTAACAGCAACAACGCTTAACTTTAAAGTTTTAATGGGTCTTAAAACTGCTTATTTAGTGAATAACCTCTGTCCACTCTCACCTGAACTGCACAATGTCCTCACGGGGGCCGCCATGTTGTGTGCAGTCTCCTGCGATGACCACCAGAGGGCGCTAAAGACGCACCAAAAGTCAAGAACTACCACTAATATTTATTTTAAATGTCCACCTTTAAAACCTTTAATTGGGGTTTTGGATAAACTACATTATTCTGTTAAGAAAATGCTTACACATGAAGCTCAATCATAACAAAAGTTTCCTAAAAGCCCATTTCTTTTTTACAGAATTATTTTTCTAATGGGTCTCTCAACTTAAAACAACTACTTTAAACTCGTTTTAAAAACACTTACAACTTTTTAATTAAGAAAAAAGAGAAAACATAGGGTGATATAACAATAATGACTCCTCTCTAAATAACCTATTTTATATAAAGGACAACATAAGGCCAATGTAAGCAAATGTCTGGAATTCGGATAGACTTAAAAGTAATTACTCTCATCTTGACAGGTTCAAATAATGACACAGATCATAGTTGTGTTAATGTTAAATGTTGTGTTTGCATGTCTGCCCTTTGAGGACATAATTACACACATGCACTCTAATGGGCTACGATTGAGACAGATGAAGGAGAGAACTTCATGGCAGCATTATGGGCTGTAGACATGACTGGGGGAGCAGAAATGCAGACAGAGCCCTGCCGCTTTTCGCAGCTCTTCAAAGTATTGTTTTTGTATGAAGTGCTCCGCTGCTAAGCCCAGAAGAATTTCTCTGTTAGCTTTTCAGGCAAGTTCCCACTCGCAGGCTGTGAGGCAGGAGTCTGCAGAGGCTGCTGCAGGGACTCCGCTCAACCGCAAGGGCCGTGAAAGGCTCCATGGAAAGGGGCTCCAGGGCACACAAAAAAGCCGGTATGCCTATTTAAACACACCAGGACAAACACAAGCTACTTGATCAGGGTTTGTTTTGTTTTGGTGTGTCCGTTAACTGCCACAAACGGGCCGGATACCAGGTCTGAGTAATGCTGGTCAGTCCTGTAATAGCAGCGGGATGTTTACCCTGAATCCTCCTTGGAGAACTCAGACACGCCGAAAAAATTCACCAGCCGCCTCACTCAGCCGTGCCCCTCCGCACATTCCACAGGCTGGTGGTACAATAAAGTAGTGCCGTTGCCTAAACGACGCAGTTCTTTCAATGATTTAAATGTAGTGAAGAATACAAATGATATAAAAATGTTTAAAACAATAGTAGTAATACCAAAATGTAAAAAATACCCCATTATACAAGTAAAATGCTGCTTAGTAACTAAGATAATATGGGGTTATATGTTTTACTTATTATATTATAGTAATGTTATTACTATTTTTGTGTGGACAGTATTTTAATGTTATAGCTGGTTGACGTGGATATAGTTTTTAACCTTTTAATATGATGTTGGGTAGATTGGCTCATATTTATTAAGATTATCATATGTTTTGTGTAAAAAAGGTTATTTGCATAAAAGCTAATACATATAATTGACACATTAACGTATTGGAGTAATCAAATAATATGATTTTCATATTTTTATCTTGACAAAAAGTATCAAGTAAAATACAGAGGTAATAGAAAAAAGGTAAAACACTTCCACAGACTTATTGTTTAAGAAAATAAGGCATGGTTTCTTGAATGTACTTTCTTGAATGTACGTTTATGGATATGGAAGTGGCCCATTATAATAACATGATTAATGATTTACACACGAGTGCTTTTCTGTGAATTATTTTCCAGGAGACCAATCAACACATTCCTTCAAAGCATGTAATAAGTAATAAAGCACATAAGATTTGCCAGAAAAACCTTTACAAATTGCTTTTTCTGCACATTCCTAACATCATCTACACAATTCACACCAATGTTTTCTTTTAAATGTTATTTTTAAGAGAGTTTTTTTAAATCTTGGTGGAGGGGGCACATCCTCTGGGGGAGTTTTGCGTATGAATGACGAAACAGCCATGGCTGGTTGAAAGGTGTTCCGGCCCTGTGGGGGAAACGAGCCGCCGCTGACTGATAAAGGAGCAGTGGTGCGTCAAGCTCAACGTCGCGATACTACGCCAAGGGACGTTTGTTCAGTGATTCCACCTTCAAAATAAAAGCAACGTTTAGTGACGCTTTCAAACTGCGAGCTCAAATAACCATTTGGGAGGCACATACTATACAATGGTGTCTCAATAATACACAACATTAATATATGTTGTGTAATATAACAAATAAAGCTGTAACACGATTCGAAAGATGTTCTTGTTCTTGAAAATATATAGCGGTTGCAAGTAAAGAGTTTATTTTGAAATGTGTAACCGGAACTATCTCTATACGCCGTAGGCAGCTTGATACTCTTGCAAAAAAAGAGGGGGAGGTAAGTAATTATTTAGGGGGAAGAAAGAAAGAAACAAAGTTGTCGACTGAGCAATGCACACGGGGAGGGATTTTATTTATCTCAAACAAGTCGTTTAGTCCAGCTCCGGTACTATGGGATGTAACTGTAACCGGTTTCCTTCATTTCCTTCTCTCTCCGCAAACTTCTCCGCTACTCTTTCCACGGGATTTCTGCTCTGAAAACGGGAATGATAAAAGCAGCCGGATGGACGGACGGACTGAGGGGTCTTTATAGCGAGAGCCGTATGTGTGTTTCCTGTTGCCTGAGTTTAAGTTAAACATAGTATTTACAATTTTTTTACCGAGCACACTTTGCCCTGAAATGAATGGCAGAAGTGGACTTTCTGTGCACAAACGGATTTATTTTTCCTGTCTACACTGGAGCCACATGAAGTGTGCATCCCGCTGAACCTCTGCGCTTTGTGTTTGAAAAAAGAAAAGAAAATTCAACTGAGACACCCCCTCACCGCACTGGAGATATCAAAGCGACTTTCCTGAAGGTTATTTCCCACAGTTTGACTAAAAGAGAAGATGCAGATGTGGAGCCACATGAGGGTCCACAAAGGAGGCCCTCCGCGACCATAGGTCACACCGAAGTGTCCTGGATGTATGTTTTTCCTATTTCCTGCCTGGATTGACTTGAACTATTAATAATTGTCTAGTAATCCAATGGATTCTCCTACCTGTGCCTGTGGGTTTTCCACATGAGGGCCAACTAGATGACGTTAGTCATGTAACACCCTGAAATGTCTTAAAAGTCTTATTTATCTGTTTTGTATTTATTGTGTTTGTGTATATAAGGGTCCTCTTTTAAAGGCCAGTTTTTTTTTATTTCTAAGTGAGAATAAGAGACTGCCTTTTCATTTTTCGTAGTGAAAACTGTAGATTTACTTGAACATAATTGTGTTGTCTATCTACCCACATGTTACTTGTTAGCAATTTGGGGTGAAGTGTCTTGCCTAGGGACACAACGACATGCTGACTGCAGTGGGGTTTGAACCTGTGACCCCCTGATCCCAACACCAAGGCTCTATCCACTGCGCCACACGCCTGTATTTGAGCACATTGATCTGTAATTTAAAGAGTGACTGTGCCCAGACAGGTGAAAAAACGACAAGGCTCCATCATGGACAGGCCGATCAGCAAGTTACTGGAGAAGTTAAAGCTTACAGACTCGGGCAGTGTGAAATTCAACAGTTCAAAGAAAAAACATGACTCTGCCAACAACTCTAATAACAGCAACGCTAACACTGGCAGCTCTGGAGGCGGTGGGGGGGGGCCCCGGTCTGCCACCGGCTCCCATCTCTGCCTCGCCCTCCAGACCCGGCCAGTTCTCGCTTGCCTCTGCAACCACAAGCGACGCATGTGTTCCTGCAAGTGGGAGAGGAGGAGGGGGAGGAGGAGGAGGAGGGATGGGTATGCCTCCATCTCAGCTCCTCTCCCCACCGCCTACTTCCTCCTCCATACCTCAAGATGGCGAGCAGCACCCCTCCACCCTGGCTCCACTGAGGCGCCGCTCCCCCCAGCAGAGAGCGTCCTGCTACCTGGGCGAAGGCGTGGACCTCCACATGAGGAGGGAGTCCGGCCTGGGCCCCGAGTGTGACATCTTGGGGGCGTACGGCTCCAAGACGTCCCTCAACCAGCGGCGCTACTCCCTGGAGCTCCAGCAGCTGGTCAGGCGGCGGCTGGTAGAGGAGCGGCTTCTCTCCGCCCCCCCGCCGTACCCTGCCTCCATGGGCTATGGTTCGGCTCCCAGAGGCGGCCTGGCAGAACCGGGCTACCTCTCCGAGCCCGAGAGACACAAACGCCTCTCTCTCCAGGAGGCTCTGTTCTACAAACGCCTGAGCACGGGCAGCGAACTGTGGGAGAACCCGAGGCCTGCGTCCCTCTCTCACCCCCCGCACCGCTCCTCTGATGTTCCTGGAGGTGTGGGAGGGGGGTTCTTCTACCCTCCGGGACCCACCCTGAGCCCATGCTCTTCGTTCAGCCTGCAGGAGTCGTTGCTGGTCAGCCCCCGGTCCAGCTTCGCCTCCAGTACGGCCAGCGGCGGGGGTGGGGGGAGCCCAATGGGGAGTCGCTGCAGCAGCAACCGGACCAGCGGCATCAGTCTTGGCTACGACTCTCGCTACTCGGCCTCTGGAGGATTCCCCCCGCAGCAGCAGTCCCCCTCCATGCAGCCCGGGGGTCCTGCGTCGGGGTATGGAGGTCCAGGACGGTCCGGGGTGACCCCTGTGGAGGCCTGGACCCAGTACCTGGAGGGGGGGATGCGCCCGGGGGCGTACGACAGCCGGCACTCCTACCCCCCGGCTGTTGGGAGTCCCGGTGCGGCGTGCTTCCAGGCGGGCCCCGAGTGGTGGGTCGAGCAGCAGGCGGAGGTGAGGGGCAAAGAGGGGGACAGGGCCCGGTACTCAGACCTGCCCGGGACCCGGTACCAGGAAGAGCTCACCAGACTTCTGCTGAGAGACAACGCTCTGGCGGGCGGGGGGCTCATGGAGGGCCTGGCTCTTTCCAAACCCAGCTCCACGGTGGGGCCCTGCTCAGCCGGGGGGCCCCTCAAACCTCAGGAGGAGCCAGGTGGAGCTGGGAGGGAGGGCGTGGAGAGCCGGCAGGAGTTCTTTGGTGAGATGCTTTCTTTTAACATTCAGGGTTCACTTCGAAAAGGGAGAAATGAGAAAGTTATCAGAAGCATTTAACACACATTGTCCAATCACAGCTCTTCTATTTGAGCCAAGGGTCACATAGCATCCCCCCTCAGTGTGTTATTATTGTCCCCCTCGCCGCCTGGTGTCAGATCTCTCTAAATGAAAGGCTTGTATGGATGGATGGACGCACAGATTAAAAGTTGAAAGAGTGTATGGTACCTGGGAACCTGCAGGGACACGCAGGGTTATAGCACGCGAAACATAAAGCACAAACTGATCCAGGCAGGTGATTGGCTGAAGAGAAGAAAGGGGAAAAAGATGGATTCACTCATTTAGATTCACACCTGTGGCCACAAATCAGCTGATGTTTCCGGCAGGCGTTGTCAATTTGCAACAGTGTGCTGCACACAGGCTAATGCAGCGTAGCAACACGGCTATTCAAAGTGCAAAATTCTACCGTTACACTCAACACACAAATTACATGGCTCCATCTAAACACAGCTCCAACCATTACTCTGAGTCACACAAGGTTAGGGCTAAGCGTGTGTGTGTGTGTGTGTGTACTGTTTCTCTGTGGCAGGGTGTGTTTTTCCCTGAGTGACTTCAGGCCACAGTAACGCAGTGTGTGCGTGAGTCATGTGTGTGTCCTGGTGTGTGTGTAATGCTGCCTTGGCGTGTGCAGGGGGGTGTGCTGCAGCCTGTTTTTCTGCTCAGGTATGTGCGCCCGGAGGGGACATGCAATACTGTACTGCTCTCAGCCATTAGGAAGAAGTCAGGGGCTGTGAGCCGTGAAGACAGACGCTCACACACTCACACTCACACACACACTCACTCACCTATATAATGCAGTTTGAGGCTTTAATTGCACTAAAAGGAAAGTAAAAAACAAAAGATGTAGCCCAAGCTTTTCAGGGATTTTTCATTAGGAAACAAGTTGAAAATCGTTTCGGTTAATGATTTTGTTCCACCTGTTGCAAAGAATACACACAAATATGTCGCGTCATGTCTTTTTAAGTCAGTTTTCAGTACAAAAATTATGTGCAAAAGTCCCTATGCCACCAATTCCTCACGTTTTCTTGATGAACCCGCCGCACACATTACATATTAAAGCTGTGATTGTGCGTCTTGGTTCCCCTGTTTGGCTTTGGCAGAGCCTTGTGCCTGTTCCTAAATATCAGAAAGGACCGACTAAAAGTATAGGAATTCTCAAATTGTGTGGCACTCCCTCAGCCACAGAAGAAAGGGGGGGAAAACGCAGGCAGATCTCTAAATAGATCACAGGGGAAAGGCTGCAGCTCGGACCACCGCAGCACTTTTCCACTTTACAGTTAGTGCCCTGAACATGTACTTAGGATAAACTGAGAAACACAGAGAAGTTAGTCAACTGTAAGAGGTCTTAAGTTGTTTTTCTTTGTCTAGTTTCGACCTAGAAAAGCGTATTTACTTTGTGTGGGGCTAACTGAAGAGATGAAAGGTGTGTTGAGGTCAGAATGTGGTAAATAACAAGCATCTGTTTCATTGACTGTAAATACAGTAAAAACAATTATCTGCCATTGGATAACAATTTAAAGGCAAAAGCGATCACGTTTGTAATTGACTTCTTCTTCTTCCCCCCTGAGGTCGTTTCCTCACATCAGGCAGCAACCACGTTTCATCTCCAAAATTGCTCCAATTGGGGGGGGGGGGGTTTAAAGTCACAATTTAAAAAGGGAAGTCTTTAATGCAAAGCTCCAGAAGAAAGCGCCTGGCTCAGAGTCAGATCCGGTGGAGTGTCCCTTTAATAACAGAGTGGATGAGCAAACAGGCTGGCATGGGGAGAGGGGCTTTTAACTGTGTGAAAATCCCCTAGGTGGTGCGAACGAGGATTTACAAGTGTTGACACTCTGTGTGGAGTTGGATTTCAGACACATCCTCCAGGAATGTGTCGTAAACCAAGTGTTAGGAGCCGCTGAGCGATTTACTCCCCGACTAAATGAATGTTTGTTGTGTCCCCCCCGTCCCCCCCCCCCCCTCTGTTTTTGATGCCAGGAACCTGTGTGAAGTGTGGGAAAGGCGTGTACGGCGCGGATAACGCCTGCCAGGCTCTGGATAGCCTCTATCACACACGCTGCTTCACCTGTGTGTCCTGTGGTGAGTACCCCCCCCCCCCCCCCCCCCCCACAACTACCCCCCGCCCGTAAACACAACAGAGATTCAATTGATTTCCATCACCGACACCTTTTCCAAACTGTCCTGCAGGACGCACCCTGAGAAACAAGGACTTCTACAATGTCAGCGGCTCTGTGTACTGTAAAGAGGATTACATGGTAAGAGTTGAGGTCAAGGCGTGTTTTCTCATCCCTCCTACACACACACACACACACACACAACACAAACACACACACACAACACACACACACACACACACACAACACCACACACACACACACAACACACACACACACACACACACACAACACCACACACACACACACAGTCCCATATTCCGAGTCAGAGGATGGATTTTTCTCGCTAATCTCTTTGTTATAATTACAGTTTTCGGGATTCCAGGCTAATGCGGAGAAGTGCAGTGTGTGTGGCCATCTCATTCTGGAACAGGTGAGCAGTGTGTGTGTGTGTGTGTGTGTGTGTGTGAACATGCTACACGAAGAAGACTTAAGCTAGATTTAAAGAAAATGTGCCCTGCCCTGTGAAACTTTTAGACACTTGCGTCCCATGTTTCCCAGAATGCCTTTCCCCCCCCCCTTAGAGGATTGAGAAATGAAGTGACATATTTTTGTTGGCCCCTCTTCGGGTTCCCACGGATGATCTTCAGAGGAATGTTTGCCTTGGGTTTTTGGATAAACACAAAAATATGGCTCTGTAGTGATTATCTTAAAGGTTTTTACCATATTTGAACCGCATAAGACCCATAATATAAATAGAAAGCTTGCAGAGAGAGCGTGTGATCCAGCCATCGTTCTCTGCATCATTTGAACCACATTTGAGTTTTAGAACTACAAACATTTGAGGCCTAAAACGAGCTGGTGCATGAGAAAGAAACTCATAGCTCAAATGTAAATATATGAGGAAAATAATACTTTCACATACCACATTGACTATTTTCTGTTCTGATTCAAAACTTAAAAGGAAAGGAGCTGTGTCAATTAAAATACAGAAAGGCCAATTCATCCAAAATGTCAGGTATACATTCGAGGACAAGCTCCAGGCTCGAAAGCTAAATGGGAATGGTCAGAAAATGTCAAAAGAAAAAGACAATAATTAACTTTATTCTTTTAGCATGTATCGACTGCAGCAATCGGACATTTTGAGTCGGATCAATTGGACGATGAACTAAGAAAAAACTTGATAAACTAAATCATACACATATAGCATGTAGTCTCAGCCAGTTAGATTTGGAGTAACACATTTGAATAATACACTTCATCTGGATTGTCCTGCTCAGATCCTGCAGGCTCTGGGGAACTCGTACCACCCCGGCTGTTTCCGCTGTGTGGTGTGCTCCAAGGCTCTGGATGGGGTCCCCTTCACTGTGGACCACAACAGCAACATCTACTGCGTGGCAGACTACAACAAGTGAGACTTTTACATTATTAAAGGGACCCTATTATGCTCTCTACTCTTACTTGTTTCCATGCTTTAATGTTCAAAAAGCTCTTTATTGTTCTCATACTGCCTGCACTGCAGCACCTCTTTTCACCCTCTGTCTGAAACCAGAGCCCAGTCTGCTCTGATTGGTTAGCTGGCCAGCTCTGTTGTGATTGTATCCGCTTAAAGGTGTCCCGCCCTTAAGCCTATCACGCACAATGTGTGGGTGCGCTAGCCAATAGAAGTGCGGGTATTACGTGGTGATGTTCTGGAAGTAAACAAAGGAGTCCAATGGAGGCGTTTCAGACCATTGACATGCACACAAACCTATATAACACACAGGGAAGAGAAAACCCCAAAAAAGCACAAAAAGACCTCTTTAATATGTAACAAAGATGTTATTGTGCTGCTGGTGTCCTCACTAAATAAACTTTCTCCTGTCATTTCTGCAGGACTTTTGCCCCGAAGTGCGCGGCCTGTTTACAACCCATCTTACCGACTGAGGTAAATACAAGTGTTTCTGTGTTTTACTTGCAAGTGTTGGCTGGAGGCGTTTTCTTATTACTTGTCTTTGTACTTAACCTCAAACATTGTGTGCGAGTCGGTTGGTGTTTGTCAACTTCAAACGTTTTCTAAGCAAACTTTTACACGCAATGAAAAAATTAGTTTCAGGCAACCACACTAGAGTATTTCACAATCTAGCCTTTCTTTGATGTGATGCACACTTCTTTCTTAAATGACTGCATATTGAAAGTGTTGTTTTGTGTCTCAGGGCAGTGAAGAGATCCTCAGGGTCGTGTCTATGAACAAGGATTATCACTTTGAGTGCTACCACTGCGAGGTAAGTGATCTTTGTTGCACATTTTGTCCCCGTTTCCATCCTGACTTGTGTTATGAAATGCCTTGATGTCTGACCTCACTTCCTGTGTGCATTCCTGTCCTTATCTGCGTCTTTCCCCCCCCCCCACCAGGAGTGTGGTAAGCAGCTCTCTGATAAGCCCGGCTCGCAGTGCTTCCCTCTGGACTCTCATCTCCTCTGCCACTCCTGTCACATGACCAGAGCGTGCGACACACACAACATTCCCCCTCACAACACACACTGATCTCTGCAGCTGTGTACGTCTCGAACAAGCTGGTCTTAACATGCTGTCATTCTGTAATGTGCTTTTTGATCAGTAACGCGTCTTTTCCTGAAGATCAAACTGCTGATGTCCAGACATTTCCACTGATTCATTTTATGGATCAGATCTTTGTGTCACATGTACTTCCTGCTGTACTATTACTGTACCATAGTTATAAGGGAACGGGGGGAAAAAAAACTACTGCTTTTTTTTTGTTTTGACCCCAATGTGGCTACTGTTTGCTGTAGAAGAACAAGGGATTTTGCTAAACTGTTTTGTACATATATTATCGCTAGCAAACATTTTGCACTTAAATTTGACTTTACTGTAAGATTTGTTACGTGAATCTGTACAATTTGGGGAAAAACATTACTGTAATTTCTGTATGTTGTAATAAATATTTTCATTTGTGTTCAGGTAATGGTCTACGTGCTCGTATTGGGTCACAAATTCACTTTATTATAACAAACATTTCTCTCTGTCCATAAATGATTAAAGCAAACACATCCACACACAGGCTGAAAACCAATTTAAATTTATTATTTTTTTTAATTCTCAGTACATTCAGTACTTGCAAGGAAGGGAAAAAAGCAACAAAATCTTAACATTCAGAACTAAAAACATAAAATTAAAAATATTAAAATTGTAACCATTACTCTATTAGAAGGAAAACTATGTGTACCTCCTCTTTAAATATATTTATGATTGAATGGTCAGAGGAGGGATTTTCTGACGTCAGTGCAGGGAATCAGCTTCCTGTAATTATTACAGAATAAACCTCGACAACTATTTCATACTCTTCCCTCCTCGGCTGCATAAACATCAAAAGACAAACTGGGGCACGTCCTCCAGAATCACCACAACAAATAACATCTCTTCCTATCGCACGCGTTGCTAGGTTACAGTGTTGAGACTTCAGTCGCATCTTCGTGGGAGATGAAGGTTATTACTCGCACAAACATCACCTGCGGTAACCCACAACAACCGTCACAAGGATGAAAAAAATTAACATGATGTCTAAAACATTAACAAAACAAATCCTAGTCGTATACTTAAAAAAAATAAAGCAGAATATCTCAGTGCTGAAGAGTAGAACTGATCCTAGAAAATATCTGAAGGTCGGGGATCTATTTTGGACTTGTTTTATTACAGGGCTCTGAGGAGGAAGGAACTGTGCGCCCGCAGAACTAAAATAAAGAGGCGGGCTCCCAAACCGCTGAGGCGAGCCAAAGAAATAAAAGAAACCCGTTCTCTATGATTTTTTCTTACACACAGGAGAGGAGGAACGCTGCTCTCTCCTGACTCGCTTCTGGAAGACAGAGAGAACAGAATAAGAGCTAGACTAACCGTCGATCTAAACGTTTTTCTGTGGACCAAGTGGTGGTGAGCGGTGCGGTGGGGGGGGAGGGTGAAATGGCAGAAGTGTGTGGAAGACAACGCTGGCGTCATAGTGGACGAATTAAAGCTCGGCGGGGCGGGTAGCGAGCAGCAGACACGAGTCCCGAACGTTAGAAAAATAGACAGATGAATCTCCGAGTGGAACCCCTTCCTGTCTGCCGTGTCCCTAGCACCCTCGTCCCTCTCTCTCTCTCTGTTTATCTCTCCCTGCAGCCGCTCTGCGTTCAGCGGCGTCTATCCCTGGGGTTGCTACGGCTACGGGAGCGGCGTCCTGCCCCGGCGCCTACAGAGGGTCGTGGGGGGGGTCGGTTGCTGCCGTCCCGCTTCCTGTCGGGCTCCCTGTCTCGGCCGCGCTCCCTCTCTCTCTCTGCTCCTCGCCCGGCCGCTCCGACGCTCGCCACCACCGCCACCGCAGCCGCGCCGCCATCTTTCTCCCGAGCCTTCAGCCGCTCCTTCAGCCGCTCCCTCTCCTCCTCCGCCTTCTTCTCCAGCTCCTCCTGCCGCTCCTTGCGCCGTTGTTCGCGCTCCTTTTGCCGCTCGGTGCGCTCCTGAATCCTATGTGCCGCCTGGTGGAGGCAAAGCAGAATGTATTAAATAAAAAATACAGAGAATTGAACAAGTGTGTTTATGAAGCAGTGTTAATTTTGGCAGCTATTTTTGATTTAGTCTTTAGACGAAAATGGTTATTAGTTTTAGTCGATATAAAATCATTACATTTTAGTCAACTTTTCGTCAAAATGTTTTCTCTCTTTAAACTAATTCAGTTAGGCAAATACAGGTATCTGAAATTGGAATCAAGGTGACAGCATCAAGTGTTGAAATTCGTAAAGCAACATTTCACTCTCTTAACACTTTACTTTTAACGGTACTACTACTCTTAAAAATCTGTGTGTAGGCCGCTGCAGAGTGTCTGTTAGGCCCCGCCCCCCGCACACAGAGAGGGAGAGTTAGGCCCCGCCCCCCGCACACAGAGAGAGTTAGGCCCCGCCCCCCACACACAGAGAGAGAGAGGGCGAGAGTTAGGCCCCGCCCCCTGCACACAGAGAGAGAGAGAGGGAGAGAGAGAGAGTTGGGGGAAAATACCCTGAATTTTGAATGTCCGATAGTCCACCATTAACACTAGTCTCGTCTCGTCAACGAAAACTAAATATATATTTCGTCATAGTTTTTTAGTCATGTAAAAAAGGTCGTTGACGAACATTTTTCGTCATAGTTTTGGTTGACGAAATGAACACTGCTATGAAGAAGGGAGTGAGAGACCAACCTGCTCCTCAGAGAGGGGAAGCCAGTAGATACACGGCGCTGCTTTGGTCTTCAGGAACAAGTCGTCCAGCAGCTTTGCAGGAGGCTCGTCTCCTTTGGTACAAAACAGAGAAAGGTCAGATTCTAGGAAAACCAATGAATTAGTTTTTACTTTAAACCTGCTAATCTTGCCTAATTGTGAAAGCAACCACTGGGTATTCATCCATATATTTACTGTATTTGTCAGCCGGCTTTATGTAAATATTCCCAATACTTTTCATTCACTTTTATTCTACTAGGTGTAGTGATCATTTGGATTGTATACTAGTGTTCTTGAGGTCCCAGTGAAGTGTTACCCTTCTTCTCCGTCTTCCTCTCCTTGCTCTTGGCCCTCTCCCTCCTCCTCCTCTCTCTGGATCGAGAGCGGGGTCTGTCCTCTCCCGGCCGGGCGAACTCCCGGACCTTATCCCGGTCCCATTCCCGCTCGCCACGGGCTCGTTCCCGGCGCTCCATCTCTCTCTGCCGCTCCACCCACAGCTCCCGCACTCCCCCCATGCCACGGTCCCACTCTGGGTTCTGTTCCCGCTCATGGTCTCGCTCAGGCATCAGGGGGGGCAGCCGGCTCGGAGGAGCACTTTGGGGGGCGACAGCGTGGGGCTTCTCCCTCTCTGGCTTCAGGATGCCTTTGTGAATGTCCATCTGCAGAAAACACACAAGTTAGGATGGGACATTTTAAGTGTGTGGAGAACATTGAGGGACAAATTAAAGTCAATTCAAACAAAAAAAGTGAATTCAAATGGATATAAAAGGCACCAACATGTATGACCCAAAGATACTTAACTACTTTATTGGTTTTAACAGTAGGCCAACATGGTAGATGAGGTGATACCGCCTGCAGCGTTAACTTAGCATTTAGCATATTGTGGATCAGAAATGATTCCATGGACAAAAATCCCTGTTGCATAGTATTTCATTCTGCATGTATTTTACTGTAGAGCGCACTAGTTGCTAATTTGACACAGCATATACTACTCATATAATCTTGTTTGAAATAGCCTGGATAGTAAACTATTTCTCCCCTCCAATAACTGAGACTGATTCCTTTCATTTTGCTCAGTTTAAACACAGGGGTAAAGAGAGAAAATGGGATTTATAGTAGGGCTGTGCAATTAATCGTATTTTAATCTCGATTATGAGATTATGAAAACAACGTAATCGAAAAAAAAAACGATTATTTAGCTGCATTCCCTTTCGCAATGATGCTTTCAATTTGTCTTGCGTTATACATCCTGCCCACCCCCCCCCCCCTAAAAGCCCTCTCAGCCAGGTTGTGTTGCGACTTGCAGTCTGTTTAATAAATCCATATCAACACGTTACAAGGGAAGCTTTAGTTGCCGTGTCTTTATTCTCCGGTCAGCTCTAGCGTTCAGTCAGATTCTACTGACTCGTCAAGCCGGAGCCTCTTAGCTACTTTCTAGGCGTTATTTACCTCATCCTGCTCACAGAAGTCGACGTTGAGGACCTTGGGATTGCTGGAAGGCCATTTGACCCCGTGGAGGGCGGCTCTGGTGGCGACCGCCTCCTCTGTGGTACCGTACTGTGAAGACAAGAGGGAAAAGGTTATCAGGCTGAAAATGATTTAAAAGTTTAAGCAAACACAGTTCTAAAAATAGACTTCTGAAGAAACACAGAGGTGAGGATAGGGAACAAGAATCACTTAAATGCTTCTGTTGATTCCTGAGCTCATATATGCCTTTCTGTCATAACACACATTCACTGAGGGATTTTATATCCATTCTTAGCGGTATACTCCAGCAGAATAGCAGGAAGCAAGATGTAATCCACCGTGCACAACACTCCAACCCTCAGGTACTGACACCAAGCATATTCTATAACAACAGGGTTCCTGCAGGTTTCGCCTACTCAAATTTAAGACTTTTTAAGACCTTTTTAAGACCACTTTGAATAGAATTTAAGACCTATTTCACGGCAAGAAAGTATGAAGGAAAATTGCGATGAAAGAAGAAATACGTCCCATAATTACTTACAAAGTAAATGTAAAGGCATAACAGTACAGCACTGTGTTAGCGTGTTAGACAAAAAGTGTGTCTGTGTGTGTTAGGGTGTGCAATTAATCATATTTTAATCGCAATTACGATTTTGGCCTGCCACAATTACGAAATTATTTTGCTTTGCTAGGTTGTGACAGTGCACTACAACATATTTGATCCAATTAATTTTAGTCTAATTTATTTTTATTTATCATATTTATACATGTTTAATAGCTTGTGGAAGTGCACTCCAAAATATTTGTTGATCTTGTTTATTGGTATTTATTATTTTGATATTATTTATTTAAATGGATAATTTATTTAATTTATTTTTGTATTGGTTTTGCAGTTGAATTATAGGTTCAGGGTAATCAACAGTTAAAAAGATACTGTTCAAATTATTATTTGTTTTAAATAATTAACACATTAGCAAAACAAACGCTAATTTCTTTTGCAAAAGGTGCAGCGGGCTTCAAACACGTTCCCCTCCACTGGTTTCAACCAAGCACTAAATTCGATGTTTTCCAACCAAATACGGTTGAACTTACACTTCCCCATATTTATTTTTAAGTAGATTCTAAGATACATGAGTTTCTGACTGCCGCTAGCTGAAGCTTGCTTGCTAGGTTACTAGCTGGGTGTTCTCCGATAAGGGGCCGGGGGAAACAATGTTAGTGATTACTGGTTCCATGTTGATTTATTTCAATACAAATTGTTGGGGGGAACTGAAAGGCTCTCACCGTACTGGTTACTTTGCAGCCCGGACATTTCCCCCAAAACACATTTAGACGCGATCTCAACACAGAAGTACCTTTCAAATCCGATCATTTTTAAGACCTTCTAAATCATATTTAAGACCTTTCTTATTTTTTTGGTCATATTTAAGACCTTTTTAAGGCCTTAAATTCAGATTATCAAATTTAAGACTTTTTAAGACCCCGCGGGAACCCTGAACAAACACAGGTTAAAAACAAGGGTTTTCACTCGATATAAAGATATCAATGTGTCTGTACTCACTGTGACGAAGCAGTGAGACTTGATCTTGTCGATCCAGAAGCCGTCTTCCAGCACGCTGCCGGTCCTGTTCAGCAGCTCTTTGAGTTGGCCCAGGGTGAAGGGTCGCACCTATGGGATACACAAGGGGCATGACTCAATCTTCATCATCATCAGTAACAGGCGATCAGTTTGTGTAGAGCAAAGAGAAACAAGAGCTGAGCAGAGATGACCAAGTTGTGCAGCAGGATATTAGGATATATGGAGAAATGCATGTTAACACACACACACACACTTTACAGTACATTTTTTCCTGAGATGTGTGATGCAGGGTGGCATTTTCTATCCGTCTTTGATCCAAGTTTAGCTTATATGACGCAAGAAATCTGCAAATGCTGTCATTAAATGTGTAATGTCTGTTTAGTCATGAACTCAAGGTGATACTTTGCTGCAGCCGTAATACCTGGGTGAGCGCTTCTGACTCTAATTATGGGAGTGATGTGGTCACCACTGTCATCATCGCAGAATGCCTCATTCATAAAACACGTGGGATTGGTAATGCTAGATTTTTCTGTAACTATTTCCTTACACACAACTGTAGTTTGTGGCGAAAAGCTAAAAAGAATAAAAGACTGTAATGTCACGCGGTAACCAAACCCACCAGGTTGGTCACATGGATGATTTTTGAGACTTTGCCCTGAGGCGGTGAGGGTTGCCTGGTCGTGCGGACGGGGTCGTCAATGGTGACGGAAACGCCTGACTTCTGTTGACTGATGGAGCGACGCACCAGGCTGTCGCTAGGGGTCACTGAGGGAAACAGGAGAAGAGGGGGATGGGTCAAATCAAACTGTCATTTACCCAAAAAAGTACAATGAGTCGAGCCAGAGGGATGGTGGAAGCAGGGAGGTGCCAAAGAATCAAAGTTAACAGGGAGGCTTCACCTTTCTTTTCGTCTCCTTCAATCTTGACAGATATCTGGGTTTCCATGGCTTCCTCCGAAACGCTGTTATTCCTTTTGTCTCTGGAAGTCCTGCGCTGTTTCTCTTTCTCCGTTTTCTCCACCTCCTCCTCCTCCTCCTCCTCCTCGTTTGTCTGTCCGTTTTCCTGAGCGTCTCCTGGGACAACCTGGGGAGGAAAATGAGTTTTAGACAAATGTCAAAAACATCATTTCTCAAGCTGTTTTTTCCAAATAGAAATTGGCTCAATCACGACTGGATGTGACATGCACACACGGAAACATGAAGTTTAGTTTTAGTAGGTTTACATAGGTTCAGGGTATATGCAGGAATCCTGAAGTCAAATGTAAGACCTTTTTTAAGACCCTTTCCATACATTCATCGCCACTTGGAGTTTTAACCGGTTACATTGGCGACACACTTTACCTCACATTGATTATATACAGTATTGATTGTCCTTCCTCCTTATCTTCCAACCATTTGGACGCAAACTTGTATTTCCCCATAACCATGTTGTTTAACAACCGGCGTAAACGGGACTTCGCGCGCTATCAAGCAGTGAGCGTGCGATGTCCTGTTCAGAGGACGTCAAATCCAACGGGATGCCATAAATAAACTACACAGAATCACACTACACACCTACGCAATGATTACATTCAGGCACACTGTAGAATACAACCTCTTTGGACAATTTATATACTTATTGAAAACAAGCTACAAAATGTAATACCTTGGAAAATGCCCTTTAATACTTTTTAATAGCCTTAATTTTCGCTAAATTGATTTATTAACTTGTAATACTTGTTAAGACCCCGCGGACACCCTGAGGTTTAATCTGACCTGTGTGACGGTGCGTCTGATCTTGAGGCCCTTGTCCTGGTCCCCCGTGCTGGGGTCCGGGCTCTCCTCGTCCCCGGACATCTGCAGCTCCTCTGGGTGCAGCTCCACCACCGCCTCCTCCTTCACTCTGATGTCAGGGATCAACGACTGAAGGTCACAGACGGAGAAGACGGGACAAGAAAGGAAAGAAAAATCATCATGGTGGAATTTTTTTTAAGAGGATCTGTACCAAACAGATATTTTGGTACACACAATTTATAGGTTGCGACTTCTCTGCAGCACCACAATCCATACATTTAGAATCACATTTACACATGATTTGGACCGTTACATTTGAAATAACTGTTGATTAATTGTGCAGCCCTAATATTTTAATCACATCTACCGCACAGAAAGAAAAGATGGATAGCTGTCTTTTGTAAATCATGTGCAATTGATTGTTTAAATGAAATCCTCAAACATTTTCCCAGCTTACTCTAGATGTTCTTTCTATTCATCACATTACTCACTTGAGTTTCAAAACATTAACACAGCTGGGAGGAAATCTTGTGATTAGGGGAAAGTGTAACTATGCTGTCTGAGTGAGCGCGATTCATTTTAAAAGCTTATTTTGATCCGTTAAAGAGAAATTCATCTAATTTATTATGCAGTCTTCCCCACGCCTCGGTCTCGGTGCTGTACCTTCAGAGAGTCGGTGGTGATGCTGATGGATGGTTTCTTGGTGGTGACGGCCGAGCTGGAGCCCCATCGCCTCTTCCTCCCCGCTGCCGTCCCCGACTCACAGTCGCCTGCTCCTCCATCTGTGGCGGGTGGAGACGTCTTGCTGCCTGCAGGAGAGAAAAACATTTAGCGGATGATTGATCATTCGCTTTACAGATCTTCAGTGACAGGTTACTGCACGCTCATAGCCTGGAAGAAGAAAGGATTGCTTAAATACTTTAACCCGAATCGTTTTATGGCAGCGACTCATTTGAGTTTTGGGGGCTTATATGTGGAACTGTGCGATACGTTCCCCAATATTGGTTCATTTGAAACACTATTCAACATGTAAAACACGTTGTTAATGTTTTGTGCACATTAGCTTATTTGAACTATGGGTACAGTACAGTATGCAGTGAGAACATTACAAACCTTGCAGCAGGTAAATATAGAAACTTTGGACAACATGACTAGCCATAATCATGAAGAGGGTCCTAGCTTATTAAAGTAGCAGGAAATACTGTAGCTTGGGGGATATTTTTACATGTTGTGTCCCAAACCAGACATCACTGTTAATCACAGAGCATGATGCACCAGCATTTTGTAAGATAGGATAACACTGCTTCCTTTTTCTCCTTTCGAAATTTGACATTTTAAGTAAAAAAACACTCTGCATTTTTACAATTTTGCACAAGGGTGATAAACACTTAGAATAGGATATTTTCTTTTACATTCTTGTTCCTGTAGTTTCTCATGTAGCACTAAAGAGGTAACTGGTATACTCACTGGTCAGGGATATCTTACGGGCAGGGAAAGCCTTCTGATTGGTGCCCTGGAAAGAGAGAGACGGAGAGAACATACAGAAACCCCAAGGGTGCGGGGCGAGATGAGAACCGAGGGTCAAAAACGCAAACGGGCAACAACAGAGAGGAGGTGAAACAGGAAAAGTGGAGGAGGGGGTGGGGGTTGGGGGGGGGGGGGGGGGGGTGGGGGTTTAAAGGCCTGGAGGCTCCAACTCTACCACATTATGTATGGAGAGAGTTTTGGGTCGATACAGAGACTCCAGACACGTTTCCGCCTTCCACCTCTGCTCAAAGACTCGGAGATCAATCATTACGGTACTCCCTGTGAGTGTGTGAGAGACTCTAAAGACACAGCATGCATTAGCACACAAGTTGGCCTGTATGAAACTTAAACTGGGTCATATCTCCGAGCGGTCAAGTCATTACAACATAATGTCTGACGGGTGTGTTTGAGTGGATTAGGTAACTTTGCAACATTCCTGTGTGGGGTGATTTCTATATTACCTGCCCATGTGAGTGAATGTTAACCTTTCTGGAATGCATCTGTTTGATTTGTTTAACCTCCCAGCTCGATAACAGTTATGGAGCTAATCACTACCCATTTGGGAAGAACTTCTAGCTAGTCTTTCCATAATAAAAATCCAAACCAGAGAGATTCTAAAAGTGTATTTCTAATTTGTTTAATAGCCTTTCATGAGCTGATAATATTCTGCAAACCTGGTAAATAACTTGTAATGAATGAAGCAAAAAGTGAAGATGGACCTTAAGGGTGATTACAGCTGGGGGCCCATGTACTGGGGCTCAGATTAAATCCCCTCCATCTCAATACTGTCACTCTCAAAAGGAACGCTCATCTGGCCCAAAGAATGATGATGCACATTAAAAGACCAAGACCCAAAAAGCTAATCCCATGTGAGGTTGCAATATTATGTTTTGTATAGGGTTACTGGTCCAAATGCATATATATATTGTTAGTGCTGATGAGTTCTGTGGAGCAGAGGTGGAGAAACGCGTGTTGGAGACTCAAAGATCTGTCAGCAGGACGTTGGATACTGCAGTTCCTCTAAAAGATGTACCATATTTAACAACACACACCTGTAGACCTGCAGTGTATGACATGTGAATGTTTAAAAATACCAAAATAAAACTGCAGTAAATAAACACTAAATTTCAAGAAGAAAAAATATTCCTCTTATTTACAAAAAAGATGTAGAGGAAAGAGATGTTCTAATTGTTTGTGTTTACAGTTAATACTTAAAAAAAAAGTGTATACATTTTAAATATAGGAATAATCACAAGTGATTTCCTGGTACCATTTGACACCTGATTCCTTACTGGCTCGACTATGGCCCAACCGCACGACAGTGTGTACTGTATCTAGGCAACAAGGATCCAATCAGAGATGGCAGGGCGAGTGAGGGCGGGGCTCGATTTGAGTGTGCAGATTAGCCACCAGGCAGGAAGTGATCACTGGACTTTTGTTCTTGAATGGGGCTGGGGAGGACTTTTGTCGAGGGGCAGCTGATCAAAGAGTCACGTTTCAGTCTTTAGGGGAACAAAGAGTTTCAAATTGATGGATTCGGACGGGGGGGGACGGGGACGGGGGGGGGCATTCTTTGTTAAAGTCCATGATATGGGAGGTACAAAAAAATCCATTGTATGATGCTTGAGTTTATAGTCTTTCATTGTCCATGTTCTCTAATATACAGCCATTGTGAGGGAAAAGTTCCGTTGAGTTTTAATCGGTTCATGAGGTCTCCATACAGAAAGGGCTTCGCTGCAGCAGGGTTTGGCACATTGACAGCACATGTAAAATAAAAAGTGGAAAAAATAATCCAGAAGAATGTCTCTTTGTTACATTTTAATCCAGGTACGAAGGCAAAATAAGAGCGTTCTATGGACAACATCTTGAGTACCTTTGCTAGCATGGATGCTCAGCACTCAGAAATCACACATGATGTAGCGGGCAAGTTTTGGGTGTAGGGAAGAGATCGATTCGGGAAAAATGAACTGCAGTCACGTATCTGGAAGTCACATTTGAGTTCCCTGACACCAGGCTGCAGAGAAAGGGAGTTGATGATTTGTTCATTCGCTGTTATTTGGATGATCAAAGTCACTTGCTGCATAACTGTGTGAGGCACCGTGTCCTTTGCACAGTGTCCTTTGAAAGTCTCTGTAACAGTTCAGGTAACATCTCTCTTTTCATTGCTGATTTCATGCAGGATAAGTAATTGAAGTCTCTTTTAAAAGGCTGGCCAGCTTGTCAAGGCAGAGGATGGTTGTTAGCCTCACAAACTCAACCAACAGTAGAGTGAGTAATAATCCTTTGTGGTCTAATCCACAACATTTTCCAGGAAAAAGTCCCATAAATCATCATTTCCAAGCAGATTATTTCAGTTGCAGTGTGTGGTCAAGTTTTAAACCCCTCACAGGGATAGTTTAACAGTCATGCCTTAATCACGGCGTGGGTTACTGCAGGCGTTCTCAGTCCAAAGTCATTACTCCACCCCGCAAGCAGAGGGCAGTGTTGGATTACAGGTAGAGGATAAAAACAAATCTGGAGAGCTGAAGATTTTGTCTGAGTTGCATCTGGCTTCTGAAGGACGGAGGCGTGGCAGATGGAGGACAACACTTTGAAGATGTGTTTATCCTCAAAAAAGGCCGATGGGAAAAGCGATACAGAGCGTTTGACACCATCATTCATCATCACCGCCGAACAGCGCAGCGCAGTCCAGTCCGGTTCTGAGGCTGTGCTACCATGGCAACTATGTGCTGCGGCAGTTACCATGGCTGCTGCTTGTCTGGTGCTCCAGTTCCTGCTGGCTCAGCACGTCTCCGTGGAGATACAGTGCAGGCTTTACTCTGTGCCATGGGGGTTGCAGACTCTGGGCCTAATTCAGGTGCCAGCGACGCACTTGGGCTTAGCGGGACAGGAGTTGTAGGAGTAGGAGGTGTGGAGGAGGTGTTGGTGGTGGTGGTGGTGGTAGTAGTAGTACGCAGCAGGTACCATTAGGGGCAATGGAAGAGGCATGGGCACCTTCATAACAAAGCAATCAATGGGGTTTTAAACAGCAATCACACCATAAATATATATAGTGAGAGAGAGAGAGATAGAAGCGTTCATGATGGGATACAGAGGTATAAGATGGAAGGTAAGGGGATAAAGAGGGGAGAGTGAAGAGGGAGGCAGTGTGAGAGGAGCAAGCCAGAGTTGAAAACAGGGTGAAAGGAACAGCAGAAACAAGCCCTGATGCATCTCTACACACACTGTCAGGGCCATTACTCATGCAAACCCAAGGGGGGAATAAAACCTACAAACAGGCATGCTGATAAGGAAGTCAAATCAAAAATGTAAATGAGGCACTCAAGACCTCCGTGCCTGTAATGTGAAGTAATTTAATGGTTTTGGGAATCTGGTTTCAAAAAGCATAAGAAGGAGAGGCACATCTAACATCAACAGTAGCTTCTAGAAGGGTAAAGATTAACTGGTATGTTTTGATAATGTAATCTTAGATATGACTACATTGATACAAAGCTAACCCGACAACCACTTTAGGTTTTTTCTCTAGAACTGTCTATTGGGGCTTTCACACCAACGCGGTTCCAGGGCCGGTTCGGAGCTAGAGCCTGAAAAGCACCGGTTTTTCCTGTTCACACCGCAGCGGAGCAGCCTCTAAGCTCCTGAATCCGGTTCGTTTCAAGCACCAAAAAATTGTCGGTCTCGAAGCAAGAACCGCATACGTCACGCTTACGTCGGAGGGGGGCGAGATTAACCTGAGATAACAGTTAAGGCGAGTACGGCAAATAAAAGTTGTAACAAGCAGTAGTGCTGAGCAAAGTGACTAGAACGCAACCACACACTTGTTAAAAAAACAAACACTTATAAAGTCAGGCAACACTAACCAGGCTTCTTGTGATTCTGTTTATTTGTACCTTACTTTGACCATCCGTTCGCTGTTATTGATCATTGTGGAGAGCAGGCAGACGTTTTGTTTGTTATTATAGCAGCTATCGGATGGAATCAATACATGGGCTGCACAGGTTGTCATGTCCGACTATCACAAGTAGAATCATAATGAAAAATACGCCGGTAAAATGTGCCTGTAGAAAACGGCTTATGCCACAATAGGATAGCAACAACAAGTAGTCAAGATAGTCAGTTTAGCTTCGGTTGCTATGCTAACATCACCCATGTTATACCAGAGAAACTTTCATAACAGCGTTGTGATGCCAAACAGCGTCAATTCAGACTGACACACATTCACTTAAGGGGAACTGGGGATATGTATCAGCTGCTTGTGTGACAGTCAGACAGTGAATACTTTAGAGCCGTGTGAGCTAACCCGGAGCTAACGGGAGAATAAACTCCCGTGGAAGAGCAGCCAGCACTGCAGCGGTCGGTAAATGCCGCTGAAACACATTAATAAACAATGAACCACGGCACTCTGGAGAAAAGTATAAGGTTGGAGAAGTAGTTATTTAATTTAATCTGGCTTCGTATGATTAAAAGCAACACGATCATCATGAGCGGTGTGAACAAAACGGGGGCTGAAAAGAAAAACCGGTTCCGAACCAGAAGAGCTCTAGCACGGAGCTAGAACGGGAATCGCGTTGGTGTGAAAGCCCTATATTAGAGCCGCATAGTGCAAACATTTCCAGATACAACACAGGCTCAATGTTTGACCACCGATTCTAAACATCGATCGCTAAACGGCTTCGTGTGTCAGGGCTTTGAGTTTAATGCTTTTCTAACTCACTTCCTCCCTCTATAACACATACAGACTGAAGGAAGCATGCTTTTTCTGCAGCGAGATGTTTAATTTGACCAAAGCACCTCCTGCATTCCAGCGACATCAACACTAAACATCCCTCTCCAGACAGAAAAGGCAAGTGTGTGAGAGATCATCTAAGTTATGATATGTTAGTTGCATTTAACCAAAATGGAGGGGGGTTAGTTCATTTCTATTTACCCCAGGACCCAACTCCAACTCAACCCTTGTTTGTTCACATATGAGCATTTGAAAAAACGTTAAAGTGAGTAATCTTAAAGCCATTTAAGAGGTTAAAAAGATGCAGAAAGTGTATAAAGAGCCAGAATCGGGAGGATACAAACTCAAAGGAATTTGTGGTTTTAAAAACATTGGGGTTGTGTTGGTTTCAAGCGACCCCTCTTAGCTTATGCTGCCAACTACACATGCTTTTATATGAATGAGGATGCAGGTTAGTGGGAGACAGTGGGAGACAGAGTGGAGACCCGGGTACCCCCCCCCCCCCTCCCCCACCCTCTGAGTGGCCTTACCTCCTCCAGGCGACCCTCGCTGCTCTCCGCCTCGGCCCCGGAGGGCGGCTGCTGGGCCATGGAGCTCTCGGGGTCCGGCAGCACCTCCGTCACGGCGGCCGCGCTGGGCTCCGACACCTCCCTGCAGGAAGAGGAGGCGGTTGGGGTGAGGAGGAGGGAGAAAAACGCAAACAATGGTTTCCTTGTGCTGTGGTATCAAAAAAGCCTGTAATTTTTGGTAATAATCAATTATTTTGGTGGTTATTTAAGTCCTTTTTCAAGCAAAGAATACCTCAAATAGCCGAATTTCACTCCGTTTAATGATTATAAATTCTAATATGTTATGGTGTTGGCCAGTCAAAAAAAGCAATGCGATGGCATAAAACGGATCTTTAGGATTAGGGCCTTGTAGTGGGCAATTTCTGACATTTAAAAGAAAACAATCATTAAAGAAACGTCAGCAGATGACAAGTTAAAAACAAACACGGTTGCTCTAATGGAAGAAAATCCACACATAGACAAGAAAGACTGCCTTGAAGCTGAGCTCTCGAGACCAGCCAACCTGAAAGAACGAGTGTGAGAGGAGGCGAAATGATGAGTAGGACCAGACAGGGGAAAACACTGAGTAGAGTCAGAGGAAGAGTGCCAGTGATCTGGGTCACTCCTGCTATGAATAACTCCCCAGTTAACTGACACCCAGGGTCCCAAACACTCCTCAAGGTCCAAGATAAACACTCACAGCGGACTCCAGTGTGTGTGGGCTTCATCTGATCCCCGCTGGGTCATTAATGAAACGACTGCCAATACAAGTCATCTATGCTATGTAGTCACTATGAGTCAGACCTCACACAGCCAAAAGCTTCCTCAAGTGTTTTTATCGCTGTTATCTAAGGGAGAAAAACAAGTGGAAGTCATCATTATATTTTTAGCTACACCATCAACCTCCATGTGATGACACAGAAACCGCGGCAGCACCCTGTAGGTGTGCTGCCTCCAGCATCCTTCTCTGTTGTTTGATTTGTTACATGATGCTCTGAATTTCATAGTTTCACATAAAAAGGAAGTAATTATTACATTTTGTGTATCAGACAAACACATTTTTGGTAGGGATAGTGTATTTTTCCCATCCTCCTCGCCATGCTGGCTCCCCTGTATTTGCCCTAAGAGGTGTGGATGCCAGTGTGTGTGTGTCTTTGGGGCAAGGCCAGACACACCTGCACCAGGCCATAAAGGGAGACAGATGTCAACTAGAAATACAATCCCTCAGGATCAGGAGAGCAGAAAAGGCCAGGCTGCTGTGATGAAAAGATCTGTCTTTGTTTGAAATAAATCCCTTTTATGCCTTTTGTATTCATATGATTAGACTGGAATAAGGAAGCATGTTGAAAGTACAGCTTGATCCTGAGGAACAATATCACAATGGATCACAAATTAAAAGGCACTGCTTCTGGTTTAACTTCTCAAAAACTTGACAAAATGTGACATTAGGTGAGGTACGACCCGACGCACAAATTCATATGTATGGTACTGCAACAGAAATACTCAAATCATATCTGCAACAACAAACTGGTTTCATAAAGCTGACTTAAATATTGTCACCGGTCAAAACAGACTCCCAGGGGACTGGACTGTGAATGCTGGTGCCAGCTGGGAGAATTATTATCACACCATAAGGGTCCATTCACACTCACTGTACAGCGAACAGATGTCTACTTTAATGATCTCCCTTGACAACAGTTAGATCATTAACAGCTACAGCCACACAAACCCAAAAATAAAAAAATATCACATGGGCTAAACAACAAGATGCATGTATATTGTGGCCCATAAATGATTCTTAATTGACAACAAAATCATCATTAAAGAAAATACATATTCTTCAATTATCAAAAAATACCATTAGCTACCGCCATGTTGAGGTCAAGAAAACAGAAGGTGGAGAAATCACAGTCCGCATGCCTCTCGTCACTACACCATGAAATCTGAGCCCATTATTTATTAATCAATGTGCTTTTCCAATGTGAAGCTATTTTAGGTGGAGAAAGGAGACCCCCTACCCTACCCAGAAAAAAATCCCTGCGCTTTCATTCAACAAAAGGCTGTTACCGGTGGTCTCACCCCCGGTGCTCCTCACATGGGCGAACATGCACACTCATAACCAGGCCAATATGAACTGATGACATGATATTTAACCAGCATGAAGGAGCTGCTAGGCTAACCAGCATCGCAAAGTACAGCCGGGATCCCGGTAGATCGCGACATGCTAACACCGGCTAATGTACCCCCATCGTTTTCTGTATTCAGGAGGTAAAGGTACTAAAGCCTTGAGTCGCCCTCTGCCTCACTCTTACCCGTTTTTGTTGCCTTCGGACAACATTACGACCGGCCTTGAAAGGGAACCCCCGGGGAAGACAGAAAATGACACTCTGCCGCTGGAGGCTATTCCGGTCAGGCGTGGGTGGAAAAAGGTGACGAAGAATTTAAACAATCCGGTCTCGATTTTCTCTGCTGCTTATTAGCCGTGCACTGCGTCGGTATCAAGGATGCAATGCATGCATGACGGCCATGTTGGCTAGCGAGAGCAGTGTCAAGTCTCCTCGAGAGAGAAGAAGAATGTCTTCCGGTAGAAGATTACCAAAATAAAAGCTCTGTTAGCTTCTCGGCTAAAACGTGTCGCACTCGGTAAAGAAGTGTTGAATAAGCAAGGGCGTAAACTGAATGGAAAAGGGTTTAACGGTTACACGAAGAATACAACCAGAGAAAGCGGAGAAGGACCTTTCTCAAAGCAACATTAGAAGCAGGTTGTGGGGCTGCCGCAGTGAATGCCTGACAAGAAATACAACCTGCTTTAATAGAGTGTGAGGGAGAAAGCAGTGGGAGTTTAAAAAAAAAAAAGAGTCCAGTTTAAGAAATGTTGAAAGCATCCTGAAAGCTCTGACCAATGTTTTATATTGAAACAGGCGTTTATTTTACCTTTAATGCCAATATAGTCCTTTCATAGTCAAGGACCAAAATAACACATATTCAAGTAAAACTGCAAGTTGTTAGTACACAAGTTAATATAATTTAAAAAAAGCAGAATTTATTAAACTATACATCATTTTTGATAAAAACAAAGAGAGCCTCCAGAAAAATGAATGCCACATCACATAGAAAGCAATATTTTGGTTCATGAAAACAAACACTATAGTTTTATTTTTTGTACACCAGTAAGCCACACATGATCGGAAAAATGAATTCCCTTTTTCATTAAGATTAACTGTATTTCATCGATGGTTACTGACCTTGTTGAAACGTGTTGTTTCTCTGCCCCTTTACTAAGGTTAGTCTTCTTCTCCTCCTCTGCTTTATGTCCTTGGTTTGGCTTCTGTAAAAACATAACAATGATGAAGGCAGGGTTTTCAATAAAATGCACACAGGAAAGCTGAAATAATGTTAAGAAGAACAACACATTTAATTTGCTCACTGACCTTCAGCTGTCTGGCAGGGCCGGTTTTGACCCCGGAGGAGGAGGAGGAGGATTGTGACGAGTGTGAAGAGGATTCGGAGTCTGATGAGGAACCTGAGTCTTGGGCCTCAGTCACAGCCACCCTGCCTTTGTAGACTGTCTCCTGTTTCTTCTCCTTCTCCTTTTGCAGTTTCTCCTCTCTTATCTTCTCCTCTTCCTGGTGTTTCCTCTCCTTCTCCTTTTGCAGTTTCTCCTCTCTTATCTTCTCCTCCTCCTGGCGTTTTCTCTCCTTCTCCTTTTGCAGTTTCTCCTCTCTTATCTTCTCCTCCTCCTGGTGTTTCCTCTCCTTCTCCTTTTGCAGTTTCTCCTCTCTTATCTTCTCCTCCTGGTGTTTCCTCTCCTTCTCCTTTTGCAGTTTCTCCTCTCTTATCTTCTCCTCTTCCTGGTGTTTCCTCTCCTTCTCCTTCTGCAGTTTCTCCTCTCTTATCTTCTCCTCCTCCTGGTGTTTCCTCTCCTTCTCCTTCTGCAGTTTCTCCTCTCTTATCTTCTCCTCTTCCTGGCGTTTCCTCTCCTTCTCCTCTTCCTGGCGCTTTCGCTCTTTTTCACGCTGCTTCTCCTCCTCTTCCAGGCGCTTCTTCTCCTCTTCCAGGCGTTTCCTCTCTTCTTCCAGGCGTTCCCTCTCTATCTCCTGCTCTTGTATCTTCATTCTTTCTCTCTCCTGCTTCTGCTGTTGTTCTCTCTCTTTCTCCTCCTTCAGGCGCCTTTCTTCCTCCACGTCTCTGTTCTCTTGGAGCCTCTTTCTCTCCAATCTTTTCAGCGGAGAATCACCAAAACTGGCAAACCCGGCAGTGGAGTGTGCCGCCGCCTCTCCTGACAGATCCACAGCGGAGGTGGCCTCTGCTGCACGGAAAGCCCCCTCAGAGTCCATCCTGTGTGCGAGCAGAGAGAGGGGCCCGGGCCTTCGCTTCATAGAAGGCTCCGGACTGCTGGAACGAGAGCTCGAGTCAGAGTCTTGCCTCTGCATGGTGGAAGGTGGGAAAGACGGCCCCCTGGGACCACGTGAAGCCTCGGGCCTATCTCCTTCCTGGTCCTCTGTGTCTGGTGGGCTCTGTTTGGGAGTGTCAGGTAGGGGAAACAGGTCAGGGGGGGGAGAGGGAGGAGGGGTGGGGTGGCGCAGTTGCATTGGTGTGTGGTGTACCTGTGGTGGTGGGATGTGCTGGGGAGGCTGGAGCTTGCGTTTGGATCTGGCAACTGTTGACGGGAAGCTGGGAGGCATCTGCTGCGGCTGGGGCGGCGCTCTGTTTCCCCTCCGCGCCCCGCCGGGACCGGGCCCCCAATCCTCATCATCCTCGCTCTCGTCATCACTGTCGTCATCATCGCTGTCCTCGCGAGCCTGACTCCCCCCTGAGACTCCAGCTGATCGGCTGAGGTGGAGGACGGGGTGCGCGGATCCCGGTTCGCTCGGTGCGGTGCCCTCCTTCTCCTGGGCTCGCGGCACGGCGGGGGGCAGCCCCTGGCGGTCGGGCTGGCCCAGGACGCGCACCGACAGGGAGGCTACGGCGCGGGGGGGGAGACGGGGCCGGGGGCTCCTTGTGTCCCTGGTGAAAGGTGGCTCGCTGCATCCTAGCACCTGGAGCCTCGAGGAACTCCTGGGGGGGGAGGGTAGGACCCGGGCCCATGTCGGGGACGCACGCCATCATCCCGTGAACCATCCCTGCATCTCCTCCTCCTCTCTCCTCTGCCCGGGGCAATAAGGGCTTGGGGGGTATGGAGCGATTCTTCTGGGCAAAAATATTTGAGTCAGACTGACAGATTGAACACAATTTATTTTGCCTTTTCTACTTGTGTCAGGTAAATATGTTTCTGTTGGAGTTACTTGGAGTACGGGCACACATTATCATTCTTACTAACTCGTTGTGTTTTTAATACTGACGTTCAATATCATCTCTGTCTCTATCAACTAAACAAATTAAAATAAGTGAAATCCAAGATGACAATATTTGTTCTATCTTCTCATTAACATGTTCCAAGCAAGGGGAAGTCTTTGCCAAGTGTATGATTACAAAAGTTAGATTTTCAAAACATTAACTAAAAAAAACGTTACAATGTGAAGCTTTGTGTGTTCTTCGGGATAAATCCTTTCCTCATTTGACAATTCAACACTTGGAGGTCACTGACCTTGTCACTGACATAGGAGGAGCTGTCATTGTCCTCCGAATGGTCTTCATCCTCCTCCTGCACGGCTGAGCTTTCTGTCAGAGGGACACAACACGAGGCAGGGGTTAAAGGTCAGCCTCAGTGTGAGGATTAATGGCACACACCCCCACGGTTGCTAAACCAAGACAACTTTTGAATGAGTCAGGATGAGAAATGAAATCATCTTCATTGGATCTTTGTGTAACACATTTAGAAGTACAGAAGTGTTTGACAATATAAAGTATTGCTGTAAGAGAAAGAGTGCGTGGGGAATATGACCAGTGTTCATGTGACAGAGAATGTGTTTATCGTCTGATTTGTGATTGTGTATGTTTATGTTGATGTTACCGTCTACTGCTTCGTCCTGCTGGGCCTCTCTCTCCAGCCTCTCGTGAAGGAGCTCCTGCTGTTTAGCCAGGTACTGTTTTATGAAGCTATTCTGGCTCATCTCCTCACCAATCTACAACACAATAACATACATAAAACATCCGGTTATTATTTACACTGTTCTAATAATTGTTTGTCTTAGAAGGGACTATGCAATGGCTTGATCTCTGAGTTATACTCTTGAACAGAGCTAAAATTGCCTACACATTAAAATATTAACATCTATTCTTACCTGCGAGTTGGGCTGCAGCCCACTGTGAGAGGAGGACGACTTCTGAAGATTTTCAAGCATCAGAGCCTGCAGGGAATAAAGACGTGGGATTATTAAAAGGTTAAATACTGTATCATGAGCTTCAGTTTCTGTTTGTATTTAACTTGGCAATCAAGTTTTAGATTTTATTGTAAAACTCATACATTTTAGGTTGTTTATTTGCGAGTGAGTTGCTACCTTGGTCATTTCTACCCTCTAAAGTTTATTTGTAATGTATCTGGTCACTTGATACTGTTAATATATCTTAGTTTTATTGAACTGATTACTTATGTGAAATTTAAACAATTTAAGAAAGTATATTGAAAGGTTATTAAATAGTTGAAAATAATGTAGGTCTATGTTTTATTTGTTATGCCATAATTAAAACGGTGGAGATACAAACAAATCCAGAGCAAACCTACACCTTTAATATGGACAATACAATTGATAAATATAACAGAACAGTTAACCTGGTAAATAAAAGTATACCCATAATACTCTATTAGACCCATATTACACAAATTTAACACCCATCTTACACTGTTATTACACCAATGTTACACAGTCAGAGACTGTCAAATGAATCCATTAAAGGGTTAAACCTATGGTTGTTTATGGGCTGGATATATTGTGCAAAACAACACTGTTGTATAAAAAATAAATAACTTCAAACTAAATGGTGAAGCACGTAAAATGTTGTTTACATGGCGAAGCGCGCCCCCGACAAACTCACACACGAAGCGCATGCACGCTCATGTACTGTACACTATGTGCGGCTGCTTACACTCAGTTTAGGCCTCGACTTGACAGGTGCACAGTTCAACTGTGTGCAACACGGTGCACTAAGTGAACTAACGCATGTATTGTGAACTCAGTCGGTTGGATAGTTTCCTGGTACTGTCAGTTACAAATAACCGAAAACAGAAACTGGTGTTCATGTGTATTACCGTGTGTTAGACGGTTTATTTATTCCCGCTTCTGAAGCCTTAACCCCCACCATCTCTACTGAACTTAGATAGACTCGACAGGCTGCCATAACACAAGTGAAAACTCACCCCTTTCAGTCGCTTAATGAGCGCATTTTTCTGTCCGCTCTTGGGCAGGTTTCTTTGCTCCAAAGCAGCTTTTAAATCCGCAACCCGGAGCGATTGTAGAGGTTTTCCATCCAGCGTAATATCTTCGTCCGCCATTTTGCTCCCCTCCGCTTGTCTAAACTCCAACAAGCGTCGCTACGGCTGCTGTTCGGCGTCACCGTTCGGCAGTTTCCGTTAACACTCGGATTTTTCCGAATCATAACAGAACCGTTGGAAGAAGAATTGTGCCAACTGCCAATTTAAGTCCATAAACACATTCATGCAATAATGACAAATCAAGACAGATAATATATTATTCTGAAGTGGACTCATTTGCATAAAAAGTACTTTTGTTCTTTTACTTGAGTACAGTTGAATGCAGAACTTTTACTTGCAAGTATTGCAACACTCTGGTACTTCTACTTTTACTCAAGTACAAGATCTGAGTACTTCTCCCACCCCTGATAAGCACACACATTTAAAACAATTGTATATCATTCAAAATGGGGTTTTTCGGATGTTTAGTAGTCAACGTAAATGTACCGTCTCTGAAGAACATTATTTGTGGCAAGGCAAATGGAAATACTCTGCAAATATAATACAATTAAAATAACAAAACATTTATATTTTTGACAGGCACAACGTCAATGAATAATCCGAACACATTTTAATTGCAAAAGATGTATTTGTGCATTCTGAACAGTAATACAAGACAGACATCAAATGTAGTGTTAAAAGTAAAGAGGCGTATTACTGTAGGAGAAAAGTCAAATATTCACTTTTATACTTCAGTAAATACGGACTCAAATGAGTTCATAGTGTAAAAAAAACGTCCTCGTACAAAAGAAAATACAGCCATACCTTGGAACTGTAATGTAACATCTTTCTGGGAAAAAACATTTTATTCGTTGTAAATGACCCAGTAAAATCACCCCATGGTAAAAGGATGTGCATATATAAAATGTAAGCAAATTAAAGCCATGCAAACTGAACGCAAATAACATAAGATTTGACAGTAATAAATATACTGCTAAAGGTTACTTGCTCTCTTCAAACATACAGTTTAGAGCCTGTTTTGGCAGGCAGGGTTTCATCAAGCAATACTTCAAACCTCCACAAGGTGGCACTGCAGCAGAGAAGATGCAAAAAAACAAGATAAAATGTTCCAAAGAATAATTTAAACTGATCCACACAACTGAGAAAGTAATTATGCATTGATACTGATTTGGATCTGAAAAAAAGGTAAGGTTAAGCAATATGACTGAGGATACAGAAGAGAGATCCCAACACTTGGAAGTATTATTATCAAGAGCCCCTTTGTAGAGTTGAGATTTGTAGTGTAAATATGATAAGCATTGTACCTTCCAGTCAGCTTTATGAGCCATCACAGCTTCTGTTTGTGTGCACACCAACATAATAATACGTATAAATGTTTAGGGTAGAGGTCAGACTGAAGTACAATAGTCTAAGATGGAAAACAGGTAAGTGTTTTGTATTTAAAATGCAAATAAATCCCCCTTATTAATCAAATAAAGTATGCTGTGCTTCCTCAGCTGGGCGATATGGTTAAAGATTTATATATAATGAATTATATATGCATCATACCCAGCCTTAGTCTCCGCCTGACTTGAAACAATTAGATGTGAGAAAGCACTGTTGACAGGGGTGACTAGCATCTTATGGGAAATGAACATGAAAAGCAAAGGTGAGCATGCAGATCATAACAAGGCGTGTGCAGACAGGTTAGCTTGGTCAACTGGTTTCTCATCCATTGCCATCCAATGTGACCGTGGGAAAGAACAGTATTAGGCAGTTTCTCACCGAACTATCATTACTCACTCTTATCCGCTCAAATATTTTCTCTCTCTGTCAGACTTCAGGATTTTAAATGCCTTAACGTAAACAGAAAATGTATTGAGATTTGTATCCTTATTGAGTGGATTACAAGCTGTCCTGATCTTTGCCTTGAAGTGGATATGGGTACTTCACAAACACAACACACTTGCACGGATTCAGTGGAAGCGAGGCAGACCTCCTACTCCACAGCCTATTCCATGTCTTCCATAATAAGCCCGAAACACTCGATACGCTGCTTCCAACAGCTTCAGAATGATCATCACAAAAGGCCTTTCAGGTTAACAGTAAAAAAAGTAGGCCAGAAACAGGATGCAAGGCCTCTTTCTGTGCTATTTGTGGAAGAGGGGGGGATGGCTGAATAAATAGAGGAAGGAAGGAAAATGGCTATCATGTGAAGGGAAGAAAATATGGCAAACACAATAAAGCAAAGCGCCTCCTCCACCGCCTCCATGCTCCCAGCCTTCTCTCTTTCCCCCTTGTCTTCTCCTCCACCGCCTCCATGCTCCCTCTCCTCCCAGCCTCCACCTTACAAAAAAAAGTCGAAGAGAATGCAGGAAACACAGGACCCAGAAGGTGTTCCTGTATGAGAGCATTGTGGACAGAAGAGTTATAAATCAAAGAGAAGAAGTCAAAATTCGCTGGACACCATGCTCCGAGTGTGGCAAGGACTGGGAGGACACATGGGAGCCTGCCAAACTGTATAGCAGCTCAAAATGATAACACACACACAGACATACACACACGCACAATAAATTGTTTCAATAAAAAAAATAAAGCAAAGCGCCCAAGATAAACAGTCCACACAGACACTCAAAGCCACGGAGAGCCTTCAAATATTCAATAAGTTAACACTCAAAAACACAAGTGTGCCTGGCATCAAAGCACGGAGGTCAGTGTATAAACAAAAGGCAAACCGGCACACACTTGAATGACAGGACCAACACTCACAACCCTCAGCAACCACAAAGCTTATTCCTTCGCTTGCTTCAATCCCACTTAAACCGAAAAATGAAAGAGTCCGACAACAAATAAGGCATTTTCAAAGAGGGAAAAAAAAATATGTGTAGTGTAAACAAAGTTTTCTTTTACGCGAGTGATACGGAATATCATGAAGATATTTCCGCCAGCCGCTGCAGCAGTGTGGAGAAGCCAGCTGCCTGCTGGGAAAGCTCAGCGACCCGGTCCACCATTTCCTGCGTGGCGGGCACTGAAGGGTAGTTTTGTGCAGCTCCCTTTGTGGCCACGACAACCGTCTTCAAGGCCTGACAGAGCCGTCCCCCTGAGGTTGTGATCTAGAGTAGAAAAAAAACACATTTATTACAACATTTAGACCCATTTTACAAGACTAAGGCAGGTATCATTTGTCCATTTATTCCTCAACGTTCGTATTTCGTGAACCCTTCAGGTTTCTGTATACTGGGGAATACAGTGATTTGACAGCCTGTGTAAGCGGGTATGATAACAGTTTAATAACAATGCAATAGTGGTGTAAAATGGGTATAATAACAGTCTTATATGGGTGTAATAACGGTGTAACATGGGTATTATAAGTGTGTAATACGGAGTGTAATATTGGTGAAATACTGGTGTTATAGGGGTGTATTATTGTGTAATAGGGGTCTAATGTAGAAAATAGCAATCAATTCACTTTCCAAAATGTTTATATGCGACTGCCCATTTAAGGGTTAAACAACATGAGCAACGTTTTTATTTCTACATGCCTTGGCGCGGAGGTCTGCAGAGCTGAGAAGGCGGGAGAGCGTGTCCCCGATAAAAACCAGCTTGTGCGCCGTGACGATGAGACTCTTCCCTCTGGCCACGAAGATGCGGGGCGGCTGGTTCCCCTGCACGCTGCTGAAGAGCACGTCGATGGCGTCCGCCAGGCAGGAGAGGTGCGCCAGGCTCTGAGACGAGTAGAAGGACAGCAGCTCCGAGTCCTCCAGCGAGAGGGACAACGGGAGGGGGGGGGACGGGGTCAACTGTGCAAAGAAAGAGGGAATAGTGTCAGTATGTAAAGGGAGTCAAACAGAGACAGGAATGCTACTGGCATATGTCATTATTTTTAGGATCGTACAAACAGTGGATGGCTAAGTGCACTTTTGACAAGTTTTCCACTTTGAATCCCTAAACAGCTGGAAATATCAAAACAGGGAAAATGAATGAGACACTTTGTCAGATTATTTTTTTTTTTTTTTAAATCATTGAAACTGCAACAATTAAGTGAATGCTACTTCCTGCATTGTTGATTAGCCAACCATTTCCATCATTGGAAATATTCATACAGTTGTCTTTTAAGCATAAAATGCTTTCAGCTTCTGGAGTGTGAGGATTTGATGCTTTTCTTCGTCATACATCATAGTAAACTGAACATGTTTTAGTTTTGGACAACACAAGATATTTAAAAAACTAAATGATAATTTCCCTGTCTTTTCTGACACTTGACAGACCAATTGATAAATCCAAAGAATGACCGACACATAAAGACATGTGGAATTTGTGTAAGTCAGGAACACCAGGGCTTCGTCATGTAAACACATGTAAGCAGACCTCTCTGTGACCGTGTTACTGTAATGCAAGGCGTGTTCCCTAACTTGCTTTTTAAATGCATCTTACGGTCCCACACGAAACTTAAAAGCCAGACAAAGTCAGACACTAATACAAACAGTACGTCAGCAAGTGAGACTGTTGAAAAGAACGACTGTGCTTTTCTGTCACTTATTGTCCTGCTGCCTCCGTTCCATGTGAGGCAAGATTGTTAAGATTTACAAGTGACCTCTTGTTGGCCGTCTATGGCGTAAACCAAGGAATCTTGCGAGGAGTAGAAAGAAATGCAGACTAGAGTGATAAGAAAACATGACCTCAGCTTCAAACAAGAGAAAAAAACTGACCTTTAAAGATACCACAAAACAGTATAGGATTGTAATTTCGCCGTGAAAGCAAAATCTCAGAGTGCAGGCTTTTATGTTCTCAGAAGAGGTGTTTCACGATAGACAGCTTGTCCAAATCAACAGGGGTTAGTGTCACATAACGTGAGGTGTAGACTAAGAAGGGTTAACGCCACATTAAGAGCCAAGGAGCTGCAGCAAGCGGGATTAATGAGTCACCGCGCTCATTAGTAAACACAGTGTGCTCAGGGTGAATCAATGACTTATCTGTGCAGACTTGCTGCGTGTGGAAACTAGGGATTGTATATAGGGAGGTAGAGAAATAAACAATCAAAACAAGAGGAAGTTACTCACTGTTGGGTCTGCTGTTATGTGTCTGCTGTCACCCAGGACATCAGGAAGTGGCTCAGGTTTGCCCTGGTTTGAGATGAAAAAGTCAGGAATGTTAACAGACATAATAACAGACCATGTTCGACTGTAATCTAACCATACAACTACACTTGTGAAATGTGTGAATAGTTAACGGCACACAAACGGATGTGTTTAAGCACAAAAAAAAACATCGGAAACATTTGAAGCTTCCCTCCTTTCTTTCACATTGAAATAAAAATGTATGCATGTCTATATATTCTTTTAAAACCCAATATTTCTGCACAGTTTAGCAATAAAGATTATGCATTCATATTATTAGCATGACATTAGATTCCAGTGGTGGCTGTGCTGGTTTGTGACAGTTGCGTGATCTGAACATTTCCAATAACTTCAGTCCAAAAGTCAACATGTAATATAAAAAATGTATGCATCTATTTATTCAAATGATGGACTTTAAATCTTTAAAAAAAGATATACATGTTCACACTGATGTTGAGAACAGTTATTCAATGTCATTATAAACACTGACCTGCAGTTTGACGTATCCCACACTGTCCCCTGTAGGAACAGGGGCCGGCATGGGAGTTAATCCGATCCCTGCGTACTCATTGCTGGGGTCGTCTTCTCCATCAGAGGGGCCCACCATCAGCGTCACCGTGGACTGAGTGGGGGCCAAGGGGAAGGCAGGCTGAGGGGTTGGGGGAAGAGGCCTCTCCTGGATCCAGCTTCCTTTACGTGAGCCCATCCCGCCTCCTGAAGACTTCCCATCAGGCACTGGGAGCGCGGGCAGCGGCCTGCGGGACAGCGAGTCCTGGGAAGGCAAACGTGGTCGACCCTGAGCCTGCAGGAGGAGGGCGCTCTCCTCCAGGGAGCGCTGGACCAGCGTCAGCAGCCCCTCGGAGGGAGGAGCGCTGCCGATGGCGGATAGCGCCGGCAGGAGATCGGAGAGGCGAGCCCACGTCTGCTGGAAAGGGGGGGGGGGGATCGTCTGAGAGACACGCTTTCCAGGTGGAGAGGATCTCAGCCAGCGAGGTGGCCAGGTCCCGTGACGACAGCGTGGAGGCGGAGCTCAGCACAGAGTGGACGAGGTTGGAAAGCGTGACCCTCCACTGCATGTCCCCCGATCCGTTACTGGAGACAGAGAGGCGGCGGGTGGAGGTGGACGAGGACGACAGAGAGTGAGCGAGGAGTTCGGTAGTCAATGCAGGCATGTCGTAGATGCCACAGTCGGGCTCACAAGAGTCCCGGTTCTGATAGCCGCTGCTGGCTCGTTTCTCCGGGCCGGGGACACGGTAGATCTGTCCTACGTCGTCTCCGGAGTGACTGAGGGTGGAGTCTCCCGGGCCCAGAGGGACACCAGGAAGCGTGGGGACACTGTAGACATCGTCATCAACTTCATCAGGCTGGAAGTCAGAGACATTCAGAGTGATGGAGGGGACATCATAGACCTGCAAGTGAGGGAAGAGAAAGGAAATGTTTATACATCACGTTGTTGACTTTATGATTGTGAGGGCGGATGATAACTGTAACAGAATGTATGCATGGTGTTAAAACACAATATGGGGTTTCTGTGGCAACAATCGATTTGATTACATTGTTTTGGGGGAATATCTGCAGCAAGAACGTTGTACCGAAAGATGGCCTTATTGATGTTTCTAATCCTTAGGTCACATTAAAATAATAATATTAGTTGTTGGTCATTGATTAGGCAAATGTCTAGCACGCCAAAAAGGCCTTTAACGCAGATATTTTTCTAAATTTAAATATTTTTTGGTTATTCTATGACATTCCATTAAAAGGTTGTATTGTAAATTGGTATGCTTGGATTTGGGCTCATTCAAAGTAAGTGTAATCAAAGCCTAAATGACTTTAAAACAGTTATTTAATTATTTCTAATGAAGATTTCTTTCTGTTTACCTTGCAAAAAAAGTTGAATAAATGACACAAAAAAAAGAAATTGCCGTCGGCTATGGGCATAAATGTTCATTTAAACCTCGGTATCAGCTCAGAATTGTACTATTGATGCACCCGTAGTAACATGTTGGTTTCGATTGAAGACTTCTTTTAAACCTGGCTTGTGCTTGGATGACCAGACTGAACTTGTTAAAGTAAAAAAGCTTGGCGTCATAGAGTCACCACAAACACCAGAGACACATGTCCTCTTAAACAGCTAAAAGCGCACACAGTTATTCCAGGCAAAGAGGGAAACACCATAACAGCTGGTGGACATATTTAGGCAACATTAGAAGGGAGACCACTGGGGGCAGGGTGCTGCTGCTGCTGCGGCCTTGGCATGGCCCTGACAGGCGGGTGTGACGGAGAGAAAATAGCAGCAGCACTCAAGACTGGATAGACAGGCTCCCCCAGCAGAGAGAGACAGGTGTGGCCTCGCCTAGAAGGGGGGGGCAGGGAGACACGCTGATGGCGGAATGTGGGAAGAAATGGGGACTGGGTATCTGATAGTCATCTCTCAGTGGGGAATCGTGACACTTGTACAGACATGATTTCAACAGTTTACAGTGGCTTTTGACTGTCATGAAACAAAAGGAGGCTCGTGATTATAGGCCAAACACATGGAGGAGGAAAACCACTGAATAGCCTGTGTTGTTGAAGTTTAACGGCTGCGAAGTGACTTTAAAAAAAAAAGGGGCTGCAACTATTTTCAGTATCGATTAATCTGCAAATGATTATAAAGTAGTTTGAAAAGTACATTGTCATTTCTTAAGTCAAAGGTATTGTCATTTAAAAACAGGAAGATGTCATTCTAATATGATGTTAAACAAGGAAAAGCCAGAAACCTTTACATTTGAAAAGCTGACAACAGCATTTTCTGACTGTTTTACATGGAAGTTACTTTAACCAATCATCTGTTGTGTCAAAAAGTTGGTGATTATTTTTCTCTCAATCAATGAATCATTGCAACAGACAATACATCGAATTTAAATGAAATTCCCCCATTTTAAAAACAACTCTTTCTGTGGCTATTTCTTTGATTTTTCTTTACCTCATTCTCAGAATCCCCTAGCGATGGGAGACAGCGGGGGGTGTCATAGATCCCATTATCGTCCTCATCACCAATGGAAGATGGGACTTGACGCTGCCACCTGCCGCTGGGAGGGGTATCATATATCTGCCAAGACGACAAAAGCCCAAAATCAAGTTATGTTGCAGGTCTTGGTCGACAGAAATGTATCAAAACACAACAAAACTCAGACCACATGCAAATTCTCACAACAGAGGAATTTTGAATATAAATATGTCAAAGCCTGCTAAAAAACACAATTTAAGCATCATAACATACCTGATCGTCCACAGCATCTGAATCCTGATGTTCTCCTTTTTTGTTCTGCATGTTGTTGCTTTTCTCCAGCCCGTTATTCATCCTTTCCTCCTTGCTCTGAGGAATTCCCCTCTGTTTGTCCTCCTCTTGCTGCAAGCTTGCAGGAGTGACCTGAGCGGTAGGTTTGGGTGAGTTAGTATCTGCTGACGATGCTGAATCTTTCCTGGTGACTCCCCTCACTGGAGGTGCTGGTGGAGGGGGTTTGCGGGTGAAATTTGGCGATCCAGGAACCCTGACCTGCCCTGCTCTGATCAGCATAGGAGACCCCCGGTGACACCCCAGGCCGGGTTTACCCCTGGCTGCAGCTGGGTTGGGTAAAACTCCCTTTAGCAAAGGTCTGGGAGATGCTTGGCCAGGGGATACTGGAGATGGGTGCTGATGGGCCAAAACTGTGGCTTGAGTCCTGTGAAGGCATGCTCCAACAGCGGTGGGTGTTTGGTACATCTCAGGTGAGTCCTGGCTTGCTTTAGGCTCGGGTGTACCGGGTCCTCCGTTTGAGCCATTCGAGCAAAAAGCAGTGGCTAAAATCCCTCCTGTTGGAGATTGGTAAACATCTTCCCCTGCAAGCGGCGTACCTTTAGGCACCAAGTAACAGTCGTCTGAGTGTTCTGTGGTTAGTGTTTCTCTTGGAAATAGATATGTAGTGTCCTCTGGTTCATCGGCAGCCCTTGGAACTCCTGTGGGGGCGAGGTACACGGACTCTGAATCCATGAGAGCTGCAGAAGGCATGGGACTGACTGGAGACTGATAAAGTGTTCCTGATGTTTCTGTGCCTCGTCCTCTGAGGGAGGGTGAGCGCGGACGTCCCCCGATCCCTAAATCCCAGTCAGGTCTGGGCCGGGTGCCAGAGCTGGATTGTGAGCGCGGGCGCCCTGCCTCGACCCTGCGGAGCTCCCCCGGCCTCGAGGCAGCCACTCGGCCCTCACCCGCGCATGGAGGGGAGCGATACACTCCGTCTAAGTCCTCTGCACTGCTGCTGACAGCAGAGCGAGCCAGTGGGGGGACAGGGGAAAGGTAAACAGAGTCCTCAGTGGAGCCTCGACGGGGATCAGAGCCCGTTGCTGGGGCGGTTTGGAGGAGACGGAGGCGGTTGGCAGGGACAATGCCCTGTCGGCCATGCAGGGAGCAGAGCCACCAACCCGGCCCACCACCCTGCTCCTGTTCAAGAACCATCAGTATGTCACCCTTCCGGAAAGCCAGCTCCTCCGGGCTCTCTGCCGCGTTGTCAAACAGCGCCTTTGCCAAAACCGTCTGAGAAACAGGACGAGACAAAAGTAGAAAACATAAACACGCACCCTCCTGTTCAGCATCTCACACCAAATGGCCATTTAAAGTAGGTTTTAATTCACACAAGCAGTGTCTCGCATCAGCACACCACAAACAAACAAGTACATTGACATGGCGATGAAAAGTCAGGGGTATAAAAAGGTTGATTGTTCAGGGCTATTGAAAGAAGAGTGAATAGGAGTGAATAGGGAAGATCTCGTAAAATGTCTATGAGAGATAAAGAGGGACAGGAAAAGGAGGGGTAAGCACAAAAATGAATAATATAAAAGCTAGAATCATGACCGAACTCAAAATTCACAGCTGTGTCAATAATTATGAGAGGGGGGGGCACAGTCAGGGAGGATCAATGATCAGATGGACGCAAGGGCTTAAATGGTAATGAGCGGGATGAGAGGGAGGGGGAGGGGATGAGAGGCACATCTGTCCCTCGCTGTTTAGAATTTAATTGCCCATCGCAAAGCCAGAGTCAGGCCCCCTTTCATTTTCTAAACCAACCCCCTGGGGACAGCTGGGCTCTATTGAGCCATGTGGGACCCCCTAAAACAGTAATGGAGGCAATGAGGGTCGAGATAAAATAAATAGATACAGTAGATTATATACATTTTAGAGGTAAAAACATGGCTTTTTTTAAAGTTTCAAGTTAGTTTTGATCACATTTGTACATTACCATCAGAAGAGTACATGCAAATTCCTAAGAGTACATGCAAATGAATACAAACAAAAGAGATAAATACTGTACTCACGGAGACAGACATTGTTGCAAAGTTATCAGTTGTGTCTCAGGAAAACTATAACTCAGTCGGGGTAGTCCATTTAGAGCAGGATCTGGTTTTCATGGAAGTGTTGGTCTCCGGAGAGGCTCGGTGCAGAAGCACAGCTGAGTCCGGGCTCGACACATGTTTAAAGTCCCGGCGCCTCGTCGTCTCTGCCTTCATTCGATCCCTGCATAGGTGTAACACACAATTTCTTCACGACACATTCATAACACACCGAGACGGTTACTCATACGTTGCGAGGCACATGTGCAATGAAAGGTGGGCAGGCAGCGACAACACCTGTCTCTACTTTCCACGCCCAGTAACGTGAATGCAGCCCGCTAAGCGAAAGCTAAGGTTAGCTTAGCTTTGTAGCTAAATAAGTGGATGTATAACGACAACTGGATACACCGTTCATTTCTATGAGAGTTGCTCAGTGGCGCATGAAGCCCAAATTGGAGCGAGAAAGTACCCGGATGACCCGGGGCCTTTTGCTTACCGAGCATGCGCACTGGAGTTTCCCTCTCATCTCGCGCTCTCGGCTCTGTCAAATGACTGAAGAGAAAATAACTCTCGATTCAGCTTTAAGCGCATATTTGCATATGTTAGACTCTAATGATTCAAATAAGAGCTATTAAATTGTTCATGCTGGGGAGTTTAGTTAGCTCAAAACCAATAATACGCTGATTTACAGACGACTCTTTCCCACTGTGAGTCAATAGGAAAAAGTATTTTCGGGCCAAAATGACGTCACTGAACGTGTAGTACCACCATTTGGCCACTACGGCCATTCCAAAAACTGGCCTCAACGGACGGCGCACTTCCCGGGGGCTTGATTTCCACTCGTCTTTAAATACATGTTCTGTCGTTATCCAGGTTTAAAGGATACATTATTAGAAAAGGAATAAGCTACAGTAAAGCGAGCTGTGTTGTCGCGGCCTACCTACCACCATTAGCCAGATGCTGTTAGCAATGATACCGCTGGTTATCTTCATTGCCTTTCGCTGCTAACGCTAAAGTTCATGTTAAAAACAACAATAGCACCGCCGGGTAAAAACAGCAACAAGCAACCTGTTTACCGGCCAATGTAAGCACCAAAAACAGCCAATATAAAACAAGTACCTTGCTTCTTTTCGCCCATAAACTTCGCTTCGATGTACAGTCTAGGATACGTAAAATCACTTCTTTTCAAGCGTGAAAATCTGAGGCCATCGGCGTTCAATCATTTTCGTCTATGACAACAACATTATCTCCGCCCCCTACGAGGTGACGCTTTTCACTGATCTACATAGCATAGCATGGGTGTCCATTGCAGGCTTTAGACCCATCCAGCATCTGTTAAATCGTGTAGATATCCCCAGCCTGGAAACACAGCAGCTGCGTGATTGGCTGGCGGTTTCCAGTTGCGTTCATGGACGTCCGAATTTCTCCGCAGACCAGAAAATGAGCTTAAAACTGCGGGATTAAAACTACAAATATGCCCCAAACTATCAATATCACATAACGGTACAACACAATTCCGAATGTCCTAATCATATTGCATACTTTTTTTTGGACGGAATTGGCAGTACAATCAAATTAAGAGCAGACCAGCTATTGCTAGAGGCTTTTATTTTGACAGCGGGACTATTACCCCGGAAAACACTGAATGTAGCACGAATCGTTGGTAGTAAGGTCCAAGCAGTAAACTTTGACACTCTTTTAAGAAATTCTTCCACAGTCCAAGCTCATATTCAGTATTGCATGAACCGCAGGGTGAGACAACGCTCTTAAACATATTTGCACATTAGTTCATTATTGTAGTCAACACTGAGTTAAAGTATACATTTGAACTGAGATTTGCCTTTGTATATAAATAGCGATCATGTATTTTATCATTGCTTTCTCTTCACTTTGTAGTGTATTATTGATTTAAATGAGTGACAAAGTGGTTCCCAACTTCATTTACTGTTATATGTCAGCTAGCGCACCACTGCTGAGTCCTGAGTCCTGACGACCTCTACCCTAGATACCCAGTGTTTTCATAAAACAATATTTGTTACTATTCTCTATCCACAGGTGATGTTAAGAAGTGTATTCAGGTGCCTTAGGACCAACCCTGTTTCTTGCCAAAGGAACATGTCTCAAAGTAGCCTTGCTGGAAAGGTAGCCATAGTCACTGCCTCCACAGATGGGTAAGAACTAGCTGTTTAACTCTTGTTTTGTCTGTAGCCTACTGCAATAAAACATACTTAACAGTTAGTAAGAAACTGACTTTGGCAATAATTAACTGCTGTCCTGGCGAAGCAGTGGTACTGAAAGGATAATAAAAACATTCAAATTGATGTCAAATATCAATGGAGAAAGCCCAGCAAATACAATTAATTAAAGATAAGATGCATCAAGCTTGTTTCCAAAATCATTGGGCATTATGAGTTTCAGCCCCTGCTGGAATTTATCTGTAGCCTAAAAAAGACACGAAACTTTACAAATGGTTTTAGTAACCAGCCAAATTAGCATCATTATTTAAAAGTTAGCATACTGATTAATCTGTTTGATAGAGGTATTATATCATGGCCAAAAGACCATTATTCTCTTACCCCTGTCTCCTCTTCAGAATTGGCCTAGCTGCAGCTCAGGCTCTGGGTAAGAGAGGAGCCCATGTGGTGGTGAGCAGCCGGAGACAGGCCAACGTGGACAAAGCCGTGGCCCTGCTGCAGAGCCAGAGCATCACAGTGACCGGGACCACTTGCAACGTCGGCAAGGAAGAAGACAGAGAAAAACTGGTTCAATTAGTGAGTATCTTTATAATTCTAATACCCATGCATATTAATAATTTTGAGATTTTCAGTGATTCAATCCAGTTCTTACCTCATTAACAGCCATATTCTGTGTTTGGAACAGACTCTGGATCAGTGCGGTGGCATTGATATCCTGGTGTCCAACGCAGCAGTCAACCCTTTCTTTGGAAACATCATGGACTCCACTGAGGGCGTCTGGGACAAGGTACACACATTCAGAGGCCCATTTGTTTAAAGGATTTAAATTCAGAATATGTTATGGGAGAATTTCGTCGTTTCTTTCTAGATCCTGTCTGTAAATGTCACATCAGCCTTCCTCATGACTAAGTTAGTGGTGCCTCATATGACAAAGAGGGGGTGAGTAACGAACAAAACCGTGATCCAGACAAAAATATATACTATCAAAATGTATGTTTATTGACAAATGCTCTGTATTTTTCTTTTTAGAGGAGGAAATGTAGTATTTGTGTCATCTGTGGCTGGATACCAACCAATGCAGGTCAGTGACAGTTATATAATACTAAAACACTGGTATGGAATATCTTTTTTCATTTCCTACATATCCGTGATAATACTGACATACCTTTACTTAAGTAAGGTTTTAAATGCAGGGCTAATAGTGGAGTATTTTTTACTAGTAATATTGATTACTTTAGTAAAAGGATGTAAGTACTCCCACCATTGATGAGCATAGAAGTAGAACAAGCAAATGTATATTGACATATAGAGCTAATAAGTAATTATATATTTTAATTCCAGTGTTGCAGTCATGTTTTGTTGTCATTTTGTAAACGGTTGTGTTTGTATATGTTATGGACACTGTGTCTCTGCAGGCTCTGGGCCCCTACAGTGTGAGTAAGACGGCTCTGCTGGGTCTGACCCGGGCCCTGGCCCCTGAGCTGGCTCAAAGTAACATAAGAGTCAACTGCGTGGCCCCTGGAATCATCAGAACAAAATTCAGCAGCGCGGTGAGGAGAAAAACACACATTTATCTTTGTATCACACTTATTTATAAGTCTCTATAATAACCAGAGATGGCAAAAGTACACACATCCTTTACTCAAGTAGAAGTACAGATACTCGTGTTTAAAAATACTCTGGTAAAAGTAGAAGTACTGACTAAACTTCTTTACTCAAGTAAAAGTAAAGAAGTATGGGCTTCGAAATGTACTTCAGTAAAAAGTACCCATAACTAGCAGCTGTTTTAAAGAGTACCTGACCTCCCTTTATATTAATAGAACAATAATGTCATTGTTAGCTAATGAATGTTTCCATGCTGAACAACGGCAACATGACAACGTTTTCATTGGTGCCTCTTCTTTAGAGAAGACCAGGAAATGATGGATACACGGATCGTGTTAAAATCAATTTGGGACGCAAGGACTTTAAATAATAATGATCAGGCCACCAAACACACATTAAAACTAAAGTAACGAACCTGTTTTGAAAATGTAACAAGTAGAAAGTACAGGTATTTGTGTTCAAAATGTAAGAAGTAAAACTAAAAAGTTGTCAGAAAAATTAGTAGTGGTGTAAAGTACTGATACCAGAACAATTTACTTAAGTACAGTAACGAAGTATTTGTACTCCATTACTTACCACCTCTGATAATAACACATGACTGTTTTTGTGGCAGTTAACGGGGAACGAAGACATCATGGACGAGTTCAAAAAGCAGATGAGCATTAAAAGGTATGCTCACATGGGAATGTATCACTAATATGCCAGACAATACACACACAAGTAACATATTTAATATTTTGACGTTTATCTCCCTATAGAGCGGGAGAGCCAGAGGAGATAGGTGGAGTGATTGCCTTCTTGTGCTCGGAGGAAGCGTCCTACATCACCGGAGAGACCATCACTGTGACCGGAGGGATAGGCTGTCGACTCTGAAGCTCTAGGGCCAATAAAAGTGTGTGTGTGTGTATGTTTTGATTACATTTAGACTGACTTGAAGTGCGGACGCAGCCAGAATAAAGCTTCATATACTATTCAAGCAAGACATGTACAATTCCTAACTAATAATTGAAGATTTTAGGTTTTCTCTGTGATGATCGTGATATTCTGTGAATTTGAAGGATTTCTACTCTGATAGTTGTGATAAATAATTTCATCCTCACAATCTACTAGATGTGTTAATTCAATAGGAAGTTCTTTCAGTGATCATGTCATGAACCAGTGCTTAAATTATAAAACGTTATACTTCTCTTTCATATCAAATGCAGCTTTAAATAGCTTTTCGTGAGAGATACATCACTTACACATGTTTAAAACAGAACAAGTATGAGAAGTACACTAAACACTAGAAAAGGTGGAATTTATGACATCTAAGATCATAAAAGAGAAATGAGCTTTGGTGCAGAACAGAATGCTGCTTAATATATCATTGATAAACCCACTTGTGGAAACGTTTTTCAAACTGTTTCTTTATTACTTCCACACATCTCAAATTGCATTAATTTTATTTATTCCCATTATGTGTCCACAGTCCAGCAATGTGATCCCAACATGGTGAATGAAATGCATGCACAATGTTAACAACCTTTATTTTAAATATTGAAAAAATGTAATAAATGTAATGGAGATGATCCACATACAAACAATACTGTACGGTAACGATTTCAAAAACGTTACAAAAGTGCCCATAATAAGTCATCATGCTATTTTAAGGCTTGTATTCCATGATGACAAACCACTGATTAAAATAAAAATCTGACTCAGCTAGGGTGACGTCCTGAGCCAAGAGAAACAGATGTCTTAAATAAATGTCGTCAGCTTCAGTGGCTGGTGCATATAGATTTATTTTTGGCTTTTCGGTCGATGTGGCTGTAGGCAAAAAACCACATGACCACCAAACTTGGCGTCAATATTCCATTTCATCGTCTGTTTTTGCCGCCAGCAGAAGACAAGTCCCGCCGTGTCATCCCAGGCTTCCAGTACTCCCTCAGAGTGGGGACATATGTGCCGTGTTTGGTCTTGTAGTAGCGCTTTGTGAACAGCTGAGGGAGACAGGCTCAGTTAGAAAACACAGAGGAAGGAACCAACTTGATAGAAAGACCAGCACTAAAGTGAGAGAAACATTTATTCCACCAGTATTTCATTTTTCTTAAATAACTCACAGTCCCATCTCTTTTCGTTTACTGTCAGTGTCTTGTTTGGTTCACTTTGAAGGCTTACAGTGAATGTCTTGAATGTGCGATCCGGTTTCGAAATTGCACATTTGAGTCATTACCAATGGATTTTTATTAACTTATAATTGTCCGAATGAATTTCAAAGCTAAATCAATTACTTAAAAGATAATCTCTTTTAAAAAAAAATACAAAAAATTGGACACATTGTAAGGATTCGTACTGCTCATTGAAACACTGTCTTTTAGTGGTTTAGGAATACATACCCTAACTTTGAAGTTCTTCGTTGCTTCGTCTTCAGAATCCGCGACATAGTCTTCAGTGTCTCCAGGACGGGCGGATGTACCTAAACCAAAAAAAGGAAACACAGATGAACACAGTTTTTTTCCCCATTGTTGATCTTTCTGGGTTTTTTTCCTGCAGTTACTTTTTTTAGTTTTTAAATCACCTGAGTTACTGCGTTGTTGAGAAGGAGAGCCGATTACACCGGGCAATACAGGGTGATTCCTGTTGGGTAGAAACAATATCATTAAACCATTTGGTACATTGATATTTGTTATCAATTCAGTTTTTATAGCTGCTAAAAGGTAAATGGAGATATTTCACATAGCTGCTTTGCTATTTAGAATTGAAGTCTATTGGCAAGTACATACATTTGAATGATACATCTTTAAAATAATATAGAGCAATAAATATATATCCATATATAATAAAAATCTGACAGACAAATCGGATGAACTTGAAAAAATTGAACTCGTTTTTTATGGTATTTGTAAAACAATGGTCTAAAGAATATCTATAGAACGTTAAAAAAAAAGGCTGCAAGTCAAATTTATCGTTAAATTGGTTTATTGTGCACAAAAGCGTACAAAAATAATATGAAATATTAAGTAGACAATATTACCATGTGTGTCTTTAACATGATATCAGTATTGATTTCTTTCTAAAATATCACGGAATCTCGAATTTTGTCCAATATAAAAGTATCTGGTTCTGCCACAGAGATCAATGATGTGTTTTTATGATAAACACTAGGGATGCTCCGATCGATCGGCCGATATTCACTCTTAATAGTGTGATCGGTGCTCTCTATAAATGCCGATAAGGAGCGCTGATCACATGACGTAAAATACATGACACTTTTCTCTATGCGCGGCAAAACAAGCTCGCCAAAATGGCTTCACCAGTCTGGCAGTATTTTAAGGTGTCCGAAGAAAGACAATAAAATAGCGGTATGCAACGTGTGTGTGAAGCAGAAATCCTGCAGCTCCGCCCGCTGTGACGGACCGGTGAGCGGAGCAGAACACACATTAAGAGTTAGACCTAACACACTTAGCTATTTTATCTACCTCTCGAACAAGCTAAACTAGTTATAAATATATTTATTCTTCACTGTCGGGTCACTCATTACTGGATCAGTGAGCTGCATGAGACAATACTCACAGGCTGTCAGGAGAGAGAGAGAGAGGAATTATCCAAAGTGAATGTAAACTTGAATAATGTACTTCATTTGAATGTAATAATTATGTTGGTTGTTGTTTGTGGAAGCGCATCATGTATTGAAAAATGAGTCTGAACTTTTCGATCCGTTAACTGAGTTTTAAACATCACTTGAAATGGAAGATCCCCATAGCCCCCACCCACCCTATGATCGGATCGGCGATCGGTATCGGCCGATTCTGACTCCGGTGATCGGTGATCGGCCTCATCGGAGCGTCCCTAACAAACACATTCATGATGAAAGGTTTTAAAGGTACGATAAAACACACAGATAACATAGTAAATGCTAGTTAACCAAATCCAGAACACATAATGGAATTGAACATTATTACTAATGTAGCTGCTGAATTTTCTACAATACAAACTTGACATAATACTAAATGGGTCTGAATGTGGACGTCTCTTACTCTTTATCGTCCAGGCCGGGACGCTCCGAGCCAGGCCTCTGAGTTTGGTTGAGTTTGCGTGTTGGAGTTTTAACCGGGGACGTCCTCCTCTGGTTCTGCTGCTTCACAGACGAGGATTTAGTCCTGTTGGGGCTCGCAGGAGACACCGACAGCTTGTGTAAAATAACTTTGGGTTGGCTCCTCAGACAAGAGACAAAAAGGGAGCAGAGGGAAGGGTCTTCAGGCAGCTTTTTGACGCCCAGCTGCATCATACAGGTCTTAAGAGCTGTTCTGTCATCTACTCTCTCACTTGTCGTGTTGCTTATCCTCTTTTTCCCAGATATAGTCATGCCTAATATTTCCTCCTCCTCCTCCTCCTCCTCCTCCTCATCGGATTCACTTTCCGTCATGTCAGGTTGCTTGCGTTTCATTCCGTTGCTTTCCTTCCTCTCCTCTTCCACTTGTTCTTCACCTTTGATCGTTCCATCGTCCTTGAGTTTCGGTTTAATCGCAGTGAATTTCAAGTTCTCTTTTGGGTTTGAGGGCTCGTTGGTTGCGTCCTTTGCTTGCTCTTCCCTTCTCTGTGTCCTGATCATAAATGGTACATCTTGATTAGATACGAGTCCGATAACAGGTTTAAATATGAAATATTAAATAGACAATATTACCATGTGTGTCATTAACATATCAGTATTGATTTTTTTCTAAAATATCACGGAATCTCGAATTTTGTCCAATATAAAAGTCAATTTAAAGTATCTGGTTCTGCCACAGAGATCAATGATGTGTTTTTATGACAAACACTAGGGATGCTCCGATCGATCGGCCGAAATTCACTCTTAATAGTGTGATCGGTCCTCTATAAATGCCGATAAGGAGAGCTGATCACATGACGTAAAATACATGACACTTTTCTCTGTGCGCGGCAAAACAAGCTCGCCAAAATGGCTTCACCAGTCTGGCAGTATTTTAAAGGCCCTGACACACCAGGCCGAAATCGGCCGTTTTCGTTAGTCGGACGACGAAGCGTGCCCTGCCGCCCAAACTCAAATTTGGTGTGTCCCGCACCGTCGGCCGTGACATGCCTTATTTGGCCTTTCATGGCCGACGCACAAAGAAATCACTCTGATTGGCTGTTCAGCTAGCGAATCAGTGCATGAGAAGCGAAACGGTTGCTTGAGAATGTCTTCCACAAGCAACACTCCAATGGCTGATAGCTCCAGTCCCGCACGAAACATGTTTTCGATGGACGAGAGTGAAAATGGAACGCACACGCTATTTGTTGTTTGTTTAGATCACGCAGTCTGTTCTTCTTCTCTGTCTTCCGGTTGTTGCCTATTTTGAATGACGAATACACACTACCACCGCCTGCTGGTAAGGAGAGTTATTGCCACTCACGCATGCGCAGTTCGTACGTGCTCGGCTGAAGTCTTTGCGGTGTGTTCCCGTGCGACACATGGCCAAGACGCAGGAGAACACGGCGACGCAACAGTCGGCGTCGGCGAGTTCTCTGGTGACTGCCTGGTGTGTCAGGGCCTGAGTTAGACCTAACACACTTAGCCATTTTATCTACCTCTGGAACAAGCTAAACTAGTTATACATATATTTATTCTTCACTGTCGGGTCACTCATTACTGGATCAGTGAGCTGCATGAGATACTGACAGGCTGTCAGGAGAGAGAGAGAGGGGGAGAGAGAGAGGGAGAGAGAGGAAAAGAGAGCGCTTCCGCTAATTTCTCCCGTGTTATTATCCAAAGTGAATGTAAAATTGAATAATGTACTTAATTTGAATGTAATAATTATGTTGGTTGTTGTTTGTGGAAGCGCATCATGTATTGAAAAATGAGTCTGAACTTTTCGAAGCGTTAACTGAGTTTTAAACATCACTTGAAATGGAAGATCCCCATAGCCCCCACCCACCCTATGATCGGTATCGGCCGATTCTGATTCCGGTGATCGGCCTCATCGGAGCATCCCTAACAACTACAACAAAAAGAACATATTTTACCGTGATTAAATTGTAATACACGTTTCTAAATGATGCCGAAGTAACAACATACTGATACCGGTTAGTAACAACCATGAATTAATGCTCTGACAAGTCTGCAGACAAGACGGCAGGCAAAACACCTTTTTAAATGCTTGTTTTCTGAATGAAGATCGGGTCGACCAGGCTAAGCTAACGTTGTATATGCTCATTCCACACTCATAACAACGGCCTACAGACATAAATAAAGCAGCGACTGTATTCGCCATGGCACAGACAGTCTGTGGTTTGTACTTGTTTAACTTTTGTCCAGTTTCTGAACAGATATGAGGAGCTGTGAGCTCTGTGTGCTAACTGCTAACAGCTAACGGCTGATGTTGTGTGGTTGAACGTCAGTGACGGCAGGCTGAGATCCTCACCGCTGATTGGCTTCCTCGAGAACACGTCACGTGAATTTGACGCTCGAGTTGAAAAAATTGAACTCTCGCGTTTAACGCGGCACCGTTCAATCGCCTCAATCGCGTGATTCGCGCCGCGTCCACCGCTTCATGCGCACCGTCGGAGCGAATTCGCGTCTGTCTGCGTCTCTGCATTGACTTTACATGTAATCGCGCCGCCCCCAAACATCGCATCGCGTCCGGTGTGAACGCAGCATAACAAACACATTCATGATGAAAGGTTTTAAAGGTACGATAAAACACATAGATAACATAGTATATGCTAGTTAACCAAATCCAGAACACATAATGGAATTGAACATTATTACTAATGTAGCTGCTGAATTTTCTACAATACAAACTTGACATAAGACTAAATGGGTCTGAATGTGGACGTCTCTTACTCTTTATCGTCCAGGCCGGGACGCTCCGAGCCAGGCCTCTGAGTTTGGTTGAGTTTGCGTGTTGGAGTTTTAACCGGGGACGTCCTCCTCTGGTTCTGCTGCTTCACAGACGAGGATTTAGTCCTGTTGGGGCTCGCAGGAGACACCGACAGCTTGTGTAAAATAACTTTGGGTTGGCTCCTCAGACAAGAGACAAAAAGGGAGCAGAGGGAAGGGTCTTCAGGCAGCTTTTTGACGCCCAGCTGCATCATACAGGTCTTAAGAGCTGCTCTGTCATCTACTCTCTCACTTGTCGTGTTGCTTATCCTCTTTTTCCCAGATATAGTCATGCCTAATATTTCCTCCTCCTCCTCCTCCTCATCGGATTCACTTTCCATCATGTCAGGTTGCTTGCGTTTCATTCCGTTGCTTTCCTTCCTCTCCTCTTCCACTTGTTCTTCACCTTTGATCGTTCCATCGTCCTTGAGTTTCGGTTTAATCGCAGTGAATTTCAAGTTCTCTTTTGGGTTTGAGTGCTCGTTGGTTGCGTCCTTTGCTTGCTCTTCCCTTCTCTGTGTCCTGATCATAAATGGTACATCTTGATTAGATATGAGTCCGATAACAGGTTTAATAAATGGGGTTTTGTCTCTTGTCTGTGTGTTGTAAGACTGGTAAAAAGAGTTAGTGGCTCCTGTTGGAGGATCTGAAGGCACTTTTCCAGAGGGGGAGAGGGAAGTCAGGATGGAGTCTCCCATGTTTGGAGGGAGGGATGCTGTGAAAAAAAAACATGGGGATTAATAAGGAAGTTCACCGTGCTATCTAGTAGGGCTGTATAGACAGGGGTGCACATAACTTTCTCAGTGAGGTACTCAGATGAGTACCTGGAGTCAGTGTTTTGGGGGGGGGGGCTAGTGAAGTACTTCAGGAAAGTCGACGGGGGGGGCTAGTGGAGTACTTCGTGACCACAGAGCGTGAACGTTGTGATCAGCTGTTTTAGCGCAGTTCTCCAGTGAAGGGGGGGGGGGGGGGAGTCTCCCTCCGCAGCCGGTTGGCGTAGTTTTGGCACAATTCCGTTGTACAGACCGACGTTAACAGCAGCCCTGTCTGTGCACACGGAGACCGACTCTGTCGTCCGGTGATCTAATCGCCTTCTGGAAAAGCTTCACAAGTACGTCGGTACGCAAATGCGCTTTGTGACACAAGTGACGGTACGCATTTCAGATTGTTGCCGTGCATGCGTACCAGTTATGTGCACCCCTGTGTATAGAATAGCTTTAAGCTTCATTCTTGTGTGATTTCAACATTCCCAATAACTCCAGAGCATTGTCGACATTTGTAGAAAAAAGATGGATGTAATTATTTTCAAAATTCACATCATGTTTTTATCTGAAGAAATACACCGCTTCAAGATTTGTGTGATGAATTATGGAGGACGGAAAAGTCCATAAGTGTAAATACATTTTAAAAATGCTTTAAAAGGTAGGGTAGGTACGTTTGAGAAACCGGCTCGAGTGCGCTAGAATTTGAAAATACACAACCGGAGAAAATCTGCCACTTCCTTACAGAGCCCCTCCTCCAACACACACGAACGCGCACATGACCAATGAGGGCACGAGATAAGTTTGTGCACAGATGGAAGGCTGACAGGCAGGTAGGCCATCCAGTTATTTTAGCCGGGCCGGCTAAAATGATTGGTCGTGCTTTTTACAGTACTACGGCTTCCACAGATGACATTTTTTTATGGATTTTTTGTCAAAGCACTTCAGATATTCATTGCTATCGGGATGTTAAGAGCATTCCATGGAATATAACAAAAAGTGTATCTCGAGCCGGTTTCTCAAACTTACCTACCCTACCTTTAATTAATTAATAGAGAAGTAAATAAATACAGGAATAATAAAATAAATGCTAAAATATAATGCAGAAATACATGCTGTTAAAGGTGGGGTAGGTAAGTTTGAGAAACCGGCTCGAGATACACTTGTTGTTATATTCCATGGAATGCTCTTAACATCCCGATAGCAATGAATATCTTAAGTGCTTTGACAAAAAATCCATTAAAAAATGTCATCTGTGGAAGCCGTAGTACTGTAAAAAGTACGACTAATCATTTTAGCCGGCCCGGCTAAAATGATTGGATGGCCTACCTGCCTGTCAGCCTTCCATCTGTGCACAAACTTATCTCGTGCCCTCATTGGTCATGTGCGCGTTCATGTGTGTTGGAGGAGGGGCTCTGTAAGGAAGTGGCAGATTTGTTCCGGCTGTGTATTTTCAAATTCTAGCGCACTCGAGCTGGTTTCTCCAAAATTACCTACCCCACCTTTAAATAACTAAATAAAATAATTAATTAATAGTGAAAACCTTTTTTTTCTTTATTTGTTAGGGCAGGATTATGTCATCAATTATAACAACAAACAACATAAGCGGCTCGATTTCCAAAACGAGATTATGGATTCCAATGTAAATGTGATACATTTGAAAATATGGCACTACACCAAATCCTAGCTATACATGTTAGCTGGCCTGAGTGGTGATGAGGATGTACCTGCAGTCTCCAGGTGGCCCAGGCAGGTCTGATGCTGGAGCAGTGTCTGCAGCAGCTGGGGTTGGCTGGCCGCCCGCGCACACGCCTCCAGGACGGAGGGGGTCTCAGTGAGCCACGACACAGTCTGGAGACAAATGACATACATACAACTTGTATTCATGTACCTGTGTTATTCATGATTTATTATCTTTGCTTTTTAATGTTTCTAATGTGTTTTATGCTCTTAATGTCTTTCATTTTTGTAAAGCACTTTGAATTGCCTTGTGTTGAAAAGTGCTGTATAAATAAACTTGCCTTGCCTTACATATAAACAATTTCTTTGAAAAGTACTTTACTTTGAATCACAATATGTTAGCAGGCATTTATAAATGATCACTAGTAAAAAAAAAAGACCCTCCTTGTACACTTTTTGTATCTACTGCAAATCAAATGTGATTTTTTTCAAATGTACAGATAAAGAGAAATCAAATAGATTGAATTTGTGATGGAAAAAGGCAGGGTTTTCCCAGAAGCACCCACTACCTGAGCAAGGTTGGGAACTGGGAAGAACTGGTCCAGTCGGATCAGAAACTCCCACAGCAGCTTCTCCAGCTCCTGGTCAAACTTCTGACCATAATCCACAGGAAACTCCTCCTGTTAGAAGACACAATAAGATGTGTCGGCTGTGAAACAATCCTACAGACATCAATGCAGATACAAAATGTGTGAAGGGACTCACCTTGAAGAAATGTTTCCTCCTTGTTGTGTCTGTTAGCAGCGAGTGAACCAATGATTGGAAACCTTCCACTGTATTCATGATTTTTAAATCCCTCTTCTAGGAGACAAAATAGAAACAAAATTAAACTTTTTCCATCCATAAGTCTTAAAATAATATATCGATGCAACACTACAGTCCGAGATTGTGTAACGTTTAATTCTGCAAACACCTCCAATATTAACTGTTGTAATTATAATGTAGCATGAGGCCATGGAGCATAAAGATCATGCCATTTTTCTTCAGTATAAAACCTGCAAACAGTTTACAGTGACAAAAATGGCAGTGCAATTTGTAGTGAGAGTCTAGATATCAAATGTAATTTACTTTAGTAGTTGCAGAGGAGGTTGACAGAGGAGCAGGAGCACGGATCCTTTCCAGATGTGACATTATCTCCTTTTTATCCGGCTGTGTAGAGCAGAGCTCCATGATCAACTGAAAATAAATTGATAAACCGTACATTCAGACCAGGAAACGGATCATTAAAAATACTTGGCAATGATGTGTCAAAATGGAGAATATTATAGTCAGATAGATAGGAAAGAAGAATGAAAGAGGCATCAGATTCTCACCCGTGCTCTCAGCCCCAGTGCCAGCTTGCCCTGGTGTCTCACAGTGAGCAGCCCGGGGACAGTCTCACATGCTGAGGTCACAAATTCCTCCACAACCCCATAGTGCATCACATCCCTCTGCTCCATCACCTTCCACAGGGCTGCAGACACCAGGCGCACAGGCGGGGCCAGGAGCTGGAGTGCAGCAAAAGGGAGGCTGGCATCTGTGCAAGAGACAAAAGAAAAGAGACAACAATCATTGCAACTCATGTGACTAAATAGGCAGGGTTGAGAATGTGTGTCTGTCTCTATAGATTGCAGATTCCAATGTTACAGTACTGGCTATAACCCAGGTGATGGTAATGCAGGGGTCCCACATCAGCTGTCAAATTGTCACCTTCCACTGCAACTACAATATTGACAGTTTCACATTTATTTTAATTGTTATTCAATGTATTAACACTTACCATTTTTCTTAGTTTTTCTTGCAGTCATACTGCTGAATTTGCAAGCTAGCTTAAGCTAATGAGGTGGACGTCTATTAACTAGCTTAGCAACTTTGAAACATTACTCCCCAATTCCGCTTCAAAGCTGCCGCTAAAATAACAGTTTACCCGAGGAACGTTAAACAGGAAATACTTCACAGCTGTTGTTTCCTAACTCCTGCAGTTATCTGTCGTTATCGTTACGCCTCGGTAGTCCTGTTGTTTTTGTTTACCCGCTCAAACAGCTAGCAACACTTCTCTAAAGTTCTGCTTCTCATCCTCCCGCCTTCGCTGCAACAATATAAAGGGTTTCAAATGCTCACCAGGGTGCGCCGGATTGGCGGTGCTTAGTGCATTTTGAATTAAAGACATTGGTTCGAACAGGAAACTCCGTCCGCGCGCGAACTGCAATGTATAAAACAAGCGCACACCCTGATTTTACAGGATATGACGTAGCAGTTCCGACAGCAGTTGCTACCATCTGTTTATCAAATGTTTAATAATAGTTAAACATAGTTTAAAACTGTGCGGAGAAATAGTGTTAAGACTGTCAATGTATTTTAATGAGCATATGAACACAGAATGATGGTACTATAAAAAAACAAACAAAAATGTATTATGAAACAAAATAATGGCCCAGCAAAAAGCAAGATAAATAGTTGAATAAGGGTAAATATCATGGATGTAGGTAAATATACATATAGGAATTAGCGTTGGAAAATACATTGATTGGACATGTATATCAGCTAATATAAGCAGCTATACAATTAAAAACATGACTATCAGATGTTTAAAACTGAACAAACAGTATTGGCTTCAACTAAAATGATCCAGTATCAGTTATTATCTAAAGAGGTAATACCTTTGCTAGTTGAAAACATTTCTCTCACACACAAACACACAGAGGCAACATGAACTTTGCCCTTTACTGTCCTGTATCTGAGTTATCACCATGTTTAGGACAAAGTCCAGCTGCTGGGTCAAACACAAGCTGACATTATCACCATTTGCTACACCAAAACAGCTTACGAAATAATACGTCCAGGAGAAGAGACAACAAGAAACTGAGGAACATGGATACAACATCTTCATTTATCAAGTGAGTGAAACATTACTTTTGGCCTGTTGATATTGTATTTCACGACCTCTTCGCTTGACTAAAAATCTAAATATCATTATGTTGCTGTTGGAGTAATTATAGGCTAGGCTAGACTGACTGATTAGAGTAATAAAGTTGATGATTTGTCATTTTAACATATGTTTTAATGTGAAATTTGACATTTAGCTTCATTATCATAAGAGTTGTCCTCTTTTTATAAAGATTTTGATACGTAAAAGTGTGAAAAACGCAAATGTAAATAATAAAACTATTGATTGTTTAATGTCATTTTGTCTTTCTTCAACACTGGCATGACATAAAGTGTGACACTTAAGTAGAACAGAGCTATCATTAATGTTGTTAGTATAAGTGCTTTTCCTTTAATGACAAGTCGAAATGTCTGTTGTGAAATCCAACAAAGTAAAACAGTTAATGACCGTTTCAACTGTTTTTTACTCAGATCTGTGACCAAGCGAGTGTGGGCCCCACCTCAGCGTCCCTTCAGAGTGTGTTGTCACAACAGGGAGACCAGGAAGGGCATCACAGCCGGGACCCTGGAGGAGCTCAAAGAGAGGGTGAGAGCCGCTGAAAAACATAAATAATGGAAATAAATAAAAGAAAAGACTCTGGGAGATGGGCTTACAGTAAATGGGATATTATAAATATATAAAATAACAAAAATTAAAAGAAAAACATTAAAAAGTCTGATAAAAGGCAGTGCTAAACATTGGAAGAAACAAAAAAGGATAACGTTGAGAAAATATATTTAAAAAAGAGATCAGTTCTCTTAGAATGAAGTTCAAACCTTTATAATTTGTCCACTTAAAATGTCAGCAATCAACAATTGAATGGTTATCTCATCTAAAATCTTTGATGATGTCAAATATGTGATCACATGTGAGTCAAGGCTGCACTAAAGTGGTGTGAAGATAAGATTTCTGACGTGTAGATAAGGGCCAGACTGCATTTTCTGATAACATTTAAGTATTAATTATATGTTTAGCTGCTGGCTAATTGAAAGTGGCTCCAATTAGAGTTGAAAGGTAACAGGAAATGGTTTCCATCTGACTACAAATAGCTTCATATATGACAATACATTATGTTCTGGAGTCCAGCTAATTAATGTAACAGTCAATACAAAAGGAAGTATACTATAATTGTTTCTAGTACACACTCATACAGCTTGAATCTGTGCTGCAGGTCTGCCAGACCCTGCTGCTGTCCCTGTCTGCAGGGTCTCTGTCTCTGGCATGTGAAGAGGACGGCACTGAGGTCGACTCCGACGAGTTCCTCATGACCCTGCCCGACAACACCATGCTCATGGCCCTGGAGCCTGGAATGACATGGAGACCACAACCGGTATGTTTGAGGAGATAACCCAAATGTTATTATAAACCCTCATCTATACTTTTATGAGTCTTCTTTAATATATGTGCTCTGATCCCCCCCAGGGTGCAGTTGTGCCCAAATCTCAAGACCACAACAAGCCAAGGACTGGGAGAGACATAGCTCGTGTGACCTTTGACCTGTACAGGATAAGCCCAAAGGATGTCTTTGGCTCTCTGAATGTGAACGCCACTTTCCAAGGCCTGTATTCTGTGAGCGCTAACTTTGAGTGTCTGGGGCCCAAGAAAATCATCAGGTAACTAGCCATGCAGAAAAAAAAACACCACAGTGACTGATTGCAGCTCTGAAATGTAGAAGAATAGCAGTCTTAAGTAGCAAAAAAACTATATAATTGTACTTCAATTTGCATCTCTATGCGTTCCATACTTGTCAATCTGACGTTATTTTTCTACCTCGCAATAATATATGAAAAATACTCTGACAATCTGCTCGAATGAGAAGTTAAAGAGCATTAAATCGAGTGCAATGTCAGTGAAGCACAACCATACTGATAACTTTATCTTGTTTTCCAGAGAAGCCCTGCGTGTGGCCTCCACCCTCCTACACACCGCTGGACGCCTGCTTATCACTACCGCCTCCATGATCCGTCGCATTATCGAAGGCGCAGAGCTCTGGCAGCCACAGAGGACAGAGTACAAAGCCAGCTGGAACTGACCTGCTTAGACGTATCATAGAGCAACTTGGACTGATAATATTGTTGACTAAATAGGGATCTTTAACGCGTAAAGACCTGTCGTAACAACAGAGGAAGCTTTTTGAATGTAGCTGGATAACATGAGAATAACTCATCTGTTTTTCTATTTTTTGTGCAATATATTTCACATAATATTCTAGAATTGTCCTTTATTTTTGGTAATTTGGTAACTATTTTTCTATTTGCTTTGAGATTACAGCCGCTGTTCACTGATCATTTGGTCAGTTTATGAGTGTTTCGATGTAAAAATAATGACAAGAAGAGTCATGTTCAAACAACATAAACTGTTTTACTTGAATGACAATAAAAACGTCTGCACAGTACAAATGGAAATCGTTGATGTGAAAATTGCATCTACGTTGCAAATGAAAAAAGACTGTACATACATCATGACCGCAAACAGGTCAAGTAATAACAATAACAAAATAACAGAGATACATTCCATGTGAAAGAGGAGGCAAATGCATGTGAACAAATGTCTTTCAAAAACACAAAATCAAAGTGAACAAACTTCTTCTGATGCCTCCTTTAAAACGTGAACAAAGGATTAAATTACTTCCCATTGAGGGGTTAAATCGGTGCACAGGATTTGGCCTCCTTCTTCCACAGTGCTCTCAGGCTCTGCCGGTACCTGACGTTGGCGACAGCCTGGCCGTATTGCTCGCTAGTCATCCAGTGCGGCCTGAATCTCTTGATATAATAGCGCATGTCTCCGTACCACTGAACCAACTGGTAGCGCGGCATTCCAACCAACTCACCCAGCCTGTTGTATGCCTCAATGTCTGGATACTGGCATTCTGTGAAAGCCTCCTTCATCCTCGTCAACTGAAACTGCGTCTTTGTTTTGGGTACCACACGAGTGGGAATTGCGCATGTGTTTTCATTGTTGCCGCCATTGGTGGTTGTTGACTCTGTTTGCGTGTGCGTTTCTGATTTCTCCTCACAGTGACTTTTCTCAGGGGTCTTTCCATTATTAGAGGTAGAAGGAGGAGTGTCGTCATTTTTTCCCAGCACTTCTGTCTGGTTGTCAGTGAGAGGAGGCATGTTGGGGGCCTGAGTTTGAACCAAAGGGATGAGCAGGGGCATTGCATCCTGTGTCTCATTGGGTACCCCACTTTTATGGACAGACGTTTTTGCTTTTGGCTTCCTATTGGTAAAAAGCGTTATCTCCGACTGAGTGGACTTCTGACATTCACTTCCTATGTTTGCTTCTTTTGCCCCTTCAACAATATTCTCCTCCGCTTGCTTTGTTTTTTTAATTCCCACCTCGTCTGTCACCGTCGTCCTTTTCCGCTTCCTCTGAGTATTCCTTTTCTTTTCTTCTACTTTTCCATCCTTGTCTTTCTTCATTAGCTGCTCCTGCCTCATTCTTCTCTCCAATAGTTCATCAGCCTCCACATTTTCCCCACTTCTCCTTCCCTCACTTGCACCCTGTTCCTCCCTAACCTCTCCTGCCTTCTTCTCATCAGGTGTTTTACATTTCTCATTCTTGTCTCCATCCTCTTTCTGTTCCCCCTTCCTGTTTTGCAGCTCTGCCTCCTCCTGACTTAACTTGAACTGCCTCCGAACCTTGCTGATGTCTTTAAATTCCCAGCTGATGCCATAGCGGAGCCTCTGTATCATGAACCACACCTTCACCTGGTCTGGGTGCAAGGAGCAGCGCTGTGCCAGTGTAGCTGTCTGTTTCTCCGTCAGGTATGGAAACTGGTCGAAGGCCTTGTCCAGCTCTTCTGCACCATCCAGCTGTAGGTTGAACTCATTTGAGTGCACCCATATAAGCCTCTGATCGTCAGAGACCACGGGGAGACACAACGCATGGCTCTGGTTCAGATTGAAAGCCATCAGGTCAATGTTTGGTTCTGATAAATTCTCCACAGGAGCGCTGGTTGTCTTTTGTATGAGCAGGGAACCTCCAGACATTTTCTGCCTCATCTTTCACATCTGTGGGGATGCAGGACTGTAGAGAGTAGATAAACAAAAAAGGTTGATAAAAAGAAAATTGAATTTATTTATACAGTACATTTCCTGAAGACACTTTTATCTTTTTGCTAGTTATGAAAAGGAAGATTTTTTTTTGGCCTAAAATCTGAAACCAAAAACACAATAGTGGAGAAAATAAAGTGAAATATTCCCTCAGCGAAAGTAAAAAGGGACTTAAAACGTTACTGTGATAGAAATACAGTGCAAGTAAGATAATGTTACCTTATAGTTTAACTTAATGGAGAAGTACACCGATCTTATACTTAAGTAAAAGTTCTAATATCACAGTCTAAAAATACTTAGTTACAAATAAAATTCCTGCATTCAAAATGTTACTCAAGTAAAAGTAAAAAAACAATAACAGCAAAATATACTTAAGTACCAAATCTAAAAGTACTCATTATCCAAAGTGGCCTTTTTTCGGGAAATAGATATTATATCACTGGTTTATACTATCGTAATGCATTATGTGGCTATAATATTAATGTGCAACTGTTAAAGGATCACATAACATTAATAACTTGTTATAGGCCTACTGCCAGTTATTTCCATCCCTGATAGAACATCATAGTGTATTATTTGATTTAATGTTCGTAAAAATAATATAAAACTGAAAAAGCAAATAGTAACTAATGTTGTCAAAACAATTTAGTGAGTGAAAAGTAAAACATTTCTGCCAAAATGTAGAAGTAGAAATACTCAAGTACCTCTAAATATACAAAGTAAAATTAAGTACTTTAGTAAATGTACTTAAGTAATATATTTCAGTAAATGTTCTTCATTACCACCTCATTGGCCAGATAACACCAACATGAATAACGTTAATAGGGGTGTATATTTAAACGTATTTGTGGTAACAATTCATATTAACTAGTTAGCTAACTTTAGCTAGCAAGCTACGTTTGCTCTTGAAGTAATTTCTTCCGATTCACGTTAGGTTAACTGTATCCACGGTAACATGTACAGTAATGTTATAGCCGTTAACTTTGACCGTTTGTTGAGCAGTAACGATAGCAATAATTGGAATAAATATCAGTTGAACATTGACTAGCTTAGCCTCAGCTTTGGTTAGCTGTTGACGTTGTTTTGTTTACATCCCCACGTGTGTGATACAGTTAACATAGGTACTTTTTATTTTCCTATAAGTAATCAATATACTTGGCAGCTTCAAGAATACACCGATATTAGATCACTTATTTCAATTAATGATTGGTTTTGAGTCCTTACCTTTCAGCGTACTTACTGCTTGCTTACTTACTGGAGAGATGTCCTGTTAAGTATGACAGGTGTTCTGGATTAGTCAATTAAAACCGCCCCATCCAGTTACACTTAAAGTTAATTATTCAAGGGTTTTTCTATTAAATTGGGTGTTTAAAATGATAATATATTATAAACAGTAGTGTAGTATACATGTAGGCCTACTCAAGTAGCCTACTGTACAAATAGAGGTACTTGTACTTTACTCGAGTATTTTCAAATTATGCCAGTTTAATACTTACACTTATTTTAAATATACCAACTCATAGTGGTGGTGCTCATTTCTAATGTGTAAAATGAAACTTAACAATGTCACAAAAGGCCTCAGGCAAATCAGTCCAACTCCACCCCACAGGCTATGCACCCTCTGATCTGGTTCCCTTTATCAGAAAACGAAACTGTTGTGCAACGCTGATGTGGCAGTGCATTAAAACCCAAAACTGAGTTCACTTGCAGGAACCACGCCAAAACAGTGTGATGTTTGTAAGTTTATTGAAGTAACATGTGAATGATATGAGGGGTGTGAAGGGATGATCTGGGAGGACGAGCTATGGTCCGTGCAGTGGGAGACTCAGAGTGGGGGTTCCGTCTCCGGCATGATCTGCGTGGGCTGATTACGGGCCCCCAGACGATACCTGGAATTGAATGTTAGTATACACAGTATATAAATATGCACCGTTTAAATATAAATGGTGATGGTCAGAGTCTGCAAATAACTTGAAGAATGGACAGGTCTATGGTCTGTGCTGTGACAGCTAAGCTCTCTCACAGCAGAGCTTGATGATTCTGATGCCCCAGTCAATACAGGATGACATTTTGGGCAATATATGCCAAAAGCAATAATATACAAGGTTTCATCTGCATTAATCACAAAACAGGGCCCCAATGGAGATGAGGCAGCACCACGACCTGAAGCGGTGGAAATGTTTTGGAACTTTGTTGGCTCCTCGCTGTCCTTCTTCAGCAGAACCGGACAGCACCAGAGGGAAGAAATAATAACAATAAAGGCGATTCCCAGCAACTGGGACCTGCTGGCACCCTTCGTTCAAGTAGGAAAGAAAAACGCCCAAAATATCCAACAGAACCCATGGCAATGCACATGTGGGAAGGCTTACAACTATTACAATAATCAATTCCGTCATGGAAACCGCAACTACAGCCCTCATCAAGATAAGTGTTCCTGTGGAGCAGTTATTGGGGGCATTTGCATCACAGAGGTGGTTTGTGAGTTTCTGTAATGGGTGGGAAAACACTGATCATTGAACAAAGCTCAGAAGTGCAAATATCTGCTTTTATTGGATTCATATAAATGTAATTGATTATGTGTTGACTTGCTGTCAAATGTAAATATAGTGCCTTTAGTGCAAACAATATGTTGTGATTCTTTATAGTGAACAACTTACACATGGTAGGCAACCTACATGGCAGTGTGTTTTGGGAGTTGGTTATGTTTCTGTTTCTGCCTGACAGTTTAAGGTGTTTGTCTCCCTCTAATGGTGTTGAATGTGTCATTGCTTTCACATTTTACAGTTATCTTACACTGCATGTAAGTCATTTATGTATTTTGTATTCTTCTTACTTTGTGATTTGTGGATGAACTGATCAACAATAAAGCCATAAAAAAAGAGTAAGATGTGGAATGCTTTTATTGACTGATTAAGACAAGTGTATTTGAAAAAACTGCATTTCAATTGGACATTTTAACACCAATGTGACAATAAACAAATGAAACAACACAGGTAATGTAGGAGTGACTACACGCTCATGGTGTAAAACTGAAAAGGAATGACCCGTTGATGTGGAGGCTGTAATGATTCATAAATGAATTGTTAACATCAGCCAACACACACTTTGGTACTGGATAACACCTCTGCTGTGAATTCAGCACTTCATTACTATGTACTGTACGCACTATAGTACTGTGGTCTAGCATTCAGCATATACTGATCCAAATATAAACGCTCCAAAAATGTAATTTACCTAATATTTCTTTTAAATGTGCTTATTAGTTTGTGATTATATCTGAAGTTAAATATTTGACTTTAAAATTACAAATAAAGTGCAAAAAAAGGGAATGATTCATTTCTAAAAGTATGTTTAGAACTAGCAGCTGCATAAATATTTTGTACTTTCGAAATAATTTAAGACTCGTTTGCTATAATTTTATATATGCGTGTGTGACGAAGGCTTACAGTCTGGATCAGGGAATGAAGACTTGCTATAGATCTGTCCATGAACAGCTTCAGATTTGCATAAAAATAACAATTTAGGGCCTTTGCATTGGAATGATGAGATACCGGACATGCTAAGAAGCTAACTGCTTTAGCTTTGAAGCTCATATGAAAAAGGTAACATTCAGTCTAACGCGACTCAGAGTGTAACGGAAAATATTTCTGTTGTTGTCAAAGTAAAAACCAACATAGTGATTTGCATTGAACCTTAGCTTATGTAATAAAAACAAGGATGGTAAAATAACAGTATTAATATTCATGTCTGTGTACATCAGACAGGCAGTGTTGCAGAGTTATACTTCGATCTGAAGCCGGATCCAGCTGGATATTCAGCTGTCGTTGCCGAAGACAGTGTTGAGCTGCTGGGTGACCCTGATGAAGGTGGTCCTGCGGCTCAGCTCCTTCAGTTTGCCTGCCCCGACGTAGGTGCAGGTGGAGCGGACCCCCCCCAGGACGTCCCGTATTGTCACATCCACCGGACCCTTGTAAAGAACTTCCACTGTCTTCCCCTCCGACGCTCTGGAGGTGGAAACAAACAGAGGTTATCATCAGAGCAGTACACACATTTTGTTCCTGTTTACATCAAAATAAGTCTGACCTGTATTCAGCCACGCCTCCTGCATGTCTCTTCATTGCTGTGTCGGAGCTCATTCCATAGAACAGCTTGTATTTCTTGCCGTTTTTCTCGATAACCTCTCCCCCGCTTTCTGAGTGGCCGGCCAGCATACCGCCCAGCATCACAAAGTCTGCTCCAGCTCCGAAGGCCTTTGAGACATCTCCTGGGCAAGTACATCCCCCATCCTGAGAGAAGAGAAAACCACACAATGGTTTAAGTGTGACTGTGTTTTTATCATGGCTGCATTTAGAACAAAATATAAGGCTGCACATTCACAGGGTGAAATGCACATCTAATAAGCCACATTACTCAAGGAAGAGAAGATAAATGATTGATAGTTAGATAGATAGATAGCCTCAGTTTAAAAGAAGCTATCGGTGGTTAGCCTGGTGGTAATAATGTTCTCGAAATAACGCTGCATTTCCACTGCATTGTACCGTCAATCTTTTATTCACTCGATCCTAGATTTTTAAACATGGAAGTCCTTAGCTACCGTATGCTAATGACGAGTGACAGATGTTCCTCTGACGTTAAAGTCACCACGTTATTTTCAAGGGGCAAATATAAGTTGAGTCAAGTCAAGTTCTGTGAGACACGCCGTGGAAATAAGCAAATTTCACAGTGAGATAGCAAAAAATGCCAATATGACACACTGTTACATGTTTAAATCATAGACTGTATATAATCTTTATTATACACTCTATGGATTAAATCCCTGGGTTTTAAGAGAAGAGAGTCTCACAGAGATAATGTGGCCGCCCAGGCCGTGGGCTGCATCTGCACACTCGATCACAGCGCTGAGCTGAGGGTAGCCCACCCCTGTCTTCTTGCGGGTGGTACACACAGAGCCTGAACAGGGAGACACAGGGGTGAGAAATGACTCACAGGAAACTTAATGTACAGCTGTTGTTTGATCTGTGTGTGCCAAATGAATAGGGGTTGCGAAATCTTCCCCTATCAGTGAGGTATGTAAAAGTTAATTTAACATGATACAAATAACACGTAGACCTGGAAATGTTAGGGTGTGATTACCTGGTCCGATGCCTACTTTGATGATGTCAGCGCCAGCCAGGATCAGCTCCTCCACCATCTCTCCTGTCACCACATTTCCTGCCTGAGCAAAATACAAATAAATGACCTGTAAACATCAATTCCATTTGCACATACTGTCAGTTTAAACCTGCACATTTACTGACCATTATTGTGTGAGTGGGGAACTTTTCCCTGACGTCCTTGACAAAGTGAACAAAGTGTTCAGAGTAGCCGTTAGCGACGTCTACACAGATATAATGCAGCTGTGGCACCGCCGCTATGATGGCTGAAATCTTGTCAAAGTCACCTTCTCCGGTCCCGGTGCTCACGGCTACATTCTGGAGATAGACAGAGAAGAGAAAGACTTAAGACCAGTATTAACAAACCAATGGAAATGGTTCATAATAGTTCACACTTTTAGTACCTGCAGGCATTCAGGATTCTTTTTTGCAAATGCCGACCACTCATCCACGGAGTAATGTTTGTGAACCGTGGTGAAGAGAGTGAACTAGACAGAAAAATAAAAGGCAGTTGAGATATTTTTGCAAAAACGATAGAATACGTTGTTATTTTTCATATTCTGAACTAACTGAAAAGGCATACATTATTCATTATTATTACAAGGATATAGACCCTTTAGAAGTATAGATCCTACACATAAGCCACCAAACATCTCATCTCTGGTAAAGGAAACAAGGAAAGTCTTGGCCAGTCTTTATCAGCCTGTGTTTGTAACATAGAGTTAAATAGCAGTGATTCATAAATTGAATTCTGACATGAGTCGCACAAATGTTCTGGGCAGAAGCAGCTGGAGCCAGAGAGAGAAAAGCTGCATATCTCTTTATGTTGGATAACACCTCTGCTATGAATTCAGCACTTCATTACTATGTACTGTGCGAGCTATAGTACTGTACATTCAGCATATCATGATCTATGTATAGTTTTATTAAGACTATGTTAGACACCTCTCCTTCCAACGAAAGGACTACCTTGCTCCAACAACATTGACAAGATGAAATGATAAACAACAACATGTGCTGTATGAAGCCATTTGTAAATAACTAGTAAGATGATGATGCTAACCTTGTGCAAAGCCAGGGCCATCTCAAAGGTCCCCACGGTGTCCATGTTTGCAGCGATGATGGGGATCCCTCTGTAGCTGCCCTTGGAGTTCCTGAAAGTGTAGCTCCGCAAGAGGTCTACCTGCAAAAAACAAGAGCAATGAGACATCAGTGTACTTAATACTTCTACAGATTTGCTCGAATAGGAATCCATTTATTGGAGCAATGATACACTGGTTTCACTTAGGTAACACAAACAATAAGACAGGACAACTTTTTCATCAATATAATTGAAGGTGCGAAAGGTAACGGTGAAAAAGTGTGGCAAATCTTAAATAAACTATTAGGTAAACATACCAAACAGGAAAATAATGTACTAGAATTAAAAATCAATGATGCCCTGATAAAAGACCCTGCAGTGTTGGCCAACTCTCTAAATGAATATTTCATAAATAGTGCTCTGGACATTACAAAGCTCTTCCCGCCATCTGAGGTCTCACCTAGCCCGACTGTGGATACACACCCCGTTTTTGACCTGGAGGAAATCACAGAGGTTGAGGTAAAACATATAATCTTAGGGTTAAGAGGTTCTAAGGCTAGGGATGCAGATGATTTAGACACCAACTTTATAAAAACACATATCGACGGTCTAATACAACCAATTACTATGTTAGTAAATCAATCTATCAGCACGAGGGAAGTTCCATCATCCTGGAAGGTGGCCACGGTAACACCGATCTTTAAATCTGGGGATAAGGCAATGATGTCCAATTATAGACCAACCAGCATCCTCCCCTGTGTCTCTAAGGTAGCTGAGAAATGGGTGTCAAAACTAATCACCAAACATTTAGACAAAGGTTTCGCTCCACTCCACCCAATGCAGTTTGGTTTTCGTGCTCACCACTCCACTGAGACAGCTAACTGTGTCTTTGTGGAAAAGGTTAAATGTATGTTGGACACGAGCCCATATGTAGGTGCTGTGTTCCTTGATCTCAGGAAGGCTTTTGACACTGTTGACCACAAAGTGCTCCTTACAAAGCTGACGTATTTCAATTTTTCGGCAGATTCAATACATTGGTTTAAGTCTTACTTTTCGAACAGAAAACAGTGTGTTTTGGTCAACGGAGCCAAATCCCCCTACCTTGTGAACCCTGTTGGGGTTCCACAAGGTTCCATTCTTGGACCATTACTGTTTTCTCTGTACATTAATGACTTGCCTAATGTATGTCCTGAGTTGAATGTGCAAATGTATGCCGATGATGCGGTCATCTTTGTACATGGGAAAAATACTGAAATAATCTCATCCTGTCTCTCAAATGCTTTGGACAAGGTTCAACACTGGCTGAACAACATTTGCTTACAGTTAAACGCAAAAAAAACAGTAAGCATGATGTTCAGTAAACGACCAGTCAAAATCGAAGGATCCAATGTGTTTTTAAACGGAGCAGAAATAGAACTAGTCCCCCACTTCAATTATCTTCGAGTCATATTGGACTCGAACTTGACTTTTAAGAAACATATTAAGAAAGTATCCAATACCATTCAATTCAACTTGCAAAACTTTAAACAAATTAGACCTTTCTTAACTGTCAATGCTGCAAAGTCATACGTCCACTGTATGATTCTATCCCACATTGAATACTGTTTGACAAACTGGTCGTTTGCTTGTGCCACAAACCTGAACCAA